AAGACATGAAGACCGTATGGAGCGGTGATGGACAAGGTTAAGAAAAGGCCAGCAAAATTGTGTGTGTGTGTGTCATTTGGCTCCAGTGGCGTACTTTGAGGGCCTCACTTCCCTTTTCTTGGCGAGACATCTCTGTCTACGACCTACTACTGTCCCCATCACAGTATACACACACACACACACACACACACACACACACACACACACACACACACACACACAGATGCACACCTAGACAGATAATAAAAAGCAAGCATATGCAGAACCACGGGTAGAGCGAGAAACACAGGGGAGGCAAGAGAGAGAGAGAGACCGAGGACAAAGAAAACATTAAAATGATGAAGGGTGGGAGAATGGTGAGAGAGTAACATACTCCCATCTCTCTCTCTCTCTCTCTCTCTCTCTCTCTGTCACCCCCTAAATCTTCCCTTGCTTTTAACTCTGTCATGTTGCTATATATAGCCGTTGAGGAATGAGGAAGAGGAGATTCATTATTGAAAGGTTCATGGCAGAGTGTGAGTGATTTATTCATATTCTGAATTTGTATATGTGCGTAGGGCTGTGCAATATTAAAAAAAATCATATCCCAATATAGGTCTTTTCATATCCCAATAACGATATATATCCTGATATAGAATATTTTATGTAAATTCAATAAAATGTCATGAGTTACTGTTACTGAATTAATTTCCAACATTAATTAACTCATCACATTTCTCTGCATCATAAAGGCAGGGCTCTCAAGTTTTATCATAAAAGTTTGGAGTGAGATAACGCGTGTTAGAGGAGGAGCCACTCAAATATTTGTAGCAGCAGCCCCTCAGCCCCAGCCAATTCTCTCAAGTTTTTACTAACAGTTAAATTTGACCTATAGTTTATAATTGACCCGAACAAATAGAAATGATAAAAATATCTGATAAAAGACTATTGATACTTATATTTCCAAATTACAAATCTAGCCTATCAAGATTTGGCCCCAAACAAGCCCAATGAACAGCAGTGCTCAATGTATATCGTACACATAGGCCTACTGTAGTATTGCAGAACTTGCTTCAGTTACTAGTTACTTTAAAAAATAGGCTTTTAGAGAGTTTAAATATGATGTTTTTATATAATTTTAATTACTTAAGAGCTTATACAAGTCCAGCTAGTAGAACTATATCAGTTAGGCTAATTGACAGAAACTGAATTAGCATCTATTGATTTTGAGGTTTGGCAAAACAAGCATGCAAGGTGTCGCGCTCTCTCACTATTTTCAGAATTTATTACAATCGATTAATGGAGAAAATAATCAGCTGATTAATACTAAAAATAATCATTAATAGCAATCTGATAAAAAATAGTTCAACCACAACCAACTACATTAATGCATGAGGAATAATAATCTAATGATATGATATATAGGCTAATAGAATATCAGTCATATGGGACATTTTTCTTTCTGCTTTGAGTAGGCTACTTTTATTTTTAATAGGCTACTTCTACATTTTCCTGCTTATAGCCTAATAACATACTTTTACTTAACTTTTTCAATGCAGTACTTTTATTAAAAGAAAAAAGGATCTGAATATGCCTAAGTAACTTTGTTCACCACTGGGTGAGAGAGCCAAAGTTTCTGGTTGTAAGAGGTTGGAGAGTTTTTGTCTGCATCAGTAATCATTTAGCATGAATTTGGCTACAGGATACTCCACAACATCAGCTGCTCTCACTGTCTTTGATCACAGGCAAGTGAGTTCGTCAAAGAAGACAGTTACCGCATCCATCGGGTCTTGAGCTTCCAACCTCCACTCCGTGTGTGCACGCGCATCCATGTTGCCTGGTAACGAACGTGCTTTCAGCGGGATCACGGAATTTATCCGGAAGCAACACATTTTAATTTCTGATCGGCTTAACGGCTCTGGCGTTTAGTACAGAGTAAGCTATGAACTCGGCAGAAAAATGATCGTCCAGTAATTGTATATAGCGGGACAACTTCGAGGACGTTATCTCTTAACTTACTTACTTACTTAAATACAAGGTGTGGCGTGTGAACTGGCTGAAATGCGTGTGTCTCACGGTGAATGCGTGAGACTTGAGAGCTCTGATAAAGGTGGGATAATTTTTGCAATTCTGGAGAAATCTAAATCAACACAACAAATACCATGATATAGGGTGAACAACGACACAGCATGTAATGTAACTAACGTTAGCTACGTTGTGGGTTAGCAAACAGTCGCTATTTGCTACTGCATCGCTTACTAGAGGATCAGACACAACACAGCAGCTCAGCAGAGGTACGATATTCACAGCTCTCCTGCTGTTATAGCTAACATCACAACAACAGCATGTATTGGTGAACTAGAAAATAAACTGAATGTCCGTGGGCAAGCCATTAAAAGTTACCTGACACACATATCATGACTGGAACTGCTGGATTAATGTTGCGTGGCTCAACAGACTTCTCTCTTTGGTGTTAGCTCCTCGTTTTAGCTTGTCCTGCCGCTCAGTATTATCCAGTTATGAGTAAACTTCACTCTCTTCCACGTTTGTTTATCCTGAATGCAAATTTATTTTCCGCAACACCGGCATATGTGGGAAAAACGGACTGCGGTGAGGTTTATAGGTGATAGTTTCAAGTTGGATATTAGTTTTACGTTCGATGTTTGAGAGATTTAGAATATCCAACGTAAAACTAGCTTCACCCCCTCGCGGAAAGATTACAGTAAAGTGTGGAATTTGCGACACAATGAAATAAATGCACAATTGTTAACGATTGTCAAACGATAGATATCGTCATATCGCACAGCCTTGTGTGTGTGTGTGAGTGTGTAAAGCCAGTGTAATGAGGGTGCAGATCATGTGGCATCTTGAAACAATGCAGGGACAAAATGTGCCAAATGATCATTGTGTGTGTGTATATATATATATACACACACACATTTAATAGTTATTCCGCTTGGGGAACATTTCTAATACACAATACACATATGCACACATTTGTCCCTTTGTCCCTGTACTTCTATTTTGGTCTCTCTCCCTCCTCTCTCTTTCCCTTTTTCAGTCAGCTACACCCTGCCCTCTCATGGCCCAACACATACGCACGTGCATATACATACATACATACTGTACATACGTGTACACGCATTCCCATTTATACACACACATAGCTGGGCGGGGCAGGGAGGCTAATTGAATGGCACCCTGGGTGTTTGAGTAATGTGCGCCTGGTAGGAGTGGTCCAACAAACGCACACACACTCATACACATTGTGGGCTTGCAAGAGGCTAGAGCAGCTTTTTCAACATACACATGTACACTGAGGTCTACACATGCACGCAAGCATGTACAGAACACGTAACTAACATGTTTTACACGTGCACACATGTGGTGTGTTTCCATAAATAGCATCCTCTTCCTTTCTCTCTCTTCGCCATTCAATTTTTTCCCCTCCTCCCAACTGCCATGGGGATGGCTGCTCCCGAAGGAAGCAAGCATGTAGGAAAAAGGTGAAGCAGAGGAGAAAAGAAAGAATAGGATAGGAAAAGAGTGGGTTTGTTTCGAGTGGCTGGAAAATACAAATTACAACCCCCCCCCCAAGCAAAAACTCATGAAATACCATGATATATGGACACATAATCATAATATTAATTATGAAAGTCAAGCTACTCTGTTTTCCCTTTATTCTCTTCTTTCTGTCCTTGCCTTTTTTCCTCCTCTATCCATTCGTTCCTCTCCCTTTCTCTTGATTACTCATTCATCTCCTTCACACATTTACACTCACATCCTTTCTCTCAGTCCCTCTCTCTCTCTCTCCACTCTTCTCTTTTAAATGTAACTATTCATCTTGTGACCTTAACGAGACAGAAGGATTGATTTAAGAAGACACCACCAGTGTGTGTGTGTGTCTGTGTTTCTGTATGTGTGTTAGAGAGACAGATCGTGACAAACACAATTAGATGTACATAGAGATACTCCCCCTTTTTATTTCTCTCTCTCTCTCTCTCTTTCTCCCTCCTCCACCGAACTAGCCCTTAGACGCTATGTACATAGAGTCAAACGGTGATGTCGCAACAAATCTCACTCTGTGTCCAGGCACATTATCACACACTAACACTTTAACATAGCCTGCGTCTTCTGTGTGTGTGTGTTTGCCTGTGTGGGCGGTGTGTTACCAGAACATACACTTAGTGGAACATATTTAACTGACTCATAGTGTTGGCTTGTGGGTCTGTGTGTGTTTGTGTGTGTGTCTAAACAGGTGGTAATGGCAGTGAGACGCCAGACATCAGTCCATTTAAGCTAAAGGCCTGCTGTCTGTCAGACTCGCTTACACTCTTTCAAATTGCATAGATTTGACCTTTGACATGAGAGTGTGATATTATCTTAATTGCTAGATCATTTTTTCACTTAATTCACCACTTAATTCTTATGTATATTAGCAGCCCACTGGGTATGCCAAGGAATTACCAAGAAAATATCACTGAAAAGCAGTGTGGATATTGTTTTTATTTGATATCGGTGTGCAAATATTTCTTTCAACAATCTGCCTTTTGCTTTCCACAGACACATTCTTGTAAATGCAGTAACTAATGAATAAATGATAGAAAGTCCCCATGGAGTAAATTTTCTGATTAGATTTTTGTGGCAATTTACTGCGTACATCTGCATATCAAGTAGGCTAGGTAATCTTGGTCCTTGTAATGCTGAGAAAACTGCTATTTAAAGCAGCCCAAGTGTTTTTATTTTTTTACAATGCTAGATCATATAATAGAAGTTCAAATCTGCACCTTGCATGCAAGTGAAATTAATCTATATTGTAGATCTGTGTAATATTGAAATGATACAAATGTAGGAAACAAATGTGTGAAGACAGGTACAAATTTGTGTTTTTTATAATTTAACTTAACTTAAGACTAATATAATGTAATAATATTACCTCTTGTTGGAAAGTTACAAAGGTGAGCAAATTGTGCCATTATTATGTTCTAAAAAACACTTAAAATGTTAAGCTGTATTGCTGTTTTTTCAGTGTTTAATTTGAGATCGAAATTGTTTATCTCTCAAGAAGTGTTTCTTCCTTGACCGACCCGCCTCACTCCATTTGAGTGGATGATTCTAGCTACCATCATTGCCAACTGCATCGTCCTGGCTCTGGAGCAACATTTGCCTGATGGGGACAAGACTCCGCTGTCTGAGCGCCTGGTGAGTTCAACAGACGTGATACAGTATGAGAGACATATGTAAACATGATTAAAATGCAGGCAACAGTATTGATTTTACTTCAGTGAAGATGCATGCGGCTACTCTAGTAAACGAGAGTAAAGGATTTGTTTCATCTTGCCAAAAATGTAATGTCCAAATGTTCTGTGCACTACATGTCTTTAGAAAAATACATATAACTACAGATAACATAGAAATAAGCAGTATATACACACACAATATTTATAAACACACAGATTCACAAGGGAACATGCAAATGTTTGTATCAAATGTAAGCCTGCATCTATAGTTATGAAGTTAGAAAACAAAGATGCACTCATATTCTCTCCCATCTCTACATAGCCACACTAAAGTTAGTGCCCACATCAAGTTGACGCATATTTAAAAAAACAAACAAAAAAAGGTTTACTTCTGAACACAACTTCATCCAGCTATTGATGGCTGTCACTTTGTCTCTCTGTATTTTTCCCTCTTAACCCTCCTTCCTCCTCTCCCTCTCTCTCTTCTCAGGATGATACAGAGCCGTACTTCATAGGGATCTTCTGCTTTGAGTCTGGAATAAAGATCCTGGCACTTGGTTTTGCCTTCCACAAGAACTCCTACCTGAGGAATGGGTGGAATGTCATGGACTTTGTGGTGGTGCTCACAGGGTGAGTGGCAAGCGAAAAGACACGAGCTATCACAAATACACACACACAGGAACACAATTACGAGCACAGAATGTACCTACATGAACACAGTTATGAATACACGAGGTCAGAATCAAATGTGGTTTTCCCTCTGATTTATTCAAGTAAAACTAGACAAAATGAAGTAGTTTGTCATGTGTTTTAGAGTGTGTTTGTGCAAGTGTGTGTTTGTGACTCATGCGTGTCCTGTCCCTGCTCCTTTGCCCTAATGAATAGCCCCATTGTGGGCAAGGCAGCAGTCAGATCACAGCAGAACTGCAGGCAGCCAGCAACCTGGGAAGCTAACAAATGTCACCACAATATACACAGAGATAAAGGGGGTGGGGGCACAGAGAGATATAAGAAAATTTACATGTGCTGGTAGCTAAGTAGAGATAGGCAATGGGAACGAATGGGAAGAGAAAATGCAGGAGAGTGCAGGAAGTGAAGGAAAACAAGCATGTGAGTGAAAAAAAAAAGCGAGGGGTTGCAGTTCAATAACTCCAACATGAAAAAGGATTCCAACTGACACCTTTAACAGCAGAACAGCACAACGTGTAACGACCAACAATAGTAATGTGGGTTGTTCTAGATGCCAAGTGCAAAGTAAAAAAAAAAGCAAAGTTTTGAATAGGGCAACTGTGATATTTCAGTTTGAACGTTCAATGAGAAAGCAAGGGTAAAGGGAAGAAATTGGATGCAGCCTGAGGACTGTGACAGGCACGGTATCAACGAGACTGAGTTAAGAAGCATGGTAGAGTTATACAATATAGTTAATAATCATAGAAAACGATCGGAGTAAATAGATAATTAGTTGGGTGGATAGAAATAAAAAGAGGAGCAGAACAATAATTTGCAAACACATGCAAACAAGATTACATTTTGTTATATTTCAGTGGTGCACTGATTTGTCTGTTGAGCTCTCCATCCTTCCATATGTCATTCCTTCTTTAAAGACACAGTAAGCTTCCTTTTTGTGCAGCATGTTTACAACTGTCACGTACTGCTGTACCGATGCAGTTTGTGTTTAAAGATTAATGGGATTGCTTGAGTGAATGGTTAGTGAGAAGAGGAAACTCGGTAATAAATACCTGTAAATATCTTATTGCTGACGTAAGAATACTCTCGGTTAACAAAAGCACAAACCTGATGTTGTCTCAAATTTTCTGCAGCACATCTTAATCTTTTCACCAAGCTTAAGGATTCGTTATTGATCCCTGTTTAAAAATTTAACAACATACTTAAAGCCTGTTTCTCTTGTTTGAAACTTTGCAAATGTCACAGTGCACTCAGCCTGTCTATTAAAATAGCAAAGCATTCTGACTGCAGTAATAACGTTATCCTGGGTCATTCACTCACCTGACAAGTCACATGGTGAAACTATGTTACGATAGACTCTATGTCCACTGAAATTATTGTGTGGGAGTGCTGGCACTGATTAAAATGTCGAGGTCATTGCATGATTATGTGCGGGGATGCTGTGATTTGGAGAGTTTCATGGGTTATATAAACCTTGCACATCTTTGCTGACAAAGCACCAAAGCAACAGAGAAATAAGTGATTCCCCCCCCCCACACACACACACTCACACACACACACACACACACACACACACACACACACACACTCTGAGTGAGTGAGCACTCAGTCTGGCAGTATGTCCTTATGCTATAATAAGAGCAATCATGAAGCCAAGCTCATCTCAGCATGGCACAACACAGTGACTGTAAGAGAGAAGAGGTGTGAGAAGAGGAGTCTCAGCAAGACAGCAGGAAGTAGTGAGATGCAGAGAGAACAAGGAAGCGAGGCAGACCTTAAAACTTCCAGTAAATGCCTGGTACCCCCCTCCTCTCCCTTGTATAATAGGAAATCTTTATGTTTTGACAGTGAAACCCTTCCCAGTAAGCGTGACACAGCAGTTAAATCATCAATGTCTTCTATAGGCACTGGTATTGTTGTAGTGGAGATGTTTTTCCAACGTGCAAGCAGAAACAACACATTCTCACCCGCAACTCGTCACTTAAACATACAGTACCCCTTGGTGTTGCTGTTTAACGCCCTGGATACCCCTTTAGCGCATATTTGCATATGGCTCCGCGGTCAAGTTAGTAATAATAAATATGGAACATCCGATTAACCTTTAAAAATAAAACTAATGGTTAACATTGTGAAACGTCGCAGTTTGGTTAGGTTTAGGAAAAGATCGTGGTTTGCTTTAAAATAAAGTTAGCTTGCGTAATTTAACTTACGTAAAGTCTTGGAAACTGGGGAATGCCGTGTAGGTTGGGACTTTTTTTGGCTGCATTCCCAATATTTTCAAGAAATCCCAGCTAGGACCTGGAAGACAACCATCATTTTTATTGGCCATACACCAGACTGGCCTCGCCAAGCGCCAAGGCCGCGCCCCCCTTATGTGTGAGAGAATCACTCTTTCACATAACTAGAGAAACATGGAAAATGCCGAAAAGCTGTAGCAGGTTGTAAAATAACTACACACTGTAAGAAAATGCCTGAAAATTCACTGTTAGTGTGGTAAATAGCTAAATAATGCTGATGACAGTTACTGCTGATGGACAGCTAGCTTGAGTGGGAGGTCATACAGCATTGCAGCATAAGACTGTCGTCTCCAACTAGATTGCAGCCTAGCCTAGCTTAAACAGTTGGCTATTAACAGGTTGATTATTTACAGACAACACAGAAGACACTGGTGATTCAATCAGATGTCCGGATTAGCAATAACTGGCCACTGTGTTGGGTCATTGATCCACTTGGACAGGGGAAGGCTGAAGGTGCATGACAGCTGAATGTGATGTGAAAGCTCAGGTTCAGGCAAGGTTGAATAAAAAAACATTAGACTTGCCTATAAAACAAAACTTTGGTTAAAACAAAAATGAATACATGGACTTTGTTATACAATACACCTCAAATTGACATCTATAGGATCTTTGGTTTTCTACCCACCACGTGCCGGTCTGATGTATTAAACATTCCTCCAGACAATCGATGGAAGTTAGGATTTAAATCTGTCTTCTCTCTCTCGTGCTTTCTGTCTCTGTAGCATCAATTGGTCCATCGGTAGATGTGATTCAGATGTGACCTGTCTGATGGCCTTGGGGTGATCACTGCTCCACCAGTACTGATTGCTATTAGGCATTCAATTAAGATAAAGATCATAGTGTGTGACAAGTGCACCAAAAATGGTTTCTCAATGCCTGAGGCAAGAAATTTTGTGCTAAAAATATGATTTATTGTGGATATACTGTCTAAGAAGTGACAAATCACCCTGGGCGCCCATGAAAAGTCAGTGGAATTGACACACTATCTCTGATTTGGTGAAAACATGTCATGAGGCACAATTTTACCTTCAGATTTAGAGTAACGCAAGTGAAGGAAGATGTAATAAAGGAGTAAAAATAAAGAAAACAAAAGGATAATAGACAAAGGAGCATAACTAAAGCACTAATGCTTTTTTTTCAAGTAAACAATATATTTATCTAAACAACAGTCATAGAACACACCCCGTAGTCTTCATCTCTGTCAGTCAGCTGTGTTGTTGTCATTTCGAACTAAAGCAGGAAGCTGCCGCAAGATGTACAGACAAAGAATTTGCTGCAGAACATACAGCACACATACTGTATATTCCCATGATACATTATGTACACTGACCGAAGCCGACACATTTTACACTCGCACTCACTCACACACACTACACACACATTCTTTGTTGTGCTCACCATGAATGGTGGTTGTGTTTTTAGCTGTGCAGCTCTTTGAAGATGAAAAGCTACTTGGCCTTTCAAGCCACCTCTGGCCGAAGCCTTTGATAACACACTGACCAATGCATGCACACACACATGCGCGTATTTCCACTTCAAACATTCCTTTCCATTTCCTACTAAGTCCTAAGGCACTTGCGTAGACAAACACACAGATGGCACTTAACATGTCTGAATAGATTAGCTATTCACTCTGCAACCTTGTTGGATCTCAGCCGATTTGTGTGCCGCCAAAGTGTGTGTGTGTGTGTTTGTGTGTGTTGACCTATCTCTTGTAGTAAATTGCCTGAGTGATTTGGCCCTGTATAAGCTAGTTGTTTTTTATGCCCTGTATTGATTATTAGTCCAATTACCCTTAGTTTACAGCCATTCTTCGCCTTCCATCCTCTCCTCCGTTCCTCCTTCTTGTACCCTTGTTCAGGTTCTTCTGATTAGATACGACTGTTACAGGGTAGTGAAGAAAGGAAGCAAGGAAGGTGCTTTTAGCGAACTTGTAATCTATTTTTACAGTGTAAATGACAGTAAGAATAACGATTGATCTGTTTTCTTAATGGTCTCCTTCACCCTACTTGAATCATATTATTTTGAAATAGTATGTTTCCCAGTTTAAAATGTGTTTTGAGTTTACTGTGAAAAATGATGAAAAATGATTGCAGCTCCCATCAGCTGTACCATTCAGATAATTAAATACGGTATAGGACAGTCTGCAGGCACTACATTCAGCTCTATCACTGTTGAGAGTCACGTGGATATGAAGCTACGGGTGTGACATTTTCTTCACCTGTTTGGATGTTACACAATGTTAAATTGTCACAGTGTCACAGTGGGATTTTAATAATCTTATTAACACCTTGACGGCACTCCTTTACAATGAGTTAATATATATTTAGTTAGTTATATATATTTAGTAACAACTTCAGCATGGTTATATCATGGTGGTGAATACATAAGACACTTCCATCCTATAAAGCATAAAGCATGTGAGCAACTGCAGGATCACATCAAACTAAAACAGGGTCATTAAAGGAAAAAAAACACACATAATTATTATTGGATTTTTCCTTACACTATGGGCATACTATTAATAGAAATATAAGTTTTTATTAAAATAGTTGAATTATGGCAATGGAGTAAAACAAGGAGACAAAGGAAGATAAGTTAAGAGTCTGAAGAAGAGATGAAGCAATTTGGTGAGTGATGTGGCCACATTTAACTGAGGAAGGGGCATTCGGGAGGTTGTGAAATTGCAGTATCGCTTAATGTGATTCTCCTTGATCATTTGTGTTCCTCTGCACACAGTGCAGGTTGTATGTCTGTGTGTTTACCTGTGTGTGTGTGTGTGTGTGTGCGTGTGTGCGTGCATGTGTGTATTTAGTTTAAGTGTATAAGATGTACTGTAGACAGCATCTCTGTCCCTGACAGGGAAGGAATTGTTTTGCATTGGTTATTCCAAGTGACCTACTTTCCAGTGTGCATACGTGAATAAAATTATTCTCACTCAATATGTTTGATCTCCAACCAGTGCCTGTTCGCTGTGCAGATGTGTGTGCGTGTGTGTGTGTGTGTGTGTGTGTGTGTGCTTTTGTCATGTAGGTGTCTATATTTGTATGTGTTTGTGTACATGTGTGTTGGTCTGTGTGAGTTGTGATACATTTACATTAAAGAGAGAAGAGAAGAGGAAAAAAACAATCAATCAGGCTCCTCCCTTGGCCCTGTTACCAAGGTGATACAGAGATTCTATCAATGAGCCAAGGTCCCTGTTGCCATGGAAACACTTATGAATGAGAAAGGGCCCAGTAACCGTGGAGACGGTGTGAATGAGGAACTGCCTCATCGGCCCGGCACTGTGACGGCGAATGCTGTTTAGAAACTGAAATATTTATGTCTGTCATCATATTACCACCATCATCATCATTATCGCCATCATCGCCTATGTTATCATCATCGTCTACGTTATCATCATCTTCAATGTTATCAGCATTATTACTAGATTCACAGAAATAGATTACATGAAATAATAAGTAATTGCGGCGAAAGGATTTTTTCTTGATGGTTTCTGTATTGCATCCCCAATAATGCAGAGAGAAACAACTCATTTGTCTTACAGACGTACACGTGTGTATGTGTTTGTTCATATCTGCACACTGTGACATACTTGCTCTGTATTTCCACGTAGATATGATTACTTTCAGAAAACTGCCAGCAGTTTCTCCACACATGCATTCACACCCATACACCTCAATTTAAAGTGTACATATTATGCTTTAAGCCTAATACTTTATGCCCATGGCTAGAACAAGGCTGGCTTGTCATGTTATTTATAGTTCTCCACTGATCTATCAATCTGAAATGTCCTGTCATTCCTCTGTATTTTATATCTATTCGATGCATTTATTTCCCCTTGTCCAGTGCATACTGTATTTGGCCTTCCATATTACCTTCCGCTCTCTCTTTATTGCCATCTTCAGTTGCCTCAGAGCTTGCACTCTGACCTCCTTGTGAAGCAGAGTTCTCAACAATATCATATTGCCATTAAGAACTATATATTTATTGAAAATACAACAACGCATCAGAGTAAGACAATCTAATTCACGTTCCAGATTAAATAACATGAAGCATCTAAATTAGCAATAAGCTAATAGCGATTTTCTCCCAGACGATTGCAGGGTTAGGGTTGCAGTAATAGATCTAAATGGTTTGTATTTCTTTGCTTCTTTCAGAAAACAGGGTTCAGTGAGTTGCTCAAGGGCACTTCTGCATAATTTTTTTAGCTACACACACATCTGAAGTACAGTGCTGCCTCGTGACCAAACCAGGAACCTCTCAGTTACAAGTCAGCCTCTGATGAGCCATTTGATATCACCCAATGTCATTACAAGGACCCTAGCCCACACTAGTGATAGAGCACCTACCACTGGGGGGCTTCCTGGTAATGCAATACAGCATTCAAAGCCACAACTGAGTCTACCTTTACCCATAGATGCTGGGTCGGTATTACTTTTCCCTTCCTGCCAAGCGAAGCAGGCTGACTTCAAACCTGTGATTAAGGCTCTGCTGTGTCACTGGGCCTCTTAGTGGAATAGAGGAAAGTGGAAATGTGTCAGAGAGAGAGGATGATTCACAGTGTGCGTCAGACGAGGGCACTGACTGGAAGTCTGGCGGCACAAGGGAACATCTTAACCCTCTCAAGTACACTCACATGCTGTTTACAAGTCTTTAATCAGATGTTGAGTGGCCATGCAGGTGCTGTAACAAACACCACATCACGTTTACTCTGCAGTCGGGTGACGGATTGCAGGGAAACACTTAAAACATACTGAGAATAAAAATAGGCAGAAAAAAAGCAAGTCAGCATCACTGATTCTCCCCATCTGGCAGTGCTGCCTCTCGCTCTTTTCTTTCTCTTCTACCCTGCCTCTTTGTCCTTCCATCTTCCCTCTCCTTCCGTCACTCCATCTCTCCCTTATTCGTGTTATGGTCCTTCTGTCATCCCGATACGAAACACCCTCTCTCGCCCTGATACACTTCTCTGTCGTACTTCACTTGTCAGTTGTATTGATCAGCTCAGCTCTTACAGGATTTACATACAGTGCTCGCCCAATTGCTTGTAACGACCTGGCACGGGTGTTTGTAAAAGTGTGTGTGTGTGTGTGTGTGTATGAGAGAGAAAGAGGAAAACACAGAGGCTGACTGACACTGACAAGCTTGACTATCTTAAATATTGATTGCCTGTGCACGCTTTTGTGCATTTGTCTCTCTCCCTTTAGGATTCTGTCCACTGTGGGTTCAGATTTCGACTTGCGGACCCTCAGGGCTGTGCGAGTATTGAGGCCCCTCAAACTGGTGTCTGGTATTCCCAGTAAGTCAGAATTCTTCATTTGAACTAACCATGACATTGAAAAATTTGGCCAGCCTCCTGCCTTGATCCCAAACAGTTTCTTTGTCATTCCTCAGTGGAGAAAATTATTTCTTTAATGTGCAGAACAGTTTCAGATTTTATCAAAATAGCATGGAGGAGCATTTTGTGTCAAGATATTATGCAGCTTTTGTGTTGTTCTGCATAATGCACCCAAAATGTTCCAACAAAAGTGGTTCTTCTATGCACTCTCTGCTCCTTTTTTAAATGTTATAGTGGCAGCAGTGTTCCAACACCACTGCAGTGTTATTAATAGCTTGGACGCCACTACAGGGCTGAACAGGCAAACCAAGGCTTACTCATCATAAAAGTCACTGAGCTTCTAGTGAAAACCCAATTTGAGTTGCATTCCAGTATGTGATGAACATTTAAAAAGTGTGATCATTTCACGTTAAATTAATACTTGCCATTGAGACCTTTTTGTTTGTTAGAACACATGTTTGACGGTGAAAAATGGGGGTGGTTTATATTACCTCAACTAAACATGTAGCATGGTTAAAAGTGTAATCTGAGAGTCTTGGTATAAGTGTGTGATACAGTCATATCTTATCTATGGTTTTTCAGTTTCAAACTGTTATTATTATTATGACAGCACTTGCATTGAAGAGTTGGTTTTATGCTTTTTGGTTTTTCCCTTTCCTTTATTGAGTTATATATCTTTTTTTTGCATGTAACAGGTTTGCAAAGTGAAAAAGCCCAAAGTCCACTCCAAAGGGAGTTCCCATCTCCCACAGAAAACTCTGCTCTGAACTGCCTGAAAACAGCTCGTTTGTAGTCCAGCCATTTCCCTTTCATCCCTGTGACGTCACAGAGGATGAAAGCAAAATGCCCGTCATTTAATGCTCGCCAAGCGGCTACTCCAACACGCCCTCAAAAACACCGGTGGAAAAACACTGAGCTGCAGCACAAACCTTGTAGGTACCAAATCCGTGCTGCCTGCCAGATCCCTATCTGCACATGCGCAAAAGTGGTCCTGTCTGTCAAAAAAGATTACCCCAAATGTGCCTGTTCGTAATTACTCGTGTGTTGTTGTCTGTTCTCATCTCAGGGCATCCAATACTGACGCTTTCAGAAAGGCACACAAAGCGTTATTTGATCATAGTAATTGATGCAAAAAGTACCCTTCGGCGTGTGTATGAGACGCCCTGTCTAGATCGGAAGCGCTAGCTAGCTACATTAGTGTAAAAGGCTTTGACAGCTTCCCAAAGCCCATTACCATTACCCTAACCATGACAGGGGTGTGTGCCTAAACCAAAGTCAGCGACTGTATCCATGTTGATCTGCTAACCCTACGGCTGTGCACGTCGGCCTGCTAGCAGCTAGGGTTAGCCTCCTTTGTATTGCTACTTTGTTAGATTGTTGTCATTATTAGAAATTAAAAATGTACTGTTAAATGAGTTTTTTTCATATCTTGAGTTACATCATAGTGTACGATTTAATCTCCAGTGATTAAAAAACATTTTGTTATCTTGATTTGAAAGATTTAGTTGGATCATTTTGAATAGGCAGATTTGCGGTAACCTTCTTTGACTGACCACTTTTGCACATGTGCAGAACTGATCTGGCAGGTGGTACAGATTTGGCACTGACACACGTCTCCTCTCCCTTCCAAACACTAGCTACCCTCCAGGTAGTCAATGGACATAAAGTTGTTACTGTGATGTAGAGACAGAGCCCGGTTATAACTTTATGGATGAAAGATACATGTGTAGATACATGATAGATTAATAACTCACCACTCTGCAACTCTTGCTCCAGTCCATGTTGCTGAACTGGTAAGGGGATATACAGCTGAACCGAAGCCGTGTTTACCGGCTTCTCATTGACGCGCCCTTCTCTGCTTCTGATTGGCTAGTAGTCCTTAACTCCCAACAAAGATCATGTAGAGGCAAGATTTGTCACTCCATAGCTAAAACGAAGCGTTCAACACACAGGGCGAAAAGAGGAGCAGCAGTATGTCAAAAATATGGTGTTTTTTTGAAAATGAAACCATGTAAACCTGTTCTAGTACAACCCCTAAATAAGATTTTGAACCTGAAAATGTGCATAATACCACCTCTTTAAGCAGTGAAAAAAAGGAGTGGAGAGCCTGTTTTCATTCCGAGGTCGCCACATACCGAAGCTTTGTCAGTGTCCCTCAGTTACATTACATACGTGACTTATGTAAAGTAATGTGCTTATTTGAACCCAAACCACAATCTTTTCCTAAACCTAACCAAATAGGTTTGGTGCCTAAACCCATCGAAACTGTGACCATTTCCCAACGTTAACGTTGGCTCATACAGATGCTCAAGGGTACCATGTGCGTCTGTTATGAGATGCATTGACAAAGCGTCTGTATTTGACAACCTGGGATGGAAATGTGTGGTAGTGGAGGACAAGAAGGGAGTTTAACTGCCAGATAAGTAGGGGGAGGAGGGTAAAGCCTGCAGCTTTTTTTTTTTTTTAACTGTTGAAAACACACTGACATTAAAACATACGAAGGATAATAATGGGTGTAAAAATCAATGTATGCACTGTGTTGTCCAGGCTTACAGGTGGTGCTCAAATCCATCATGAAGGCCATGATTCCTCTGCTGCAAATTGGCCTGCTTCTTTTCTTTGCCATCCTCATGTTCGCCATCATTGGTCTGGAGTTCTACATGGGCAAATTCCACACAACCTGCTTTGACAATCACACAGGTAAAGGAGTGTGTGTGTGTGTGTGTGTGTGTGTGTGTGTGCGCGTGTGTGTGTTTGCCACTTGTGTAGTCAGGATTAAGGTTGAGGTAGCCTTTATATAGCTGCTGTGCTAAAATTAGAAAAGCAATTTAGTTCAACAAAATAACATTTGTGGTGTTAAATTGTTTGTGGTACTTCCATTCCATGTTTTTGTGATGGGAAAGGCAGTTACCAGAGAGTGTCATTCACTGCTAATATCTGTATACATTTCCCCGTATTCCCTGTATTAGGGCTGAATGATTTTGAAAAAATATCTAATTGTGATCATTTTAACTGATATTGCAATTGTGATATGATTTGTGATATTGAAATTTTAACATCATTATTCTCATTTTCATTGAAAAACATATTAAAATGATTGGGGTGTAATGTTTGCAGGGATCTGTACCAAACAAAGATGTTTCCTTAAGTCTGCAGAATATGATGTGTAGGCCAGGACATCTCTGCAGCATGACAGTATTTACTTTAAATTGATTGATTTTTACACACTTTTTACCTTTAACAAATATAGCGCCTCTTGCGATTTGAAAATTGCAGTAGATGTATTGTGATTTTGATAAAAGTTTGATTATTTGCTATTTTTTTGGCCTATTTAGCAGTTATGATGAATCTCAAATATCTACTTCAAGCAGGTTAGCCTATTTTGACTATACTTTGTCCATATTACTTTATGTCGCCTATACCTTTTATTTTTTGTAGATTATTTCCTCCCTATATTTTATTCAAGAAAGTAAGGGGCTAAATCATATTTTGAGCCAGTGGATAGCACTCACTATTCTTTCAAAACAAAATGCTCATATATGCAAATATATTGTTTGTTTTGTAACACCTCCCTATTTTCATCCATTTAAAGGTGAGATTAAAGCAGATTATCCATGTGGGACTGAACCTTCGTCACGGGGGTGTCCAGTTGGCAGCATGTGTAGAAAGTACTGGCTTGGACCAAACTATGGCATCACCCAGTTTGACAACATCCTGTTTGCTATCCTCACCGTCTTCCAGTGTATCACCATGGAGGGATGGACTGAGCTTCTCTACCATGTATGTACTCCTGAACAGGGTTTGGAACACATTTACGCACTCAGTGATCTACTTTAGCCTGCGCAGGAAAACAGAGCATGTGGATTGGAAGATATTCATCTTGTGAAGCGGAAAGGAAAGACATTGAAGGAACCAATTATCGTTGAAAGGATTTTAGGAATGAGCTACTGGGTAACTAGTAGGAGTGTGACGAGACTTCACTGCTAAATTATATAAAAATTCAGAGCATTAAACACTTCCTGCATTCTGGCAAATTTTCTTGACCAATTTATGGTGGAAATGTTTTTATGTATGAAAACAGAAACACAAAACTCAGGTGACAATTCAGAATATAACAGAATATAATACAGTAAGGTTCTCAGGCATGTGTTGTTTTCAGATATGTTTTCTCCTGTAGATCAACTTTTCTAATTTAATATCATCCCTGCTGAGTCATCACACACATGCAGGCATGATTTAGTCTTCCCTCCGCTTTGTGTCTTTTGTATGGGGAAGTAAACTCTTCAAAGGGGCTATATGTAGTTTTTCAATGTAATCACTTATTAATAAATCAATTTTTTACTACCTTTTTGTCAATACGCACAGATTCCAACATAAACTCCACGTAAGGATACAAAACAACAATAAAGGTTTATGTGCTGAAGTCTGTTAGGCCAAATGAGAATCAAAACACAGTCAACATCAGAAAGGCTGGAGTCACAGAGAGAGTCACGTTATCTCCCTGGCTAATGCCGAGCAGTTGCTAACATTATCTGGTGCAATATATAATATGAAAAATTATGGCTTTCCACATTACTTCACCAGCTAACGCGACCCATATTACTATCCTGTGTACCACTGGTCTTCCTGTCTGTCTATAAACTTGTAGTGTATGAGGACTTTGGTAGAAACCAACCCGTTCTCATCTCAGGCGTCATGTATATACTTTGACATAATCGTCAATCGCAAGACATAAATTTTGCGTGTGTATGATATGCTGCAGTTTGCTATTGCGTTGCTGCTCAAAAGATGCTAACCCTGTGCACATTTGTAGGGTTAGCCGGTCGACATGCATATATTTACTGACTTAGGTTTAAACACAAACTTCTGTGACGGTTAAGGTTAGGGTAAGTTCCCTCGGGGGACTGTCAACTCCTTAAACACAAACTTCGCTACTAGCTAGCTCATGAGTTTATGCCTATGGCTCAAGCCCGTGTACGAGCACACACCTGGTTGCAATCTTAAAACTGCACTGCTGGTGGCCACTGAAAACTATATATTGTCCCTTTAAATATGCCTGATATGCATGATAAAGATAAAAATCCCTGGACTTGCAAATTCATAGTCTGTCCTACATATCTGTGTTGTCTGACATGTTGGGAAAAAAGGTGTAATATTAACAGAATAACGTCATCACTTCCTAATAATTTTTAAAAGTCCTGCCCTATACGGCTGTGTATTAAGTAATTGCTCCGGTGGTAGTAGCATTATCCCCTTCAGACAGTTTGAAAAGCGAAACTAACCAACAACAGTTGTGATCAGGCATAAATCCAAAATGTTAACTTTAGCACCTCTGATAAAGTGCAGCTCACAGTCTCAAACAGAGCAAGGTTATGCTTCAGTTTTTAGATGTTTATATAGCAAAACGCTACCAGCTAAGTTTCTACTCGTCGCAACTGTCTGGACTTGCAGCGTGGCAGGAGCAGGTTCACTTGATTACTATCACGGCGTACGCTGGTGTCACATCACCAGCGCGGAGTTGATTCATTCCCTGAGTCAACATTAGATGCGTTTGACTGTATGCTGTGCTACGCAGTGCTGACTTAACGTGATCATGCTGGACATAACGTAAGGCATGCTAGTAACTAGTCAGTCAGATGAGAGTTGCAGATCTCCATGCCTGTACAGTTAGGCGAGAAAAGAAAGCATTATTCAAGTGAAGAGGATGATAACCCAGAATAATTATAGTTATTTTGTTTGCCATGTTGACCCTGTTTAGGTGAGACAATTCGTTGGATTAGTATTTCCATTAACTGTCGTATTTGGTGGCCATTTTGTGTGGATAAAACCGCCACACAAAAGCTGGGGGGAACTGAAACTGAAACTGAAATACATAGTCAAATGCAGCTGAACTTGAGTTTAATGTTTGTCCAACATGTCTCTCAATTGTCACAATAGTATTTTCTCTCTAAAATCTTAGCCTGCACAACCAAACCAACCAACATTATTTTCTCTCATAAAATACAAAAATTTAAGTGTTTAAGCGCCCAACGATTTTCACCTGTGCACCATGTGCGTCTGCCCATAAAATAGGTACCAGCTCTTGAACAGTGTCATTACTCATGCCCAGGACTGAATAGTTCCCTGCTGTCAGTGGCAACGGTTGCTAGGAGACCAGAGGTAGATGAGGGTCTTTGAGTGTTATTGTAGTCGTCTCTTTTCCCATCTCGTCTCCCTCTCAGTCCGTCTTATTCTTATTCCCCATCTTTCTTTCTTTATTCCTTCTTTTTTCTTTCTTTATTATCCTTCTTTCTTCCCTTCCTTCCTCTCTTCCCCTCTCACTCTGTGTCCCTCCTTCCCGGTGCTGCTCTATATTTAAAAGGGCCTGTTCAGCCCAAGTTATTCTTGCAGCTGCTGGGGAGGGGAGCAATAAAAGTTTAATGGTAAAAAAACGGGTCTGCAGTACATTAGGTACACAGCAGCAATGCCAGCTTACATGCAGGAAGAAGGAAAGATGGAGGACAGAGGAGACAGGTGGGCGAAAGACAGGGAGGCTATGAGAAAGTGAGTGCAAAGTGGGAAAGGGAAGATGGGTTCTAGAGGTTGGAAAGGGCCAAATGAAGAATCAAAGACGAAGACTGATCTGCGACAGTGAGGAGGAATGGAAAGATTGCACAGAAGAAGGAAGGGAGGAGGGAAGGTAGGAAGGAAGAACTGTAGGAAATAATGAACAAATGAGCACACACCAACATAATTAAAAATCAGGGGAAAGGGCTTCCAAAGTAGGATGCGAGTGGAGAGAGAAAACAATAAGGAGTGAATAAAGAAAATGGAAGGAGTCTGGACAGTAGGATGGTAGAGACAGAGAGGGAGAGACCAAAGCATTTGTTATACATTATTTACTCTGCACTGAGCAGCTAAATAGAGTGGCAGATATGCATTTACTTATTGAGATGACTTAAAGCAAAATCATGTCAGCCCTGCTGTTGTTTTTATTTCCAACAGCAGTGCACAGCACTTTTTAGTGCACTGGCCTCTATTTTTTTAATAGCCATGTTGGCTGAACATTTAATGATGAGTTTAGGGCAAAGTTTGCTCCAGATGTTCTTTTTTTATGAAATTAATAGCTGTTGAGAGTGAGTATTTAAGACACAAACAATGTGTGCAGTGCCTGGATGCAAATGAATGCACCTTAATTTAACAAGCAGGGCTAATAAATTGACCCTTCGCTAAGCCACGCCCCGAATATGCAGCTGGCCATTCACAGCGCAGTATAGGTCTCGCTCTAACTGAGGTATGACACTTTCTTGGCTGCGTTCCATTGACTGGTATAGAGAGTCCCTCCCCTTCCGGTGGACCACCAGGTGACCTTACTTCGGAAAAAATATCAATGTCAATGGAAAGAGACAATAAATTTTTTTTATCCCGTTTGAATATACATTTAAAAGTCAAGAAAGTCACAGTTTGATGTAAAACTGTTGAAGCAAATACAGCAATCAACGCTAGTGTTACCGGGTTAACATGTTGGTGACTTATATTGTGCGAGACGAGAGATGTAGTTCATTGAGCGGTTCATTGACTACCGTATTTTCCAAAATAAGGTCCCACGGGCCAGAAGCGGAAACGTGTGACTTTTGTTGCTGTATTTTTCCAAGATATGGTCAAACGTTGCTCCTGGGTCACATATCATAGTTACATTCGCTACCCAGAGAGGTTGAAAGGAGAAGTACGATTTATTCCCTCTCCAAAACCTAAAACACATCCAGAAAAATGTGATGTTAGTTAGCTTGCGCTAGCTAAATTATTACTGAATGTAACGTTGTATAACCCTACTGTTCTGCTTTTTAATGATTGTAATAGGCAATAGAGACCTACCCAGCTGGACAGGAACAGTGTTGAGCCTTAATATCGTTGTCCTCTTTCTCATTAGTCAGGTGATGCGGTGGTTTACTTTTACTCTGTGATTGGTAGGCTTTTGCTTCTGTCTTTTTTTTTTTTTTCCTCAGTTTGACTGCCTGAATACAACCTTCAAATGCACAATGCAAACTGTCTGCTTCTTTCTGAAATTGCTTTTTTCCAGAAATTAGACAGTATTTCTCCAAGGAGTGCAGTTATAGACAGTGGCACAGCTTTGATAAACGTAAGACAGGTCCTACAGTTTATTGGACTTAGCAACAGTAACTAAGGGGGGCGTGGCTTAGAAGGGTCAATTTCACTGGTGTTTTCTTTAGTGTATGTTTTCCCAAGACAGATGTTAACCTAGCCTTAACTTTAGCACAGACAGACCAAAACATATGTCATTGCAGTTGATTCAGGCTGTACAGTCCCACTGCATGTTTCACGGACATATTCTACATGTTCTAAAGCAGCCCACAGCCTACTGGTTATACATTTTATATATTCTTCTTTTGGTGGGGTCACAAGAATGTCTAATGTCTCACTCGATCAAATATTTGGTCATTATTTCCCAGAGCTCACTTTAATAAACTTGTAAATGACCTTTGTGTTAGCTTATATGCTATTATATCAAGTTCAGAGGCTTAGAGCAAAACATTGATTACTCTGTGTGTGTGTGTGTGTGTGTGTGTGTGTTTCCAGAGCAACGATGCCTCAGGGAGTGCATGGAACTGGATGTACTTCATCCCCCTCATCATCATCGGCTCCTTCTTCATGCTCAACCTGGTGCTGGGTGTGTTGTCCGGGTAAGTGTCTGTTTGTGAGAGAGCACTTGTGACAAAGAGAGTGTAAAGGTTGTTTATTCGTCAGTTTTTCATCTCATATAAACTGATAGTTTGATAGATTTTGAAATAGATTTAAAAATGTTTGTGATCTATTGTCGCACTAAAAATGTGGTGTGCGTGTGTGTGTTTGCAGGGAGTTTGCCAAAGAGAGAGAGCGTGTGGAGAACAGGAGCGAGTTCCTGAAGCTCAGGAGACAGCAGCAGATTGAAAGGGAACTCAATGGTTATCTGGAATGGATTTGCAAAGCTGGTATGTGCAATGGGTGGTAATTTTTTATACAAAAAGACACATTGAACCATAAAAACATTTGCAAAAAATACCTGTGTATGTTATCATAGTACAGTTTTCCTAGCCTGCCTATAAACACAGAGAATTCTGTGGATTTTACTATGAAGCAGCTGCAGTACATGTAGTCATGGGATTATTATTAGCTTAAACAGTTAGTTTTAAAGCAACATGTGATAATGTTTTGTGTCAGTATGTTAAATTGCATTTTATGTGCGAGAAAACAGCTTTGTAGTGACATACAGTACCGCAGTTTGAACAGGGAAGACCCACTGTTTGCCCGTTGTTCTCTTTCGCTCTCTTGTCTTTTTACTGTGAACCATCTACTGAGGGCAGGAAAGATGTAGAGAAGATAAGAGGAACGGGGGGTTGGATGTTGGAAGGAGCAGATAAAGGGGCAGATAGAAAGGACAGACCTTTGATCTTCTTGAAAAGACAATCTACATAAAAACAAGGAAGCTGAAAAACAAAAGAGGGAGGGATGAGTAACAAGCACAGGTGCAGGCCAAAGACTTCCCGGTTGTAATTAAAATGAGAAATGGCAATTGATGATAAATAAAAGATTGATAGATATTGTGGAAGTCATCAAAGATAAATTTAATGCGGCTGTATACTGTATTAACATTTCTGTGTGTGTTTTGTAGAAGAGGTCATCTTGGCAGATGATGACAATGAAAATGAATATGATGGTATGAATTTGCAGATTTTTGTTTGTGCATGTGTGCAATTTTTAAGAAATAAATAAATTGATTCTTTCAGACATTCAAGCACACCAGTACTGTTGTGTTATAGATTAAACACACATGCTTTTTTTCTATTACAGGCTCCCGTAGGAGAGCCACAAAGAACCATAAAAACAAAGCTGAGCTTCTAAACCCAGAGGAAGGGGAGGGAGATCTGGCAGTAGGTGAGATACACTCTCTCTTTCTCAAACACACACACACACACACACACACACACACACACACACACACACACACACACACACACACACACACACACACAGTCTCAAAGGCAAACCACAGGAACATACAGATGCTATCTTATCTTGCATATCAGCATTACCTGACCCTCCTCTCCTTCCCTCTCCTGTCCTCCGCTGCTCTGCACTTCTCTCCTCATGTTACTTTCCCCCCCGTCTCCAGCCCTCCTCATTTTCTACCTTTCCTTTCTCTGACCTGCCCTTGTTACCTCCTCCCTACTGCTCTCCTTACAACCCCTCTTTCTCCACGCCTCTGATGCAGAACAGTTCTTTCTGTTTTCTCCCAATGATTTTTTTATATTCTATGTAAAGACATGTTGTCATGATGTAATTGGGGCAGCACAGTTTGCTAAGAAGAGTACAGATAATCAGCTTCTTTCATTTACCACAATCTTTGCATAGTGGTCAATACCAACAAGGAAAAGAATATTCAGCTCTGACTTTTTGCTTAGCACTCAATGGAATATTCCAACAAGCAAAAAGTCAGTACTAAAATATTATTTTCCTTGTTGGTCTTGACAGAGATACAAAGATTGTGGTAAATTAAAGAAGCTTATTACTCTGTTTACATCCTTAATGTACACAACCATACCAATAAACCACTGTCCACTTTATTGTAACACTAATAACTTACAATGTGCCTTGCTTGCCCTTCCAGGGTCACCATTTGCCCGTGCCAGCTTGAAGAGCTCCAAGCTCGAAGGATCAACTTTCAAGCGGCGTGAGCGACGGCTACGCTTCTTAATCCGACACATTGTTAAGTCCCAGGCCTTCTACTGGACCGTGCTGTGTTTGGTGGGCCTCAACACAATGTGTGTGGCAGTAGTGCATTACGACCAGCCAGAAGCACTTTCAGATTTTTTATGTGAGTAGGTGGGCGGGGGTGATACATGCATAGTTTGGTGCAAGCATGCACAGATTTTTTTCCCACAAAAATAGTTAATAGTTTAGTTAATAGTTTCATCACAGATTACTGGAAGGGAGTGGGTGAACAGATTCTTTAGTGAATGTGACTAAATCCACGAAAGAGCCGACCCAACCAGCACATCCAAACATACAACATCTTCCTTTCGCACAGATTTTCTCTTGTGTTTCGCTCAGACATTCACAAATGGGATAAAATGAAATTAAATGAGAAATGAAAATAGTTTATGGATTGGTTCCCTGTTTTATACTTTTTGTACTACCAAAGGTGTAACCCAGGCTACAAAACAACACAGTAAGAGGTAGAGCTTACAGGAGGAGTGGGAAATTCTTTTGAATTCATACCATTGATACAAATTACAGACTTTTTTTATAAACCCAAATCACAAAATAGCATTTTCTATTCAATACATATATCATAAAACAGTGCCCTTCCTTACAGACGACACGAATGGATGGATTGGTGGGTGGGGGGATGGATGGATGGCTGATGGACGGGTGGGTGCATAATTTGCAGATACAGGTTGAAGGATACAGGGATTGATGGTCTCCTCTCACTTTTGAGCTCTTCCCTCTCCTCTCTTCTTGGCTTCTTCCCGTCATGTAGATTTTGCTGAATTCACCTTCCTGGGGATATTCTTGACGGAGATGTTTGTAAAGATGTATGGCCTGGGCAAGCAGGCCTACCTCAACTCCTCCTTCAACTGCTTTGACTGCATTGTGAGTCCCGCAGCACTTGGCACACACCCCCACACAAAAACACTCGAGCACAAACTCACAAGCAGGTGCAAAATGCATTGGAGATATGCTGATGTGTGCACATTATTTGCTCATTATGATGGAAAAACCGTGTGCTTGCATATGCTATTATTTTTCGTTATTTTTGTGTTTGTATTAGGTGATATGTGGTAGCATATTTGAAGTGCTGTGGTCCATCATCCAGCCGGGGACATCGTTTGGCATTAGTGTGTTACGAGCTCTCAGGTTATTGAGAATCTTCAAAGTCACCAAGTGAGTCTACTGTATAATAGTTGTTTTCTCTATTATTTAGTATGTTCATATAATAATAACAGTAATAATATCACACAATTAAACACACACGTTCTGTCTACTTTTTTCAGGTACTGGGCATCTTTGCGTAACCTTGTTGTCTCTCTGCTCAACTCCATGAAGTCCATCATCAGCTTGCTCTTCCTGCTCTTCCTCTTCATAGTTGTCTTTGCTCTGCTGGGCATGCAGCTCTTCGGAGGACAGTGAGTCCTGTTTTCCTTTTAATGTGGCTTCTCTATCTGTATTTCACTCTCCTCTTCTCCTTCCTTTTCAATAGTCTACATCTGATTTTCTACCTGTACTGATGATGCTTCCATGTTTTTACCCTCACACTTTTCTTTAATATCTCCTTCTCCCATTTAATTTCCCCTGCTAGGTTTAATTTTGAAACTGGCACTCCTCCGACCAACTTTGATACTTTCCCTGCAGCAATAATGACAGTGTTCCAGGTGAGGACAGGAAACAATGTAAAGGGGAGGAAGGGAGGGAGAGGCTGGGAGGGGAATGGTGGGAGAAGAGAAGGCCTGGATTAAGACTAAATGATTAAAGGATTAAAGAGGATTTGCACACGAGAAAGTGATATAACATGTAGAATGCTACATTAAAATTTTTAAATGTCATTAGTCACCAGCATAATTTGGTTAAAGCTTGTCTACGTGGTTACGGTGTGATTATGCTCGAGGGTGTTTTGACTATAGCATTTTAAATTAATACATATTGTGTGTTTATGTTTTCTATTTCAAAGCATAATTAATCTAATCATGTTTTGTACTTGTAGTATTTGTGAATATGGAATTGTTTGACAATTTTTTTTGTGTGTGTGTGTGTGTGTGTGTGTCAGATCCTGACCGGTGAGGACTGGAACATGGTGATGTACGATGGCATCCAATCTCAGGGCGGAGTCAACAAGGGCATGGCCTTCTCTGTCTTCTTCATCGTGCTCACGCTTTTCGGCAACTGTATCCCTTGACTGTAAAAATGCAAAGAAGCACACAAAACACACTATACTAGAAATTTGCAGTTACATTTCTTTTTTGTGTTTTACTTACTGACTTCGGACCGAATACACAGATCTTGACACTTTTTAGTTTGTGTTAATCACCATAAACTGGTAAGGGATCTGACCTTGTTTCTTGTGTCATTTGTCCAACAGTTACAGCATACCAAGTGTTTTAGCCAATTACTGTATATGAATGATGTGTACAAACAAACTCCTACATGCTGGATTTCCTTTAACTCTGTGCTCAGACACTCTGCTGAATGTGTTCTTGGCTATCGCTGTAGACAATTTGGCCAATGCACAGGAACTGACCAAGGTACACTAAGAGTTATGCTCCTCTACTCAATGATTCCTTGTCTTTCATTCATTCAGTTTCATTATTCCCACTTCATTCATCTTTGCTTATTTCTGATCTCGCTCTCTCTCACTCTCTCTCTCTCTGCAGGATGAACAAGAGGAAGAGGAGGCCGCCAGTCAGAAGATCGCCCTGCAGAAAGCCAAGGAGGTGGCTGAAGTCAGCCCGCTATCTGCTGCCAACCTCTCCATTGCAGCGTGAGGTTTTTTTCTCTGTTACTGTTGCACTCCTGTTTTTATATCCATTTGAAACCTTTTTCACAGGCAGGACTTTTAGGGCTAAACAATTGCACATATATCTTTACAGAAATTCTTTCAGCGACTAGGAGTCAAGTACTTATGCAAAATTAAGCACCTTAGAGAAAGCACAGTGTACTGCACTAACACAAAGAGTTATTGGAATGAGGAAAATTGTTGATAAACCTCTGTCATCTGTTTAGGTTTGGACCCTTACCACAGCACTTCATCAGGTATCAGTCTGAAAATGGTGATGTTATTGCAAAAAGCTTTTACATCACAGTTTATGGTCTCACAGAACTTAGCCCACGTCAAAAGACTACATTAATATACTGACCTAAAGCACACTCCTTGATGTTGTTTAATTTTGGATTGGAACCATGCTGACCTTCGGAAATGCCGCCTAAATCGCTCCTGTTATAATTTCAGGTTAAAAATAAGGACTGTGTTGTCAGTGCTGCAATTCTTTAGCCAAATTACCCTCATCCAAAGTGATTTTTCTATCTTTGTTTAAAATGAAGCAAATTCACATTGCACTAGGTGCGGACAGATTTTATGCAGAAATTCTGCATGAATTTTTTGTGTACATTCAGCACATTTTCTCATCACAGTGGTGTGAAACAGCTTTTGTTCTGCGGTCTTTTATGGGCACATTCAGCAACACTGTTCATATGCTACACAGTAACAACTACATTTCTTTGCCTTGCTTGGAATAAATGATCATCCCGTTTGTTTTTTAACACCCATAGGTAGACATGCGTAGTTAAAGTGAGGTTTTTTTATCTGACCACAGAAGTTTTGTGATAAAGTAAAACATGCATGCACTTGCTTCTTTCTCCCTCTCTTTTCTTCTTTTTATTTATCTTTCTCTTTGTCACACTCTTTTGTGAATACTAAAACACACACACACACACACACACACACACAAGCAAGTGTTGGATTGATCTGGGTCAGCCCTCCTCTGTTCAGGAGAGTCAGAGTCTTTGATCTCTTTTTTCTGTATACACAGGGGTCTTTCCTTTCACTCCTGGTAAAGTTCACACACTCTCACACATAGAGATGTACACATAACACACCATTGTCTGTCCCTAAAAAAGCACTACAGGGGAGCCTGAGTCTGTGCCGAGAAATATCACACATAGAAAACAGACAACACACACAACACATACACACAGCTCTGACCTTTACGCCTTTGGTACATCAGCCTCTGCCCACTTTATATCACACACATATTATCAAATGTGCCCAAGAGGTAAAGCTCATAACATGTTCATCATTTCGTGAATCACACTGTTTCTTGTTACTTTATGTGGTGTATGTAGTGTACTTCACCGTGCTGTGAGCATTTGTGTCTGTGTATCAGTAAATTTTATTTTAGCTGACAGTCCTATGAAGGTTAAATATTTATTTTTCAGTACAATGCACTTGTATATGCAGTATCTCACAAAAGTGAGTACACCCCTCACATTATTGTAAATATTTGATTGTATCTCTTCATGTGACAACACTGAAGAAATGGCATTTTTCTTCAATGTAAAGTAGTGAGTGTACAGCTTGCATAAATTTGCTGTCCCCTCAAAATAACACATCACACAGCCATAAATGTCTAAACTGCTGGCAACAAAAGTGAGTACACCCCTAAAAAGTGAGATACTGTATGTATGTATGTGTGGTGTGTGTGTGTGGTGTGTGTGTGTATGGGAAATAAAGAAACTGTATGTGCTGGTTCAGCCAGAAAAGCTTCACTTGCGTACTGAACTAGAATCCTGTAGCAACTCTAAGAAACTAGGGTAGAGATGAGTCTTTGATTAGATCACAGTACTAGCAATGTAGGACTGTAATGGGCGTTACATTCCACTGTAAATCCAAATCCTTCATTTCCGTAGCACAACAAAAGAGAAAGACATGGAAATTCCAATGGAGATAGTTCTTGTATTTCCAAGCTTTTTAAACTTGGGAATATCAGTGGTGCATGAAGATTCTCTTAAGAAGATGTTCTGTGGTGTATTCAGGAAGGACGCTGCCATGAAAGCTACATAAAACCCACAGAGAACAGTTGTAAGGCTACATGCTAGCACACGCATTTATGAATGAAACACAGTGAACCCTTAAACATCCATACAATCAGATTACAGGAATACAGCAACAATGTAGTAAATCCGTTTTTAATCACTTTAATGGTGTGAGTGTACAAGGCTGTAAATAGTTTCCCTAATGGGTTTTCAGTCATTAATGCACGGCAGTTTGTGATAAATATTTTTTTTAGTTTTTCCATTTAGCTTTGCTGTGTGCTAAACTGTTAGCATGCTCTATAGTAAAGCATAACATGTTATTATATATTATATTGTTTTTTTAATCTTGATGTAACCGTTGTAGGGTCATTCCTCATCAGCATGCTGCCAGTATGAGTACATCACGAATTTTAGTGGACACAAATCACAATGAAAAGATGTACGTGTGTATGGTAAACGTGTGAACTTTTGGAAGCTTTTCTAGTGTAATGTAGTGTTATTTTAAGATGGAGGAGGAGGAATTTGATGAAGAACTGCAAAAGTAAAGACAGAAAACCGCAAACAGCACTTTTAAATAAATAATATAAACAAAAAAGAGAGAGAGAAATGAAGGATTTGTAGATCAAGAATGTAATTGACTGGAAAAGGTTAGCTAAAAATGAAAAATAAAATTCAAATTTCTAATTAAAGATATTGTACAGACAAATAGGAATATCAGAGATAATGTTAGGACTTGAAAAAGATATTGTAAGAAATCATCAGGACAGAAAAGCGGTAGTCACGCAGGGTGAGTGAGTGATGCAAGAAAGATGAAATTTGTGAGACTGCGAAAACGAGGACAGTGAAAAATAAATAGGATTGTTTTAGATTTGCAGATGGAACAAGCTGCAGAGGTGAGTGCGTGTGAATGTCTGGGTATATGTGTTTTGTGTGTGTGAAGGGTTGCATTCCAAAATGCTCAATCTTCTAGGGGAAAAAAATGTTACAATTTCTTGTTCAGTTTTTGTATTTCAGAAATATATTTTACTTAATTTAGACAGACTGTTTATAAATAGTGGATGGATAGCCCATTTTGGAATGAAATCCTCCTTCTGTTCTTTCGTGCCATCTCACTCACCAGCTGTTTCCCTCCTCAGCAACAAAGTACACAGTGAGTGTCACAACGCTACCGACCCCTTTCTGGACTGGTATTTATTTATTTGTTTATTCATTTCTGATTCCCTTCTGTTTATTGATTACAACCATTCCTTGCTTTCTTATGTGTTTTAGAACACCCTCCTTTCCTTCTCCCTTTGTTCCTAACTTCTTTATGAAGTACATACCTGGCTTTCGTTAGCTGTTATTTGTGTTGGCTCATTTTTAAGAGTACATTTTCTGTTGCCTGCACCTGGCAGTACGGCTGTTGCTTTACTGTGGTTCACTATTAGCCCTGAGAAAAAAATGGAGTTCACGTTGACTACTGGTAGCTGTTTTGGAGGGTAAGAAAGGATGTGGTAACTCAGAGTTTTGGGGTGTTCTATCTCACACAGGCTCCGCCCTCTACTGGACTCTATGGATACTACCTCCTCCAATCACACGCACACACTTGCCCACTGAAATTTTTATTGTGCACGTTGCTTCGGTAGAGTGGAGGTGGATTTGTTTGCCAACCGGCACAACACCCACTGCCTGCTGGGGATGGAAACGTTTGCACATGCACCCTGGAAGCGTTGCTGTATGCATTCCCCCCCACCTCATCTCATCCCTCCAGTTAGGTGAGGCGGGAACGGTGTCATTGTGGTAGAAGTGACGCAGCAGACATTGACAGAGCCCTGGCCTGTACCTTGGGGGCCTGGGGGGCTCTGTCACAAGAGTGAGGCGTCATATGCGCGATGCTGGTATTGGACCAGCCTCTCCAGGTTTGGCTTCTGAAAGGGAGAGGCAGACACAGGCTGGTCTATCTGCTGAGGTCATACAGTCCATCTAGATGGCAGGCAGTCTCCACCACGTCTTACTGTAAAGCTAAGTGGTTAGGCTTTCATTGCTGATGCATTGAGAGGGAGACGGATCTGTCTACCTGTTCGGTGGGATCTGTTCTCTCTTTCCGGCAAGGTCTGATGGAGAAGGGGCTGTCACACTCAACCATCACGGTGTACACAACAGCTATCTCTCCTGTGAAGAACAGCCACCCGCTCCTGATGCGCTTGGGCCTGAGAAGACAGCGGCCGATGTCGTGTCTCTCGGCATCTCAGTTGGACTCTGCTTGTGCTGGAGGCTCTAAGCTCTGCACCTTATGAGCCCCTGGAGCAGTCCTCATTGAAAATGCTATCTCTCAAACAGCCTTGCTACTAGCTCTGACCTCTGCTAAGAAGGTGAGTAAGCTGTGTGCTCTGTCGGCAGCTGCATGCTGCTTCATGGTGACCATAGTGCAGCCGGATTGAGACAAAACCCCTCCTTTGTTCTTAAGAATATAAGGAGCATGTTCAGGTCCAGGGCATTAAATCTGGATGCCTTCTACCCCCCTACCCCACTTAGGCTAACATCCTATGTAGAGCACACAGCCCCCATTCGCCGCACTGGTCAGCTGTTCATCTGTTTCAGTGAAAGTGCAGTCGGTAAGACCCTATCCAAGAAGAGCCTGGCCAGCTGGCTTTGTCAGTATGTCTCCCAAGCCTGTACACGGACGGGAACAGACCCACCCTCAGTGGTGCGTGCACATTCCACTCAAAGTGTCTACAACCCCTTTCAGCAGGGTGTGTGTCGAAGAGATCTGATCCTTACCGTGCCCGCAAAGTGCAACCCAGGATCTGTAAAGTAAGGATCCGGTGGTGCCTGATATTCCAGTGAGAAGTCAGGGCAGTCCACGTGTTAATGATCCGGCCAAACCCCTATTGGTCCAGCGCTTTTTTCAGGGGTGCCCTACCATTCTGTCACTAAGGTGATGTGGTAGTCGGGGCTTGTTGTGATAGACTTTGGCTTGTCACGGCTAGGGCGGACAGTCATCGGGGCTGTGTGAGATAGAACAAAGGTTATGATATAGTAACACTAGTTCTATAAGCACAGGCGGAGCCCTCTACCAACAAGCCCTGCCAAGGGTTTCCATATCGTAACCTTCGTTTCTGGATCGAGTAAAAAGGCCGCTCAGTCACCGTAACAGATTCTTGCGTGACTTTGCCATCTAGTTAGTTAAGATTGGTGGGGATTTAAGGTACCACTTTGGCTTTTTGTCCTGCAGAAAGCCTGTTTGGGTAGGTACATTATAGATTATTATAATGAATTCTGATCTTGCCTCAGTGTTATCCTTCATTTTGTTTCCCCAAATGGTTTACCAAAGTAGGGCTGTCCTGTCCAGTGCTTTGGCAAGCTGTGTAGACACCCAGAACCTTGTTCTATTAGGTCCATCCAAATGACTCTTTTAAATATCTGTCGCTCCCAGTGTGTCTTTATGTCCTGGCTATTTTATGTACTTATATTTTTGGTGTTGGTTTTCACATCATTCTCATGGCTTTGTGTCTATAGTTGCACAACAACACATGTCTTTAAACAGGTCTTTAATGCTGTCAATCCCCTCCTCTCTCTCCACCCTGCTTCATTTTGCAGTAAGGAGCAGCAGAAGAACAACAATAAGGGAATCAATAAGTCAGTGTGGGAACAACGCACCAAGGAGCTGAGGAGGCAGACTCTGGTGTCCAGTCGCGAGGCCCTCTATAACGAGCTGGACGCTGACGAGCGCTGGAAGGCAAGGACAGGCAATGGGGAGCAAAACAATGTAAAGGACAAGGCAAACAAAGGCCCCTAGACTTGTGCTATCAGTTTACACAAGTGACGGCAATGATGATGATGTCTTATGTTAACATGTTGCTTTCCTGATATTTATTTATTTATAGTTTAATGTGAATGTAATTTACAGTTGCAATGTTCATTTATTTTGTAGAAGTAAATTTTGCTGCTTCTTCACTAGCTAGAAAGATGTCTCTTTTGTATCTTCATTCTTTCTCTCTATAATGCCTCTCATTCCTCTTCTCTCCTTGCAGGTGAACTATTCACGTCAAATCCGTCCAGACATGAAGACCCACCTGGATCGACCCTTGGTGGTTGACCCCCATGAGAACCGCAACAACAACACCAACAAGACCACTGCAAACAATTCGGACCTCTGCTTCAGCCAGCACCATCCTGCTGATGAGCTCCACAGACAAACACTCCTCCACGAACAGGGTGGCCAAGTTGGAGGGGGTGGTGGAGGAGGCTCAGGTCCAATCAGGCCTCCCATGGAGCGGGGCGAGTCCACAGAGAGCAGGCGCAGCCGCAAAAGTGAGCACCACCACCACGCCTCTCATATCCGATTGGACGCTACAGTGATTCCTGGACCAGGCGGAGAGGAGAGGCCGCCCAGGCGCCATCACCACACCCGGAGCGGCAGCCGAGGGGGGGGGCAGTCAGAACACCGGAAGCCCAGGTCACACCGAAAAAGCGCAGAAGATGGTGAGGATGGCAGGGGAGGGGCTGGAAAAACAGGGAGACATAAAAGCAAAGGACTTGACGGTGGAGAAGGAGGAGAGCAGGAGGGAGGTGGCGATGGCAGTGAGAGGAGGCCAAGAAGAAATCGGCATGGCACGGAGGGCGAGGGGAAGAGGATGTGCCAGCACAGAAGGAAGTATGTCCATTGCACCTGGCTGTAGATATGCAAATATCAAACAGTTGGATATTCACGTTGCAGTTTTTGTCTGTGTTGTGATGTCCTCTCATCCTTAATGTTTATCCTCAGTATTTCTTCCCTGTTCTCTTTCCACTCCTCTCTCCATCTCAACTTTCCTTTTCTATCGCCAATTGTTCCTTCTCACTCCTTCTTTCTAGGGAATGCAGTGTCCCTAACCTCTCTACCACCCGGCCTATTCAAAAGAGCCTCTCCAGGCAAGACAGCCAGTACAGTGAGGACATGGACAACCTCATGAATACCAAACTGGTCTCTGGCTCTACCCCACCAAGCGATGGTGGTGATCAAGTTACCAACCACACTGTGGCCTCTGGCTTTGGATCTGCCCTCCATCTTGCTAACAGTGGCACTCATGGGAGTTTGGTCACATTAGATAGCTATGGGAGCATTGCACACCACCGTGCCAACAGTGTCATCAGGCTGCCCCACCATGACTACACAACTGTTGACATGCCAATTTTTCCATCCACCAATGCCATACTGCAGGGTAAGGGCAGCAGGCATGTGTGTTGTTTTCTTTACCTTCACTCTTCTTTAAGTGTTTCCTTGAATAAACTTTTGTTTTCATGCCATCACCTCCCATTTTTTCTCTCCCTCTTTGATCCAGTTAATAAGAATGCCAACACAGAGCCACTGCCAGCGAAGGAGAATAAGGATGATGATGATGACGAGAAGGGAGGTGAAGGAGGACCCAGGCCCATGCCTCCCTACAGCTCCATGTTCATCCTGTCTACCACCAACCCGTAAGTGGGATGGTTACAAACACATCCACACACACTTGCCTACACCATATAAATGCACGTAAGCTGACACACAGGACTGCATTCTGCCAACATCCACAACTGGATGGAGAAAGCACATACATTGTACTTATAAAGCAGGTCTCATGCATAGCATTAAAAAACTACATTTCTTTATGTGCTCCTAGGTTTCGGCGGGCGTGTCACTACATCTGCACCTTGCGTTATTTTGAGATGTGTATCCTGCTGGTCATTGCCATGAGCAGTATCGCCTTGGCTGCTGAAGACCCTGTCTGGCCCGAGTCCCCTCGCAACAATGTGAGAAAGTCGACAAAGATTAATGTACCAATGCTTTTGTTGTATGAAATATTATGTATACACATGTTATAACAATTCATTTTAATTTTGTTTTTTATTTAACATAGTGGTTGCTTTTTTCTTTGTAGCCTCACTCCAGCCCTCGGTGGAGTTGGACCAATAAATAGATAAATCATATCACATAATTATCTCCTCCTATTATTTTGATAACAGAACATTTTAATGATTTAAAGGACAATTTTTAAATCTTACCCAGAGGGAGACAAACTCATGGATTATTTTTGTATAGCATGTTTATGCAGGTATAATAAACATTTATATGCAATGCACTTTGTAAGTACTGCTTCTCCCACGTGTACTTACATACACTTAAAATATCAGGTAATAAAAAGCACCCAGTTCGCAATCAAATTCTGCAATGTATACAGAATGCCACAGCACGCCTCGTATTTAATCTACCAATGGTCTACCATGTGACCCCCATCTTCCAAAACTTCCCCTGGCTCCTGTAGTAGCTCGCATCAGATTTATGACAATCATAGTGGCCTAAAAGGCTATCAATGAAACTGCCCCCACTTACCTCCAGGTGTTAGTCAGACCTTATGCAACAGCTCGAGCTCTCCGCTCAACTACCTCTGCTGGTCTGCTTGCAACGGCATCGCTCAGAGCAAGCAAAAGTCACTCAGCTAAGCCACAACTCTTCTCTGCTGAGGCGTTGCATTGGTGAAATGAGCTCCTGGCAAATGTCAGGAAGCAGAGTTGCTTACCAGCTACCGCACGTAACTCAAGACTCAGTTGTTCAGAGTTCACCTGGACTTGGCATAGCCAAAAAAGAAATAAATCCTGGCTCTTAAAAAATAGTAGAGAACAGAAACCTATTGTTTTTTCACTTTCTTCTGAGAAATGTACTTATTGTAAGTTGCTTTGGACAAAAGCATCTGCTAAATGCAAAATGTAAAAATGTACAGCACATTTAAAGTTTAAAATAATTGTCTGAACATCTGAATTTGGAAATCATACTGTACGTTAGGGCTGCAGCTAACGATGATTTTAGTATTCGAATAGATTATTTCCACGATTCATTGATGCGTTGTTTAAGAAGTAGGATTACTTTTGCTTGGCAATCAATTTAATCGATAAATCGTTTCAGCCCTACTGTACATAACCAACCTGTCACTCTTTTCCACTAGCATGATGTAGCAGCAAATCATTCCCTCTTTTTCGTTTGTGCAGGTTCTACGTTATTTCGACTATGTCTTCACAGGAGTGTTCACATTTGAGATGCTGATAAAGGTAAGGCAAATCAAGAAAAAATAAGAATCAAGAATCCACAGCTTCCTCCAGATGTATGTATGTGAGAACCCCTGCCCAAATTCTCATCTCACACTAAGGCCAAATTGCACATCTATTTTTCAGGGGCTCACATTTCATATGTTCTCTTCTTCTCTTGCAGATGGTGGATCTAGGATTGGTCTTGCACCAGGGCTCTTATTTCCGGGACTTATGGAACATCCTTGACTTTATAGTGGTTAGTGGTGCTCTGGTGGCCTTCGCCTTCACGTAAGTCTCCCTCCAGCCTCCCTCTGTTCTCTCCTCTCTTACCTCCTTGCTCTTCCTTCTCTCCTGCCTCTCTACTGCCTCACTGGTACCTTGGAGTACAGCCCTCCCTGTTATTTTTTTATTCACCCGTGGCTCATTTTTGGGTTTTCTCTGCGTCTCCTTTCTCCTTCATCTCTCCCTGACTTCTGTTCGTTCATGCTCTCTCTGTTGTCTTCTCCTCCATTAAACTTTTTTTCATACCTATGCTTACAAATGGTCAGTCCTCTACAGATGGCCATTTCCTCTTCCTTTTATCTCTCATTTGACTTTGCACCCGCATTCCTGTCTTTTCCAAGCCCCTCCACCAATCCCACACTCCCCAACATGTTAAAAAATAGTATCCAAGCATTCCCTTCCTATCTACCTCTTCTTCAACCCTGTGAGAGGTGAGGACCACCCTTTGCACCTGTAACCCTTTAGTGCCCAAGGCGTTCTAGAGTTAAATGCCCATGCAAAGCCTGGCCAGGTCATGCTGGCTCCCAAAAATCTCCACACCCTTCTCCACGGCAAAGCAGGTACTTTAAACCCTACTTGATCTGCATGACTGTGAGGATAAAAAAACATCTGCATAACTGCGTTAAGTTAGGATTTAGTTTATGAGACTATGCTGGGTATACAGCATGAATTATGAGTTCTGGGAGTTGCTGTCATGCTTTTGCATGGTGGGGGGAAGCAGACCTCCAGGACTGCAGTCAACATTAAAGCTAATGTGATATTGCTGTTACTTAAAGTTTAAGTAATACAGTCCAATATGTATATTATGGTAAAACTGTTTCCTACGACAAATTCTTTCACCGGTCATCTGCTGAAGTAGTTTGTTTGATAGGTTCTAATTGATCCTTTTTTATTAAAAATCCAGTCTGTATTTTCAGGAAACAACAATTTCTGTGCCACACAAAGGTTTAGCTTTTGTGCTCTTGTGTGTGTTACACCTGTGTGGGGAAAGGTTGTAGACAGTAGATCTGGCAGACACAAGAAGCATCCTCACATGGAGGCCAAGATTCTCTGGCCATTGGATATTGTATTTTCTATCAGAAAAAGATTAACTAGTTATGTTGATCCTGCCACACATTCACTGTGCAAGTAAATGACCATTTGTACTTTCCCTCAAAGCAAATCTGACATGGTATGAGCTTAGCACAATTTTAGCTTGCTGTAAATGTCAACGTTCATTGGTATTCTGAAGTCAGAATAAAGGTCTGACACACTTTCCTATTAACCACTTCAGTAAGACATTTGCTTACCTTTCATAATATTTTCTGAATATATTATATAATATTTTCTCTTTCAAGAAAATACTATAGCTATAGATCCAGTCTGTTTGGGAACGTTAGACATGTGTGCTTGCTCCTTTGCCATTCATTTTGCAATGCCTTCTCTTCTCTCTTAAATTTTAAATTCTTGAGGCCACATGAGCCTTTTCATTAATCTTTTAAAAATAATTAATTATTTCAGTGGAAGTGAATTGAAATGAAACTGACACCAATTTCATAGACTCTGTTGATGAGGATGGTCTACATCCATATTCGCACAAGGTCTCCTTATCCACGTCAACTAAGATGGAAATGGCTGAGAAACATAAATATTTGAATGCATGCTGCATAATGCATTTGATGATCTATTTGGTACCGCCTTAACTCTTGATGACTTTGAATCATAAGCTGATAGGAAGTTTGCCAAGTGTAAACCAAAACAAACCCCTCCACTTTGCATTTTACCCAGCATGGTGTCCTGCAACATTGTCCCTTCAGTGCTCCTTTAAGCTGTTCCCTTTAAGCTGGAGTTTGAACCTGATCACTCAGCTTTCAAATTGCCTTAAATCTGTGGAAACTGAACTACAGTAAAACCTGAAGTTGTTCCTTATAGCCAAAGAAGACTTGAGCCGTCCCTATTTATAATTATCTCCCTTTCCTCCTATGCTCTTCTTCCGTCCCTTCACCTCTTTCACCGTTCATAGCAAGACCCGACAACTCTCTTACTTCTTCTTCCTCATTCTCCTGGACTCAAAAATGTTCACGCAATAGTTATTTCGGGTCAACAAGGAATACGAAGAAGAAAAAAATCTCACAAACTTATGAAATTGAAAAAAATGAATATTTTAACCTCATTCTAACCATGGTCATTATAGAGTTACTATAAATTCTTAAAATGTACTGTTACCTGCGTCTACACTGTAGTTTGTGGCCAGCAGTATCCATTACCTTTAGGAAAACCCACCAATATAATTTACATATTTTATTATAATTAATATTATAATGCCTCTTCTCTGGTGGACTTCTCCATAAATGATTTTGTTTCATCAATGAAAAATGTCAGCTTTTTTGTGTTGAGGGATCTGTTTCAACATGGTCTGACTCTGTCTAGGTTTTGTAGCTTATATGTGAAAATACACACTTTGAATAAAGATATGGTATCAAACAAACTTGTCTTAGTTGAGGCTAAATGGCAGCAATATAGCATGTGCTTGAGGAGGATAAAAATGAATAAAGAAAAAATACAAAGACAAATTCAGCAGTTTGAACACCTACTACTCAACACAGTAGTACAATGTTACTGATTGTGGGCCAGCAGGAAGATGAAAAATTGCTTGTCCAATAAAGAAAATATGAACTAAGCAGGTGCTCCAGGGTTCTAGTGGTGGTGCCCCATCTATAAGACTGACTTTTGCACCAGTCTTTCTCTCTGAATCATCTTTTTTGTGTGTGTTTCACTAACACTCTTTCCCCTGATTTCTAGTTGTGTATGTGGTACACATAAACCTGTCTGTGTTTCTGTTTGTGTGTATATATCTGTGTGCTTCTGTCCTTAACACTTGTGTCCTCTAACCTTTGAGTTTCATATTTACACGTGGGTCAACTTTATATGTGTCTGTATTTCCTCTCTCTGTGACGTCTGTACTTCCCGGGGAAATGTTAACTATGGACTAATAAATAGATGTATGCAGTGACACAGTGTTAAAAGTGGTGAAGATTACTGGACAAAGAAACTTCAAGTAATCACAGAAAGATTCAAAATCAAAGAGCATACAAAAATGGCACGGCAGTTAATGTGAGCAGATAATAAATACTAATAATTGAGTGCCACAGAGAAAACAAAACTGTTGTCATGTTGTATGTTAACATGAAGACAAACTCACAAAACAATCAATTAGGCCAGTTGAACCAGTAATGTCTGACTTAGTTATAATAGGGGTTAACGACACTAATGGCTGATGGGGAGATCCGAACCAGTCGGAACAGACTCGCACACATCCAGATAGGGCCTTAATTCAATTGGTGGAAATCAAACGGCACTCCAGAAAGGCTCAGCAGTCTCATTGCAGATGTTTATCACTCCTTTAATCCAATTAGTCTGGTCTGAGGGCTGCTGGTGTCTTGGACCGCTTGTGTCGCTGTCTTGCACATTTCTGTAGCTGGACTAAGATCCCGACACAGAGACACTTGCATGCTTACTGACTGGCCTCAGTTACCTTAGAGGGATACCTTGACGTTTTGAGATTCTTTTTCACCAGGCAGTGTTCTGATAAGCATTATGTGTTTGTTTATATGTGGGCAGTAATTTAAGACGTACAGTCTAATAGACTTAGCTCACATCTACGGCTTTGTAGATATATAATAATAATAATAATAGACTCAACTGTATTTGGAAAATATTGGTGGAATTAGAATACAATGTAATCAAATTATCCAGTAGTATTTTTCCAGCTGAATGACAATACTAGTAATAGTCACTCTCAGAAGCAACATCTGGCATTTATACTCATCACTAATGAAATGTCAGAGATGAATGCAGTAGTATTGTGCTGTATTCTCGTCACGCTTTTAGTCTAGATTGAGCATGCATAAACCTTAAAACACATATGCAAGTGTTTGCTAGATCTGGAAACAGTAGTCTATGGGGTGGGAGGGTTGCTCTTATAAAAAGCAGGCCTTGTGTTCTCTCTTTTTCTCTCTCTGTTTCTCATATGGATGTTGTCCCTCGAAATCCCTCCTTTCTCTGTGTCCCATTCTGTTTCTTTCTCCCCGGTCTATGTCTCGCTGTCTCTCACCCCTTTCTCATCTCTTCGTTCGGACCACCAGCAGCGGCGGCGGGTAAAGTTTTTCTTTCTTCTCCTCCACATTTTCTCCTTCTGCACTACCAGCGCCTGTTCTTCAGATCACACATCTTTCCTTTTCATTCATCCTCCATCACAGTTGACTTCTGTACTTGTCTATTCTTCCCCTTTTTTCCATTGTTCACCATGGAACAGCTGTGACTCAACTAAACCTCAAGTTAAACAGAATCACAAAGATACCATTTCATATTTTGTGCTAATCACAAGTTAATCGCAGGAAAATGTCATTAGTACAGTAAATATGAACACAACCTAAATCCCCATAAGGAAACGTCTGGGAAATGTTCACCCAAAGACAGGTGAAAATGTGCACACAGACACACACCAAAAAAGAAACTCACTTGCACACACATGCGCACCACCAGCAGTCTACCATCTGGTATAGCAGCTGTAAGACACAGGCATCTGTACACACAGCTGCCTTCTCCCCTAAGGACCACTGCCATTGACCTTAGACCTTTTTCTCTTCACCCTGATCTTTCTACCGGATGTGTGAGAAATTCTGAAAAATCCGGGTAAAGAGTTAAAACTACCGTAAAGTTTTCTATGATGCTGAGAAGTTAGCCACTTATTTAAAGAGGTCATATTATGCTTTTTGGCTTTTCCCTCTCCTTTATTGTGTTATATATCTTTTTTGTGCATGTAATAGGTTTGCAAAGTGAAAAAAGTCCACCCCAAAGGGAGTTCTCATCTCCCACAGAAAAGTCTGCTCTGAACTGCTTGAAAACAGCTCGTTTGTAGTCCAGCTGTTTCCCTTTCATCCAAGCAAAATGTGCGTCATATAACGCTCGCCAAGAGGCTAGTCCGACACGCCCTCAAAACACTGATGGAAAAACACTGAGCTGCAGAACACCCCTCCTCTCCCTTCCAAACATTAGCTACCCTCCAGGTAGTCAATGGACATAAAGTTGTTACTGTGATGTAGAGACAGAGCTCAGTTATAGCTTTATGGATGAAAGATACATTTGTTACAGATTAATACCTCATTACTCTGAAACTCTTGCTCCAGTCTATGTCGCTAAGCTGGTAAGGGGATATACAGCTGAACCGAAGCTGTGTTTACCTGTCTCTCACTGACCCGCCCTACTCTGCTTCTGATTGGCTAGTAGTCCTTAACTAAGAACTGCGCATGTGCAACTCCCAACAAAGATCTTGTAGAGGAAAGATGCATCACCCTGTAGCTAAAATGAAGCGTTCAACACACAGGGTGAAAAGAGGATCTGGAGGAATGTGCAGTATGACATTAAATATGGTCATATAAAAATTTTAAATGAAACCATCTAAACAACCCCTAAATAAGATTTTGAACCTGAAAATGAGCATATTATGACCTCTTTAAGCAAACATTATTTCATTCAGTTTAGTGAGTAGCCCTTTTTTCATCAGTTAACTCGTTTATTGTTACTTTACAATCTCATTAGATGTTTACGGTAGTGCATAGTCTGTTTGCTAACTGGCAGGCTCTCCTGTAGTACTTAAATAATATATTTTTAGCTTTCTGAAGGGTGTTCGGTGCAACTGAAACAAAAGGTTGTTTCCTTTTTCCTCACACCTGTACCTAGAAAACCAAAGCAACAAAAAGGAAGAGGTTTGGCTCAGCATTTCAATCATGAAATGCTCGCTAATATATATATATATATATTGGCCTACAAGACAAGATTCCATGCTGTTTGAACAATGCTGTAAAACCAGCTTATCCCAGTTGTAGTTTAGAGTTGACAGAAATGAACTGGTTGAGTCATCACAAGAGAGAGTTTGGCTGTCCATCCGAGTTTTTTACCTCTTTTATACACATTGTTACACTTCCAAATTGTGAATTATGTTTAGAGTTAGTTTTATATATTTTTTTAACCATACAATGTGGGAGCTTTTCTAAGCGGTCTTAATGTTAACAGAAGGGCACTAACAAGGATTCCTGTAGTAAGCTGCTAACAGAAAATATGGGGTTTGTTTATGTCTCACTTAGACCACGACTAAACTCTCTCTGTAAATGTCTCTGTGTAGAATAGAGTTCCCCATCTTTCAAACTGCTGCTTTAAAGAAGAAATATTGCAGCATGGAAAGCAAGGTTTCAATGCAGCATGAATATATTTCACCATTAGCTGGGCATGTGCAAGCCGAGGCTTTAGCCATCTTTGTAAAGCATTGAAATACATTGCAAAGTAGTAAACAAGCGTAGCTACTAGATAGCACTCAGACAGGAATGACATCAGTTGTTCCCATAGCATGAACTGTAGTTTTAAAATACCACCTAACTCTACCATGTAGCTACAATGCTAACCTCACACTTAGAGATCAGGCTGAAGCGTGATATGATAGCAATGCTGCATGTGTTGCTATGTATTTAACCCAGACGCAGTTACTCAGATTGAGTTAACTCGGACACAAATACCATCAAGGAATGGCTGCTCACTGCCATTTTGGAATCGAGAGAACTAAGCCTGTCATATCCACCTGAACCTGCTGACTCTTTTTATTTGTGTGTGTGTGTGTGTGTGTGTGTGTGTGTGTACACATACAGAGGGAGCAGTAAGGGAAAAGACATCAGCACTATCAAGTCTCTGCGGGTACTGAGAGTGTTAAGACCTCTGAAGACCATTAAACGTCTTCCCAAACTCAAGGTATGTTTACATAGAAAGTGTTTGACCTCAGATTGGAGTTAACAATATAGTATGTTAGACATTTTCAAGTTACTTAACCTGCTACCAGACAGCCCTTAACATTTTTAAAGCAGTTGATGCCACAATTCAGCACCAAAGTACACAAATAATTTCAATCCAATATATTTCTTTCATGCAATAATCAGCATCTCTCGCTCTGTTGTTCTCTTTCTCTATCCTCAGGCTGTGTTTGACTGTGTGGTGAACTCTCTGAAGAATGTGCTCAACATCCTGATTGTGTACTTACTGTTCATGTTCATCTTTGCTGTGGTGGCCGTGCAGCTCTTCAAGGGACGCTTCTTTTACTGCACTGATGAATCAAAAGAGTTTGAGCGCGACTGCAGGTCAGGAAATACCAGACTGCATTTGCCTTGAGCGGTGAAAATGTTCTGCTCACACACATACTTTCCTGATGTTTAAAAACCATTTTAAACACTTCAGGTGTCTCTTCTCCTTGCTCTGCATCTTCAGTATCTACTTAGACACACAAAACTATAGAAATTTAGAAGCAAAACCTTTGCTTTACGCATTGTGCTGATGATGATATGTGTATCTCAGGGGCGAGTATCTGGTGTATGAACGTGATAACGAAGTGAAGGCGCAGAAGCGGGAGTGGAAGAAGTACGATTTCCACTACGACAACGTGGCTTGGGCCCTACTCACCCTCTTCACCGTGTCTACCGGAGAGGGGTGGCCGCAGTGAGTACACGTGAGCATGCACCGTCACATGTAGCACTCATGCTGTCTGACAACCAATGACCCTCCCCTGTTCCCTTCTCTTCCTTTGCAGGGTGCTGAAGCATTCAGTGGATGCGACTTATGAGAACCAGGGCCCGAGCCCGGGGTACCGGATGGAGATGTCCATTTTTTACGTGGTGTACTTCGTGGTCTTCCCCTTCTTCTTCGTCAACATCTTCGTGGCTCTCATCATCATCACCTTCCAGGAGCAAGGAGACAAGATGATGGAGGATTACAGTTTAGAAAAGAATGAGGTGAGGAAGGATTAAAGGAGTGAAGGAGGATAGAGATGAAGAGTGTTCAGAGGGTGACCGGAAGGCAGGAAGAGGGAGGACTGTATAGAGAAGAAGGTATACAAAATCATAACAGGATGAGAACCAAACCTTTTTGTTCTTCTTTATTTATTTATTTTTTGCAGAGAGCTTGTATAGACTTTGCCATCAACGCCAGGCCCCTGACACGCCACATGCCTCAGAACAAGCTGAGTTTCCAGTACCGAATGTGGGAGTTTGTGGTGTCGCCGCCATTTGAGTATACTATCATGGCAATGATCGCGCTCAACACAGTTGTGCTGATGATGAAGGTAAAAGTCTACATGCTACAAACACAGAAATGGTAATGCACATATAAACATTCTATTAACACACATCAAGAAAACAACATTAACTACTGAGCTGCGGTAGTTATCATTTCTCTCTTTTTGTTTCTTTATCTTTTGCTGTCTGCCCCTCAGTTACAAACATAAACACTAATTAGGTTGGACTTAATCCGACATTTCTGTGTACACTATTTCCTGTGATAAAAAACATTTCAACGGATATGTCTGACTCTCCACTGGGTGAGCTGAACTGTGTATCTCTTTAAATGTCTTAATACTCCCCTTCCTTTCTGTCCCTGGCGGTTTGTGTGTGTGTGTGTGTGTGTGTGTGTGTGTGTGTCTGTATGTATGTCTTTATTAATGCACACTTATCTGTGTGTATGGCAATCCAATTCCCTCTGTTTGTACTCTGGTCTGTTGGTGTGAACGTGTGCGTTTCCTGCGTGTGTGTTTGTTTATAGTATGACGAAGCTTCTGACACCTATGAAGCTGTGTTAGCCAACCTGAACATAGTGTTTACCTCCCTCTTCTCCATGGAGTGTGTACTCAAGATCATCGCCTTTGGAGCACTGGTGAGTGCATGCGTGTGTGGGTTTGTGTGTGGTGAGGACTGCTGTACTGTATCTTTGTAGAAAGTGCTGAAAAATCAGTTATTATTATTGTTACATGGTATCACTGTATCCACATAGATTATTACTGGTTAGCAGCCAGTGTATGACACTCTCTTCCGCCAGACAGAGCAGAGTCAAAAAGTTGAGATTCGCTCAGCTCATGAGCCAAACTAGAAAAACACTCCAGAAAGATTTTTTACATTTTATTTAGGACAAAGAAATGTGTGCTTGGCCAACAACTAGTGACAGCAACACCTAAAATTCTCTGTAGATCCACTGTACCCTGCCTGAAATCCACTCTTAGCTTATAGCCCATGAAAACTGTTCTATTTTGTATTTTTGGGTAATTATAATAGACTTAAGAAAAAGTATTTAAAACGACAATAAGCATTTCTGGTGAAAACACACAAAAAAGAAATATGCATGCATGCCTGATAATCAAAACAATGTGCAAAAAGAGACCGTGATGAAAGACATTTTCAAATTAAACGATTCTCTGTTTCACGTCATGGAGGTGTTCTTGTCTGTCGTGCATTACTGCTTACATATATAAGGAGAAACTGTGGGGAAATATTGAGCTACAAGGTACAAAGATGCAAAGAAACTGCCAGAAGTCAGCAGTAAAGTGTGCAATCATCGGAGCTGCAGAGAAATGGGAGGCGAACAAGGAAAAAAGGGATAGAAGAGATAGTTTAGGGATGAATGTTGGGAAGAGATACAGGACAGAGGGGGGACGATAATACAGTAATTAGAAGAACGAGAGTGAATGACAGATAGGCGGTCAAAAGAGAAGCAAAGATTACAGAGAGGGTGGAGATTAAGCAGGATAGGATTTGAATTTGGGAGATTGCACTCAAAAACACGCACTGCACAATCATATACACAAATAACACCAGGCCTCAGAGACGTCTGCGTGTGTGTCTTTGTGTGTGTGTGTTTGTCAAGGTGCTTTATTTTAATAGCCGCCTCCCTTGCTCTCTTATTTTCCCTCCACTTGTCTAATGCACAGTTTGGCTGCAGGCAATACGTAGGAGAGCAAAGATGCAGACCTCATAAGCATTTGTTCCTCACTATCCCTCTTTCTCTTTGAGTCGTTCTACTTATAAAGAGAAAATGTCTAAATCTATAATAATGTATAGCTGTGGATGAATGTATTTGTGCAGATGTATGCATGGAGTTAATTAATTGCATGTAGGAGAGGGATGTGATACCCTTTTTTTTTTTTTTTTTTTAAAAGCAGAAGGAATTCAGTGTGACTTTGTGTTGATTTTGGTTTATGAGGTGCAATGTTTGGTGCAGTACAAGCTGTCCCTAGCTTGTCTGCTGGCATCCATGCCGTCACTGATGGTTCATTTGTCTTATCTAATTTCTTTCCTGTTCCCGTTGGACACTAATGTGCCTTTTTTTCCCTTCTCATTTTCATGTCCTCTTTCTCTTTCTGTCTGACTTTTATTCTCTAATGCTCTCTGTCTTACTCTTTCTTTCTCTCCTTGCATCGCACATTTCTCTGTCAATATTTTCTCTGTCTTTTCCTTTCTGTCCCTGCCACATCCATGTTCTTCTACATGTCACCCTCTCGCCATTTTCCCTCTGTCTTCTCTATCCCTCTTCTCTCTCTCTCTCTCTCTCTACTTTCTTCACAGAATTATTTCAAAGATGCCTGGAATATTTTTGACTGTGTGACAGTCCTGGGCAGCATTACTGACATCTTAGTTACCGAGCTTGGGGTAAGTAGCAGCACCCGGGGCATTTGTGTGTAGATGTGTATGTTTGAGAGATCTGTACTGAGGAGTCAAAACTGTAAACAGAGATGATATTGTATTGTGTTTGTTGAGCAAGAATGACTGTTTGTTAGCGTTAGCTTCAGCATGTATCTATGGGCTTGTACATCTGTCACATTGTCTAAAAGACATACAGTAGACAAGACAAGGAGTTAGGGGAGAGCATGAGTTAGAGGCTTCTGTTGAGGCTTGCGTTGCTCAGTCATCCATGAATATCTCTTGAAAGTCTTATATAATTGTCCCAGTTGGTGGGACGAGGAGAGACCAGACTCCAGCTAGCCAGCACTGAGCCACTGAAAGCAAGGCAGGAAGCATGCTGGTACTCTGTAGCGAGCCAGTGAACAGCTTCTGAAAGCAACCTAACAGGCAATCATATTATTAGATTGCATCTCAGGTGGCCAATAGAGGCTGTGCAGTTGTGTCAGACATCTGTTAGTAACCACAGCTGAAGTCTTAAAGGTCCATAGGATATCTGATTGTGCACAATCAAGTAAAACAATTATGGATTAGAAAAGAAATATGTTTCTTATATCATAAATTACAGTAATGGGTCCATTCTTTAACATCATAGCTAAACGTGAGTGGTCTGATTAACTAGATTCCGTGTCCTGAGTTACATTGTTGCTACACAGTGTACTAAATTGCTTTGGGTGTGATGATAAGATGACCAGGTAGTTTGTTGAGCTACCTAAGCAACGTGATATTTACACCTTCTCTGGCTTGGTAAGATGTATCGTTATGTAATGTGGTGACACCCATCATCACTTAAAAACAGCACTAGTTTAGATAAAGTTTTAAGTTAACGAATACACTCACAGTTGTTTCAGCTGTTCTTTCCCAAAATAAGACGTCCAGTATGGCTGCCTGAGCTTGCTTTACCAACCAACACAAACATGAACTGAGTATCACTCAAAAAACAGAGGTTATTTTATTTGCCATAATAAGGTAGCATATATCTGCACATGTTTGTATTTGTAAGTACATATATCTGGGGAGAGTGTTATTTTTAAAACCTTTTTTTCTTAGACATTAAAGGTGAATTCAGACAGAACAGGATTTTTAGATGATAAATCTACTTCATAAATGTACAAAGATGAGAGAAGAAATCAGAGACACACACACTTGTTTGTTAACTCAGAGATTTCACTCGAACAATTGGTACATTGCCTGTTTTAACATGCAGTGAAAATGTATTTGTGTTCTGTCTGAACTCACTTTAAGAGCTACCTTAAAGTGCTGAACTCATGCTGAATTACTGGTAGACCTGGTAGGAATGCAATACATAAACTGTATTTAAGACATGTAGATCTCTCTTGGATGACTTTGATCCAAAGCAGTTCAAAATGGTATAACCAAGAATGATAAAGTCAAATTTGTACAGTACTTGCCAGAACATATTCAAGAGCTGCACAGCCATTATCAGGTGCTGTGACCTACACACTTTACCTACCAGTTCTGTCTGAGGAAGCAAGGGATACCAATGATTCAAGCCCTCTCAAGGCTTAGATTGATTCTCCAGACAGATTCTAGTAAATATTTCACTTACTGGTTGTTTCCAACAATCCCCTGTTGTCTTAATCCTTGGTATCCCTGCTACATTTATGGATGTAGAAAATCTGCAAACAGAATCTTGCTGCTGTGCTAACTTGTCTCTGTAATGACTGTTGATTTATTTCTTGTTTTTATCTTTTTACATGCTTTCTTTAAATCGTCCACAAACTTAACGACGATCTACTGTAATCTACTTCGCCCCACCCCCTTCTCCCCCCAACACCTACTACTTCCTGCGATTCCGTCCAATCAAAATGCACTATGAATCCTCTGTGTCCACCCATGACAACTGGCTTGGTCAATCTCTCTGGTTGTTCTTCGAACCAACCAAATATCCAAAAATTTGCCGCTATAAACCATATGTCTGCAACATCTACATGTAGATGGTTTGTAATTTTTTGGAGATCTTATTTTACTGCATTTGTTTTAACTGCATCACGGCCAATGTTATAGTTGTGAAATGTGCATGTTTTGCTTGACCCCCACCACCCCCAACCCTCAACTCTTAAGTGAGCACTAAATTTGTAAAAATTTTCATTTGTTGTCCAAGTTAGTTAACCTCTCGACCAGTTACTGTATCAATTTACATATTTAATTTAACCATACATCTCACCCACACCGTCCTTTACTGAGAACTAGTGTTCAGTTTGTGAAGGATTGGATTATATAAACTGGATTAGACTGCTGCATCTATCCGTTGAGATTAGCCATTCATTGTATACAGTATGCACACACACACACACACAAACACGACAGTGACTGGGAGAGAATTTCCAGTAACAGAGTGGATCAAAAGCTTTGCCCCTGGCAGAGAGAACAAGTGATGCATGCGGCCCTTTGCATGTCTTTGGCAGGAACCCTTTATTTTCACAACACACATACACAGAGCAATGTGAGACATGCTGTATTGTAGATGGAACCTGCATGTGCCTGCTGCCAGCCCCTTTTGAGCACCTCAGTTGCACTTCAACTGCAATCGTTCCGTGTTTTTTTTACTGTCGTACGTGGTTGAAGAACTCTGCATTACCAATTTCACATAAATTGATCTTTTTTTTTATGAAAGAAAAATGAATACGCTTCCTATTCACAATCAATTGTAATTGCCACTTAGATGTTTCAGCCCACACAGTTTTTAAGGCACACAATCACACTGATGAGATGGAAAATATATGAATATAAGATACAATAACCTTAGTTGGTCCTTCAACCACCGTCTTGCTGCTATGTAGCTGTGACAGCACTACAGGATGTCACATGACTTGTAGCCAATCCTGTTGGATGGTGCATCAACTGCCATTAGCTTTACCGGTTTGCCTCGTCTTAGTGCACATCTGCATGCTGAGGGCTTGCTTCATTTTAAAATAGTGCATAGTTTGCCTTGAGAGAATTAGTGCATTTGGTTGTCTTCCAAGGGAACGTCCTGACATCCCTGCACTTTAACTACTCACCATTCCTACCACAATTACTACTAAATAACCCAATTGGATGGAACTAGTTAGATTTGGATGATTTCCCCTGTGTTGTATGGTTTGGTTTTGCCTAACTTAATGGATATGAAAAGCTTGTTGGAGCCTTGCTGATTTGAGTTTGGTTTGCTTTGACTTGTTTGGCTCCTGATTCTCTTATTTGTATTGAGTTTGAATCTCCCTCAGTTTTGAGTTTGACTGTTTTTTCTTAATTCTTTTAAGTTTTGGTTGTCTAAAGGAAAATTGTTTGCACACTTTGCACTACAACTAACTACTCTTTCCGTTTATTCCACCCCACCCCTTCACCTTTGTCTATTCTTCACTTTTTCTATACCTTCATATCTTCAACTTCAACTTCCAATCATAATCCTTTCTACACTCCCTCTCTATCTGTCTCTCTCTTTCTCTTTCTGTCTCCCTTTCTCTGTGGTTATATTGTGTCTGGACTGTAGGATAATTTCATCAACCTAAGTTTCCTGAGGCTGTTCAGGGCAGCTCGTCTCATCAAGCTGCTGAGACAGGGAGAAACCATTCGCATCTTGCTCTGGACCTTCGTTCAGTCGTTTAAGGTTTACACTCAAATATACATGCATAACATGCTCAAAAATCATGTATTAATATTTTTAGATTTTTATTGATTTTACACAGTACACATACTATTGTATACTATTGTGTATATAGATGCTAGGTGCAGGCTCATATACCATTCATAGTGCCCTGATATGTATCAAACTTAATACCAAACGATGAATGTGTCTTTCCTCAGGCACTACCTTATGTCTGCCTCCTCATTGCCATGCTGTTCTTCATTTACGCCATCATTGGGATGCAGGTGGGTGAGCGCCTCAACCTAGTAATTGCTATAGTGCTTTTGGGAAATATTAAATATATTTTATAGGATAATGATGATGAGGAGGAGGAGGATGAGGTAGAGAAGGAGAACGAGGATGATGATAACAGTCGTAAAAATTTGTTGCATAGCGGGAGGAGGAGGATGATTATGGAAGTGGTGGCTATGGCATGTGTGCAGTAAAGGTTTTAGACTGTTAAAGGCCAAAATTGTCAATCATGAGCAGTTATAGTTTGATTTTCAGTCTTAACGTTATGATGTATTCAACAGCTTTTTGGGAATATTGCTCTGGACGAAGAATCAGACAGTGCCATCAACCAGCACAACAACTTCCAGACTTTCGTACAGGCTCTCATGCTTCTCTTCAGGTACTTGTGTGTGCATGTGTGTGAGAATCTGTCTATATATACAGTGTTTATTTGCAAAACATTGTTGTCATCTAAACACACAAGGATTTTTGAATAACCTTCTGAAACCAGTTGTTTTGGCACACTTTATACTCTAGTCTTTGTGTATTTTAGGAGTGCCACGGGAGAGGCATGGCACGATATCATGCTGGCCTGTCTGGGGGGTAAGGTGTGTGACCCCTTGTCAGGGAATCCAGACCCAGAGTGTGGCAGCCAGTTTGCCTACCTCTACTTTGTCTCCTTCATCTTCTTCTGTTCATTCTTGGTGAGTACCAGAGGTAGAAAGTAACAAATTACAATTACTCATGTTACCGTAATTGAGTAGTTTTTTGTGTACTTGTACTTTTTAAAGTAGTTTTTTAATCTGTAATTTTACTTTTACTTAAGTATGTTGTGTTTAAAGTATCGTACTTCGCTACATTTTCAATCACATCCACTACTGAGTAAAAAAAAAAAAGTGCAGGAAAAACTTGCTACCACTTTGGCTTCAAGTGCAAGAGAACCATAATGCAGTGTGAGCTGTGAAAAATGCTGTATTAAGTTACTGCAAATGCAAATTGAACATTTCCTGCTGCTGCAGCTTCACATTAAAAGCATTTAAAGATTCAGTGTCTAAGATTTGGTGGCATCTAGTGGTGAGGGTTGTAAATTGCAACCATCTGTCTAGTCTACCACTGCCCACTAACCTTTCAAAGAGCGTAGGACAGCTACAGTGGCTGACACAGCACAAAAGGTGTCTCTTCTGAGACAGCAGAGAGAAGCCAGTCAAGAAATGAGGTTTCTTTGGGTATATTTAATAAGAATTATATTTACTTAATTATGTATTAAAACTATATGTTATTGTGACTTGGCCACTGACAGATAACATGGAAAATGTGAATGAGTGTGAAACATTATCACTGTTTCTGCACCACAGTCCATTATAAACCACACATTAGATAAAGTTTATACAAACCTTGTCAAGGGAATCACGTTCATTCTCTCTGTGATTATGGACCATCGCCAAAACTGCCCGCCAGCATTAATATCTGGGCCGCTGCCAGATTATGATGCTAGGATAGCAACAAAAAATATAAATAAATGAATACTTTGATAGCAATGCTAAAATAGATCTCAGTCATGACAGCAACAGTTACTCACATAATCACTTCCTCTTTAGTGGTTTTACCTACAAAATAAAAGCATGAGAAGCTCATTTACTGCAATGCTGTTGTTGGAGTTGAACTGAGCTTTTACTTTGTGGACGACATTAAAAGAGTCTGTTGCCTGCTTGACACACCTCTGAAAGAGCCATCAGAAAGCGTGATTCTCCTAAATGTCCTCTGCCTGGAGATAATGGGGTATGTGAAAAAGCGTCTGTAGGTTGACGGATGTAGATCAAACACCGAAACACAAACACTGCAGCACATCCCGTAATGTAAGAAACAGGCGATGCAGAATCCATTTGTTAAAGAGAGAAAAAAAAATGTCCAAAGGCACAAGTCCTGCACTTTATCAACTGAGCTAACCAAACACCATGTTAATGGAAGTCGATATTATGGCTTATATTCTCACCCACCATCTAACCATTGAAAATATTGCTCTAATGCAAAACTTATTTGCCAACCCCTGCAATTTATTATAACTAATTCTTCTTCTTCTAACGTACGTATTCAACGTGGTGATGGGTGTCTACACTGCCTGAATTCCACCAGAAGTAGAATAAGAAGAACGTAGTGACGAAAAATGCTCTGTAGCGCTGTTTGTCCGTTTTCAGATACTATAGAAACATGACGACGCAACGTGGCAATGTCAATGGAAGAGGGACCTGTGGTTATGTAGATAAAAATGGCTCATTCTAAGGTAATAAAAACATAACGGTTTATTATATAAGGTCTTTATACACCACTGAAAACATAGTTATGGATCTTTACCTGGTCAACAAGTTGACCTTTATTTTCAAGTAGTCGCAGGAAATGCAATTGTAAGTGAGATTAGCGCTGACCGCTCTCATTTATCAAAAACATGTCTACACAAAAAGACAACCGCCATTTTCAACGGTTTTCTGAAAGCGGATCAGTTTGAAATATTGCAGTGAGTAATGCAACAGTCAGGAGCAGACACCGTGAGCTGTTAGATAAAGAGCTGCTTGCGAACTCCTTTCCCTTTCGCAGACTCCTGTTGTGTTCAGCATAAAGTCAGATCATGAGTGCTCACATAAGAATGGAAAATACCAATAACTGCCCAACAATAGTTTGTTTAGCTGCCCCAGACTTCTGTGCCCTGTGGTCATCTGTTGTTACCACCAGTAACTGCACAATAACGGCACAGCTGCATAATAGCATCAAACCAGGTTTATTAATATATCATGCCAATCAGAGTTACATTTACAATTACACATTTTAACCATCACTCCTCAGTGAACTGCCTCCTTGGCTGAGCATTTTGTAGTTAGGTATGCCTATGTAGTAACCTCTGTAGATTTATCCTTATGGATTTAGGCCTACCCCGTTTTTAGGAGTCTGTTCACCCTGATATAAGCTAATAGAAATGTTCATTTTGCGAAAGTTGAACATATCAAACAATAATATGCCAATTATTTTAGGTTAAAAAAAGTAACTAAGTAATGTTTACTCTGAGTAAATTTTACTTTTTACTTTTGCTTGAGTAGATTTTTATACCAGTAACTTTACTTGTATTGAAGTAAAAGTTCATCAAAGTAATTTACTTAAGTAGAATATTTTTGTTCTCTTTCAACCTACATAGTCCGACAGACCTCATCTTCGCCCTTATGGAGCTAAATCAAGGCCAAATGTTTTGTTAATTTGAAAATACAAACTGTAATAGAAAAACTAAAACTTGCTGCATCCAGGAGCACGAAGCACAGTTGCAGCAGCAGCGAGTGTGTGTTGGAGAGAGATGCACACAAAGATAACTGTTGAATTTGCTCTTCTTCTTCTATCTCTTTACAATTCACTTGTATTGACTGCACTATTTTGTTCATTTTTACTTCTTTCCCTAGGTATTTATCCCATTGATGCCATACGTGCTATTAGCTCTTACTAGTATTTATTGATTCTCTTACTAGTATCTATTGTAACTTGTAGATCTCTTACTGACTTGATGCTTTATTGATGCTTGTAGACTGTTCCTTAGATGTAAGTCGCTTTGGATAAAAGTGTCTGCCAAATGAGTAAATGTAATGTAAATGTAGTCTAAAGAATAACTGAGCGATATGCCCTTCTTGGGTGTCTGAGGTTGTTCTGCAGCTCTTAGTTACAGCTCGGTTCATGTATGTGTTCATGTGTGCACATGTCTAGATGCTGAATCTGTTTGTTGCCGTCATTATGGACAACTTTGAGTACCTGACTAGAGATTCATCCATACTGGGACCTCACCACCTGGATGAGTATGTCAGGATATGGGCGGAGTATGATCCTGCTGCCTGGTGAGTGGTAATGTACATGCACTCAGGTGCACATACACATACGTACACACAACTGTAATTTGTCAGGCTTTGATACTGACACGATACAGCTTTTGTGACTACCTAATGACATAGTGAAAACAAAAGTTATCTCCATAAACAAATCATATTTTGTTTGCACCAGTAGTCAATGTGAAAACACAAAGACATTACTTAAGATCTGTATATTCCTTGTGCGTGTTTTAATATGCTTGTTCACACAGAGCAAGGCCCAAGCGAAGAAATCAGTAACTTCTCAACAATACTGTAACTGTGTTTTTATTTATTGTGCAAAACATCAGTACAAAGTGTTTCTAATGGTCTACAAATAGTCAAAAAATTGACAAACAACAATAACTAAGCATAAGTGTCAGCTGGTACAGCAGAATTTTCTAGCGAAACAGCTGCAAGGGGGCGGTAATGGATATGAGTATAACCTTATCAGGCATCTGGTTATCCCTCTGACACCGTACAACCCCTCCCTCCTCCTCCTCTTCCTCCTCTTTTCTGTAAACTCTCCTGAAATACCTCCCCCCTTCTGGAATCTGCATACTGCTAAAAAAGACTGAATGTGGCAACGTCTACACTCCAAACAAAGCTCCCCTGTCCAGCTCTTAAATGTCTTCTGTAGACATGCTGCGTTTCATAGTATCTGTATTCCAGCGCCTGTGTGTTGCCCTGTTGTCTTGTAGACTGCACATAGACTGCTCTAAGGGAGACGTGGGAAATCAAAGGAAAAGGGAGAAGAAATAAGTGAATGGAAGGATGGAATGGATCAAATTAACAGGAAACATAGATAAAAGATTGAAAACAATGATAATGATGGGGTGGTGATGGCGCATAGATAAGATGCTTGCCTTTGGTGTGGGAGACCCGCGTTCGATTCCCACTGTGAGACATCCACCATTGTTTCCCTGAGCAAGACACTTAACCCCTAGTTACTCCAGAGGCGTGCGACCTCTGACATGTATAGCAATTGTAAGTCGCTTTGGATAAAAGTGTCAGCTAAATGAATAAATGTGAATGATAAATGTAAAGTGACAATATAAGAGAGAGATTTAAATAATTGAGTACAGGTTTTCAAAGGCTAAACTCTATGGTTTGTATACCTTAGAAATCAATAGAATTTCTTTTAGAAATGTTTATAATTGTATGTTTAAAATATGCTGCAGACAACTGTTACCTTTGCTGCTCATTGTGAGAAAATTCCCTTTTCCAACCCAACCTTACTGACTATAACATGGGCACCATTGCACTGGAAAAAGAGGACAGGGAACAAAAACACAGCCGTTCAGGCTGATACATATATTTAAGAGGGAGGGGATCCCAACACAAGCAGCTATTAAGCATGTAGCTGTTTACCAAGCACATGCTTTTCCACTCTGTTTGCAATTCCTTAATTACATCATGAACACATCCAGTTGGACTGGAAAGAGGAAAGAAAGGGCTGTCGAACTAAGGACAAGGAGTAAGAGAAAGAAAAAAACAACAGAATAAAAAGAAAAAGTTAAAAGTTAAACCGTATTGGCAGTGCTAAGTACCACATTTAGCAATATGTGACGTGTGTAGAGTGTGTGAGTTTGCATAGGTGCAGATGTTACTACAGTCTGTGTGAGTCTATAATGTACAGTAAAGAAATTGTTAAGCATTTTCAGATACTGTGAATTTGTCAAATTTGTGCTCTTCCTCCCAATGTTCTCTCTTCTCTCTGGATGTGTGTGTATGTTTGTTTTTTCCTGTGTGTACGCGTGTGTTTCTTAACTCCCTTGTATTCTTCTTGCAGCGGGCGCATTCATTATAAGGACATGTACAGTTTATTACGAGTTATCGACCCCCCTCTCGGCTTAGGCAAGAAATGCCCCCATAGGGTGGCCTGCAAGGTTTGACTTCCATTCAAACAAAATCTCTCAACCACAGCATCCAGGAATGGAGTGAATGCCGCTTTATTTAATTTTTTTTCGTTTTCATTTCAATTTTACAACTTCTTTTCCACCATTATCGACTTGCATTCTGACCTGCTGAGAGAATGTGCGGGACAATGCAGACACCCAGAGAAGCATGTGAAATGCACTTAGCGAAATGAAAAAAAAAAACACATTAAGATGTTTTACCACACTGTAAAAAAAACAAAAACTTTTTTTTCTGAATATTCTTTTGTTTTGCTTGCTGTGGAGCCATGGCTATAATGTAGCAAGCTACGGTTGCCCACTGTAGTGTTGCATTGTTCTTGGTTTTTGGGGGTTGGGGGAAAGACAGAAACTGCATTGACACCCCTTCCTCTTCCTCCCCTTTCTCCTGATCGGAGCAGGAGCAGCTTGGTCCCTGCTGTCAAGCTCTGCCCTGCTCCTCTGTGCAAACACAGTATCACACACACACACACACACACACACACACGCACACAAACATATATTTGTCCTGCTGGCACAGAATTGTCTTTTGATACTAGAACATTTACTTCTTAAATTTCAGTCCTAATCTTCCTCCTGTTGTCTCCCTTCCCTCTTTCATCTGTTATGTACTCTCTTTTATTTGACAAATTGTTAGAGAGTACTGTTGCTCATAGAGAAGCCCCTCAGCCACAGTTTCTCCAAAACAGGCCAATAACCTTGTCTTTCTGTTGTTTTGTTCTTTTACTTTGTTTTGGTCTCTTTTTCTCTCTTACTCTCCTTTTCTCTCTCAATCTCTGACACTGATCCTCAAGTCTATTCTCTAATCAGTCTCTCTCTCACTACATATTTTTTCCCGTCTTCTCTCTCCCTCTCTCTCTCCATCTCTCCCTTCTTTGTGCATTTGTTAACGGGGTGGTGGCACTGGCTGATGATGCAGTGGCAGGATCAGATGCAGGGAAATGTATGACATGCTGAGGCACATGTGTCCTCCACTAGGCCTCGGGAAGAGGTGTCCAGCACGGGTGGCCTACAAGGTCAGAAAGGACCCCATCTTCACCTGAGTCTCCTATGGGTGTCGGGGAGGGGAGTGGGTGGGGTCCAGGAGGGAGGGGCCATGGATTTAAATGCTCAACGTGGTGTAAACTTTAGTGTCGTTGTTTCTTTGGTTCTGTTTCTGTTTCTTTTCGTGGAAAGTGGGGGTGGGCTGGTCAGTGTTGTGGAGTTGTGTGGTGGTGTGGGATTGGTGGGCGGAGGTAGCAAGACAATTAGGGCACAGTTTAGGTGCCACACCTACACTGTGGGGGGTATCCACAGGAGGGGATGAGAAGAGGGACCTTCTCAGCTCGTTTGCACCGTGTATGTCACTTTCACAAACATGCATATCCCATACACATTATGATCAACATGTGTTATTCTGCAGCTAAAGTGATAGTAACATGTATGCGTGTGTACCAAAAACATTACAGATATTGCTTAATTAGACAAACATTTCACACATAGGTAGGTGCTGCTAAACACACACACTCTTACACAGAAACATGCGTGTGCAGAAGGGCTTGGAAGGTCCTCTAGACTTATGTCCTCTGACTCGTTCCGTCCTGTGGATGGGGCAGACAAACACACACACACACACACAATGAAGTCATATCAACCTGCACATAGATATTATGTGTTATTTCTAATGGTAGAGAGAGCAGAAGGGCTTGTGTCAGTGATGTGTTTTCCTCAGAGAGCCTTTGGTTGCCAGAAGTATTTCTGTCACCCTTCATGAAGCAGCTCCAAGCCCCCAAGCAGTCTTTACTATCTGCAAGTCCAATCTTCTCTTTGTCCTTTGGTTCTGTCGTCAATGCAGTTCTATTCTGTTTCCAGCCCCCCCCCCCATCTCTGCAGATTGCTCTCCCTCCCCACACATATATATACATTCCAACACCCGCCTTCTGCATGGCTGATAACCCCCACCACCAACCTCATGCACAGACCCCTGTCTGTAATATAACCACCTGCAGACGCAATTGATCTTACACAAATTGTAATTGGAGTACATATATGCAGATTGATAAAAACAAATGTACCTTTATGTAACCACACATCCATGCAACACTTCTTGTGATCAACGTGACAGTCTCATTAAAACATCATTGGCAGATCACTGTGAGCCTCAGGGGGCAGCCGGCCAAACAGCCTGAAGGCACAGGAGATCACTTCATCACTAACCATTGCTTTACCCACCATCTTCTCTAATAGACCTGGGGCAAATAGTACAGACATTTTATACTAATGACTGTTCTATATGGATGGTGCTTGAATATGAGTGCATTTTATAAGAGGTTGTCAGTCAGTGTATACCAAACTCACTTTTATAGGCTGGTCCTGTAAAGAAATCTCCATTAATCTGTCTCCACTTGATTACACTAATAAGGGAAAAAAAATTAAGACTGCCACCTGTGTGGAGTAAAATGTATTATTTGACCCAGGTTTCTCCACCTCAATCTCTATTTCTTTCACAGTAAATCATGTGTTTATTTTTTTACCTCAACCTTACATTAGATGTCCTCTTTCTCTCCTCATCCTTTTTGGTTTTACCCTCGCAACATTTTATTCCTAAAAGCCTCCTCCCTGAACTAAAAGATAGACACTCAATCCCCCTGCCCAACAACCTAACATGTGTTACATGCATGGTTTTGGCAAAACTTCCCAGACATCCTAATCTGCCCCTTAATAAATATTACTGGAAAATTTTCCAGAAGGTCACCATCTGTGTGTCTATGCCTAACCTCACCTACCATTTTCCCTAAACACCTTGCCAATGAGAGAAATCCAAACCTTACCTTTGACCTTCCAAGAAGTCCACAGAACAATGACCCATCTAGCTCCACTGCTTTTAAATCTGAATGTTCTCTGTCCTGAAGAGAGACAGTAGAGCCTTCAGGCAGGACTGCTTTTTTAACAGACACAGCCAACTATGTAGTGATGTTTCTTTCTTTGCATTGTTTTGTCTTTTGTCTATTTTTGGTCATACATGCTCCAGCTCATAACCTATTAACTTATATATTTTTAATTATGTTCTTTATCTATATATTTCCCTTAAGCCTTCTCTTTCAAGTCTTATCATATCTATTTTTTTCTGGCAGAAGAAAAATTTGTTTTGACCTCATATGTCCTACATATACCTGGATTATGTTCACCACAATCCTTTAGCATCTTAGCACCGAAACAACACTTCTGTCGTGGCCATTTTTTGGTTTCTTCTTCTTTGTTTTTCCACAGAATGCTGCTCTCTCTCACCTATTAACCCTCTAAGTCTGTGCCCATTTTTCACACATTAGTCAAAAGATAATTAGCGATGGAGCCAGTTGCTCTATCATATCGGCCTAGCCCTATCGTCTACAAATTTTGTTATTCCCTCCAGTAACAGCCACATTAAAACAACCCACAAACTCATTTTGATGTCGCCAACAGAGGATGCTTTCTGTGTACGGCTGTGCAGCTGCTTGTCCTGTGAGGCATATTGCGTGTGCATCGCATGCTGCATGGGGGTGAGATGTGCAAAAAGGGTTAGGAGGAATTGAGATCAAAAAAAAAGTTTTGATGGATGGATTAAAAGAGAAGATGCATCGGGATGTAAGGGAAAGCATGATATGCTGCATGTCTGGGTTGTCGCTGTCTTGTGTCACCAAACACACACGAACGTCACTCTGTCATCTGTGAGTTGGTGTGTGTCTTTCTATTGTCTGTTTCAATTTTAAACCAACAAGACCTATAAAAGATCAAACCAATAAACGAAAACCAAAAGTGTTCCCCTCCCTTGGACTCCAGTGGTTGTTTTTAGTTTATTGGTTTATCATCTGGTCTGTGTTGTTTTCACTGTGAACCTCCAAACCTCTAGGGGGAGCTCTGGATAGTAGTAGCTGCTGCTCATCCTGTCCGCTTGTCTCTTCAGTGAAGGCTCAAGATTGCCAGTTTAACCAACCTGTGAGGTCATTTGGATGTCTAAAGTTATACATAGACAGCATTACAGTCAAGAAATAAATTGATAAGTTGAGGGACGAATCTGAAAAAAAAAGTCTTCATTTAATACCTCTGCACTCACAGGTAAACAAAACAGATTAAAATTTGTGAATCTGTTGCGCTGAAAATCAAGGATGCCTAATTTGACACTGGTGCTGAATCTGAGCCATTGGTTACAGGCAGGCCAGACAGACCAAGTCAGTAGAGCCTGCTGCAGATGCTATGCACAGCTCCTTCAACTTCCTTTACCCCCCACCCCCCCATCCTCTCCCCTCCCCTCCCCTCCTCTCCCCTCCCCTCCCCTCTCTCCTGCCACCAACTCAATGCCCCTCCCCCACCTGTCACCTGGAGGTTCCACATACATGGCCACCCCACTTACTTCCTGATTTTCTCACTGTTCACCCTGATTGGCTCTCCCACAGAGACTGCTCCGTATGGATCTGCCTGTGGCCGACGACAACACGGTCCACTTCAACTCCACTCTCATGGCGTTGATCCGCACCGCGCTGGACATCAAGATTGCCAAGGGTACGGAAGGTTTGGAATCCCTCCTACCTCCTTTGCTCCAATTTTCACATGCTTTCTTCTCCTTTTTCTTATTTCCCCCGTAGTGCTAGCGCTGTCTGAACCCAGAAACCTTCAGCTCTTCCTGATGCTTCTCCTACTGTAGCTTAAGTATAATGTGCTTTCTATGGCAGTAGATGTGTGTGTGTGTGTTGCCTGTTGCTAATTTGTGTGTGAGACTGAAGGTTGAGATCCGGTGGAATCGAGGTTCTGTCACTTCATCTTAAAAATTGCTTGTGTAGAGTTATCAGTGCAGTTATAATTTGATCATATCTATTATTATTACCTTACTAATAAAAATATGTCTTCTGTTTGTCTTTGTTTTCATGTTTGTGTGTCCTCTCTTATACTTTTTTGTATCAATCTGAATGGGTATGAATGGTTTACGTGTCCATGTACTTGGCCATGCATGTCCTTGTATCTATATATGTGCGTATGTGTCTGTATGTTTGTGCGTGTGTGTTTGTTGAACCTGCTCAGGTGGCATTGACAAGCACCAGATGGATGCAGAGCTGAGGAAAGAGATGATGGCGATCTGGCCCAACCTCTCCCAGAAAACTCTGGATTTGCTGGTTACGCCACACAAGTGTAAGTTGCAGAGTGTGGGCGGGGGCGCAACAATGTGGCTTGGATGCAGCCACCCTGTGCCGCCCAGTGCTCCAACGATGTTTCTCTTCACGCCACCCGAGGAATCGCTTATATCAGCCAGTCTCTCTCACTGCTGCACCCTCTGATACAGCAGGCACATTAACCCTGCACACCCACATACCCCAACTATATGAAGACTATGTGAACATGAAGAAAAAAAACACAAGCACTGACAAAGCACAGGCTGCATGGTAGATGCAAACCAACTACACACACACACACACGCACAACATCCTAAGTCCTGTCCTTTCTTTCAGCTACAGTAACCACATTCACCAGAATAGACCCACCAAGTCCCAGACCACACCGCTCCTCCACCTCTCTGTGCCTGAAATCAGAGGGTGCCTCACTATAGATCAACTCTCTATAGACGTCTTTTCACTTCAGGGAGTCAGCTGCGTACACTATATGGCTGGCTGTGCTTGAGAGAAATACTGTATATTATTACACTGAGAACAAATGCACAGGTGCTAACTCACTAGTGGCATAATTGAGGATGTGAAATGCATGAGATTTGCCATTAAAAGAGCTAGGAAATGTATTATGTATTTAGCATAATTTACATAAAACTCCAAAGAAGTCATTGACAGATATCACAGATTTTATAGAATGCCTTTTATTTTTTAATGACTTGGTTAAATTTGTGTTGATTCTTGCAATCACATGATTGCAGATTCCTGGAGCGAATGAATTTATGCTTGATCTGTATCACAATGAGATGCTTTGATTGCAGTATTTTACCTGTTACAAATATAACTGCTATAGAGTTAATCCAACAATTAAAAAAAAGATAATAATAAAAAAAGATAAAGTTAAAAAAAATCAATCTCTCTGTGAAAAGACTAATTGCTTGATGTTCATGTGTGTGTGAGAGTCCAAGTGTGTTTCTGTGTTTGTGTGCATGCCTCACCCCTTTCTACCATACCTCGCGCTCAGGGTCCATTCCAAAAAGGTCTAATCTTGCAGGGTAACTTGTCATTCTCTCAGCAGCGACAGACCTGACAGTGGGGAAAATCTACGCTGCTATGATGATCATGGAGTACTACCGGCAGAGCAAGATCAAGCGCTCACAGGCTCTTCGGGATGAGCAGGTACTGCTGTCTCAAGGAGAATAACACTCTACTCAGCGTGCATCCAACCCTTTAGAGTGGAAGGCAGACTGACGCACTGAAATCAAGGCTGCAGGGCTGTAGTCCCATTCATATAGGCCTGGGCTGTGACAACCTCTGTACTGACCCAGGGAGGAGTCCTCACTCAGTCACCAAAAAGGCAAAATAGCAAAAACAGTGCTGCCATCTGCTGGGCAAGGTTTGGTACTTCCGGCTTTTACAGTAACAGTAGCATTGGCGTGATGCAGAAAACATAACTCATGCTTTTAACAAAATTTTAAATGCTAATTTACTAGATGATTTATACAAACATGTTGCAGTTATTTAGAAGTCTATATAGAGACTGCAGGGTTTGGTTTTAAGCAGGCTGAAGTGTTGTCACAGCCCCTAATGTGCCCATGCCTCAACATGATGGTACGCAATGGCTCCTGTCACTGAGCTCGATTCTTTCCCATGTCGACTGCTTGTAAAGACTCTGTACCTCCTCGCTCCCCATCACCCATGCTTGTAACCTTGGACTGTTAGATTTGCATTATGATATTGCTGCACCTACTGTTCACGCTGCCCCTCGTTAAGAAAGTGAATGCTTTCAATGACAGAGCTGACCAGCCTCCACATTAATTCTGCTGTGTTGAATGGTCCTTAACAGGTTTATACAGCCAGCATGGACCAACAGAAACATTTGGAGAGTTGCATGTGCAAAAAAAAAAGACTCGTTTTAAGATTACAGAGATCAAAAGATTGCTAAATGGAAATTTTGAATGTTAATTTTCATATAACTTGCATGTGTTAACAGGTTAATGACCACTTAGAAATTGTGAAAGGTGGTTATTATGTAGTACTGGTGAAACTTCTTAAAGGGGTGACTAGTAAATAAATGAAAATGAATGTAGCATTTGTCCCATCATGCATTTCACCTGCTGAATGTTCCCCTTCACAGGATTGTTGCAGTTTTTATCTGCCATGTTGTCCTCCACCCCCCTTTTGAACAAAGCCCCTCTTTATTCATTTCAATTCCACTACTGATTTTCTTCAGCCACTATTTAGATCTATCATCCGATGAAACCCTGAATGATTGCTGATCATTCCCTTTGATTCTACCCTGAGCTCCAGACAGAGTGGGTGAATTCCAATTCCTTATTGGACCTAAGGAAGCACTCTAATGGACCTGGATGCCTTAGATGGTTGCCAGGTCCCAGAATGCCACCCGTCTCTTTCTCCTGCTAGCTGCTGGGCATCAGTTGCTCAAGAACCCCCCTCCATCCCGTATTTTTTTTCCTCTTCCATTACCTCTCTTGCCTCACCTTGCTTCAGCCAACAGATCCCTCTCTGCATCCCCTTTGTACCTGCTCTTCCCCCCTTCCCTCCATTTCCCTGTCAGTCTGCCTGATAGCTGGCGGCGGCCATGTTGTATATCTCACACAGAATCGAACGCCATTACTGTTTCAGCGCGTGGAGCCACCTTCCCCCACCCAGGATGGGGGTCCGGGACTTAACAACGCACTCCCTCCACCTGAGACAACAGAGACTGTCAACAACCTGTGAGTGGCAGATTGTTGGCATGTTTGACTTTACAGGAGGTGGTTTCTTAAAAGCAGAACAGTGAAGGAAGATCTGTCTGTGACGGTTTGTTTGTGTGTGTGTGTGTGTGTGTGTGTGTGTTTGTGTCATAGGCCAGTGGAGGGGGGGGTCCCGGAGAGCCATTCATGGGTGACAGCTCGTGCTCAGGAGATGTCCCAGAAGGCCGGCAGCTGGAGCCCTGAGGGTCACCCTGAGGATGGCCTGGGAAGCATGACCAACTCTCAGGTAGAAAGCTCATACACACACACACCCAGGACCTCGCACCTAACAGCACACACACACACACACACACACACACACACACATACACACACACACACACACACACACACCGAGTTTGTGTGAACAAGTATTCAAAAACATGATCCATTCAACGTTTGTTTTTACTTCCATGTCATTGCTACCAAATGAACTCCCAAAGAACCATTGAGAACACTTAAATGGTAAAATGAACTGACCTTCATGCAGTTACAGATTGCAACTCCCTCTCCACTGAAAGGGGGGCACCCTTATGTATAACTTCCAAAGGCATAAGGACATCAGGTTTGTGTTCCCCTTCATTATAACTGAGGTCATATTAGAAATATAGCAGCATCTTGTCGATCAGGGCATTGACTTGCTTCTTGTTTCATGTTTTTACATTCTCCATTCCAGTCCAATCAGTATACTCAATATTATCTTATGCTAATGGTTTGGGAACACTTGTCAGTAGTTGTGAAAATAAACAACATTATTCTTAAATACAGCATGTCCTGTGTAATCTGAAGCCACCTTGGCACAAAACAGTTCAGAAGTTCAGAGGTCATACTGTCTATGCTGATTCTACTCAGTAGGTAATTTTCATCTCTTGCGATCTCTCTTACCTCAATTCGTCAGTTAGCATTGACATGGTGTTAATGCTTTCTTTGATTAATTCCATCTATCAAACCTGTCTCCACAAAGTTTTTCTTTTTATCTTACAGAATTTTTACTTCACCGTACATTTCCACATGTCATTCAGAGTCAATCTTGCCTCCGTCTACAGAGTGGTTCATGTCTCTGTCATCATGCTGTTAAACCTCTGTGCTTGTAGACCTCCTGGAGGGACTGACGGGTCTCTGTATCAGTCAGCCCCGTGACATAGCCACTTCTCCATATCAATCCACAGAGGTCTGGAGAAGTTTAAACTCAGTAGTTGGATAGAAGAGAGTGGCTGTTGGCTTCATTCAAACTAGTTTCAATGATAACCTATAGTTTGCTAGATACATAGACACGAGGCAAATCAAATCATTAAACACAAACAACAACAGGTGATATGTAAAATAAAAAACGCTTTTTTAATTAAATTTTTTATTAAATGGGATAGCTGTCACTCCATCTCAGCTGATGACTGAAATTTAAATTTAAACAAACTTAAACAGAGGTGTGTCTAAGCAAGAGGCCAACAGCCCAGCTGCCAGATTTGGCATCACTTCTCAAGGTATTCTTCAAATAAAATAAAAAAATAGAATTTGGCACATTTGTACAGGAAGACGATTCATAATTTTTACACAACCTTATTTACTGCCTACAGTGTATCAGCGCCTGCACATGGCAATCATTTGATCAGTTGTGTTTTCCCACCTGTCCTTTGGGCCACATATGGGTCTTTGGCCCACACATCTCTCAAGTCCATTCCTGTTGTGACTCCATCTGGCTTAGATGCCGTCAAACAAACAATCTTTGCATTTGCTTGCAGCTCCGTTTTTGACAGGAACCTTTGCAAATAAAAAATTTGATATTATTTGGAGCATATTCACGATCTTATCTGCGTAAGACCCTAACACTGGATTGCTTTTGTGTTTCATTCATCGCACAATTTAAAAACTAAAACAACAAACAAAGAGAAAAAAAGTCCCTCTTCACACACACTCACCAAATTCTCCCACTGACTACTCTTACCTCTCTGCGTCCCTCAGTTCTCTGCTTTCTTTGGATAACAACTTTCCCACCTATACCCCTACTCCCTATCAGTGTTCATGGCAGCCGTCACACCATCTCCTGCTCTCCTGCTCTGTTTGCAGACGGTAGAGATGAGAGAGATGGGGCAGGATGGTTACTCGGATACTGAGCACTTTCCACCAATGGAAGGCCATGGCAGGGCCGCTTCCATGCCCCGCCTCCCAGGCGACAACCAAGTGAGCAGCATTCTCACCTTTCCACTCTCTTTCTATTTCCCCCCCATGTTCTCTGTTCCTCATCTCCTTTTGTTTGAAAAGATCATATTCTGAAAGGTCTGACTTGTTGTTTAAAGATGTATTGGTTACTCAAATCCATGCTGGAGAGAGTTTATTAAGGCCATATTGACAAATGCATACTACCGCTGGTAAGGTATTGAGCAAAGGTTACTTTTTTATATTAAAAGCAATCATGACAATATTTCTGGTTAAAACATGGAAATGTTTTGCTGAAATGTTGACTTCCTAAGTTAATTTCAAAACGACCATAGCGAGGCAAAGTCAGACCTTCTGCTCCTTTCCTCGTCTTCTCCTGTTGTCTTCTTCTCTTCCCACCATCCTGCCACCTGCATGAAGGTTTTTAACCGTGGATGTCCCGTTTCCATCTTACACACTCCATCCATTTTATATTGTTTCATATGCTCTGGTTGTCATATGCACACAATATATTCATAAATACAAATATGCACACACTCAAACACACACGAGCACATATTTAACACACATACACTCTGCCCCCCATTATTTGCTCTTCTTTTGTCGAGACCCTGATTTATTTATCCTTTGTTGTTGTTTTTGTACTAAACCGTCTCTTCCTTCCTAGCAAAGGTTTTGTGCTCCTGTGCTGAACTCTTTTTGAATTTTGGGGCTTTTTTTTTTTCAACCAAGACTGGAAATAGCATGACAGTGTGTGTGTGTGTGTGTGTGTGTGTGTGTGTGTGTGTGCGCGCACAGGTGTGTGTGTTGTGTATATGTGTGTGCTCCGCAGTCTTTCTGTGCTCACCCTGAAACTCACACTGTTTTTTGTCACTCTGTTGTCTGCCGTTTCATATAATTGTAATTGTGTGTGTGGGTGTGTGTGTGTGTTTGTGAATATGCATATCCATCTGTGCGTGTATTTTGCTGATTGTCGTCATTGCCGTTTGTGACTGTGGTGCCGTTGATTGAGCATTTTCATGGTGACCTTGTCTGTATAACCCTGTTTTGGCGCCAACCCCCCCAAGTGTCTGTGGTAAGTGTTTCTCTTCCACCTTCACTGCTGCTTCCGTGTCTAATTAGACTCTGTTTCTCTGCCCCTCCTTTCTGTCTCTCTCTGTCCTCTCCACTGTGGCACCCCATCTCTTTTTGGGTGGAACCTCCACCTAACACTCTTTGCTTTTTACTTGTGCTCCTCTGTACCCCTTTTCTCTGTCATTTTGTATCAATCCATTCCTGTCTCCCTTACTTCTTCCTCCCTTCCTGGGTCTGTGTGTATGCTCCTTTGGTGTATTTGTGGCTGTGTGTGTGTGTGTGTGTGTGTTTGTGTCTTCTCTGTGCTCATACAGCAGCGAAGGAGAGGGAAACAACGTGGCAGTACCCTCAGTGTATGTACCCTGTCTTCCCTGTTTCGTCTCTCTCTTTCTCCCTCTCCTCTCCCTTTTACTCTCACACACTTATCTTTCCCTCATTTCTCCATGCTGTGTCTTTATCATGGCAGGGGTTTCTCCGGAGTGTTAAAATGTTTTAGTACAACCTTTTTTTGGCATGACCAAATCTGATGCCAGCCCAGCCTCCAAACAGATCTGAGCGCCCTTAGCTACTTCTCTCATGCACCTAACGCGGTGCATTTGGGATTGGGCTGAACTCTGCACGTCCCCTGTCATCATTAACAGTTATGCCACGCTGTCTAGTGGCCTCAGTGTCTCTCTCTCTCTCTCTCTCTCTCTCTCATCCGTTGCTGCTGCTTGTGCTTTGTTGCTCTGTGTCCTCATGACTGTGTGCTCGTCTGTAATGATGTTGTCAGTGTTTCCCTGTCTGTGTCCGAGTCTCCATTCACACCTGCCCACCTGCATGCAAGAAAATTGCCGAAATGTGTTAAAGTGGGTGTGTGTTTATGTGTGTGAGAGTGATGAGAGACAGAAAGAGAAATGATTTGGTTATGTATATGTGTGTGAACGGATGTGTTGTTGGGATTCTCAGTGCTACTCCTATGAGGCCAGATAATCTTGTGTTTTATATACATCTGCCAAATGGCCATCTGTCAGTTGATTTGTCTAATACACTATAACTGCAAAAATGGCCAGCTCAGCTTCCAAAAGGATCTAGCACTGAGGTAGCCTGATATGGTCTACATGCCCAGGTCAGCAACATGGTGGCACCATAGGCTCTGTCCTGCTGTCCCGCCTCAGAGCATGAGGCCTCAGCACTGCAGAAGGAAGTTCTCATGTGAATAGAGGACTCAGGACAACCCCTATGTACCTGCATGGCTGGAGGAAAGCACGCTGAAACAGATCAGAAGATCGAGTTTTGTGTAGCCTGGAATGTGCCATGTTCAGGGTTTATGGGTGGTGAGGATGGAGGACTGTTGCCAGTCGTACTGACTCTTCTATTCCCTTCTTTTTTTTATAAAGCAAGTTACAGAAGCATGGAAGGCATGGCCATTTGCCATCATCTCTTTTATTGTATTTTTGTTGTATCTTTCTTCTTATATACTTTTTTTATTTATTCCTCTGTATCAGGGGTCGGCAATTACTGTAGTTTCAGCCCTGAGTTTTTTGTAACACTGTTCACTGGGGGACTAGCACTGGTGCAGTGGAGACATGTGCCTGTGGTGTGAATCCTTAAACATATTCAACCCTGTTTGGTCGGTGTTTCATTGTGTTACCGTTGAATTAAATATGTGCTTGAATTAAAGAGGTAATATATAGTTTAATTTAAAATGTGGTTTTATTAGCCCTCTGTTATTTTTTATTTGGTCTTTGTTAAACTTCATTGCAGCACCAGGAGCTGTTCACATTAAAACCTGTTCAGTAGCCTCGTTTTGAATATCAGATGGTTAATTAAGAGCATTTAATTCCTGTTGACACAGGAGTTGGATTTAGGGGGAAAAAATGTAGGGGCCAAATAATTGTGATCGAGGGCCACAGGCTGCTTTTTGTCGACCCCTGTCCTATAAACTGTATACCGTATCTGTATTTCTGAAGTAGCATGATTTGGACATTATTACTAATGCTGGAGTGTATCATTTTGGGATGGGATGTAGGAGGAAATGGGGCGAGCTTTCATAAAGTTCAAGAATCATTCTCACACATGCACACGTATACATGCATACACAGTGTCTCTAACCCCATAGCTCATAGAAAACACCAAATCGGCAATCGAAGGAAAAACCTCTCCCTGCAACTCTCCTTCTCTCTCCCTGCCTCGGTGGTCCTTCTCTTTCTCTCTCAGACCATCAGTGACAGCAGTCCCATGAAACGCTCGGCCTCGTCGCTGGGCCACAGCAGGTCCGGGCGTGGGCACAGAGACAAGGGAGGGGCAGACGACTACAATATGGAGCGTGTAATACCAGAGGAAGGGAGAACTTCCAGACATGGACACCGGCGAAAAGACCGGAGTCACCGGGCGTCTGAGAGGTCCCTCTGTCGCTACGCCGAGGCTGACACAGGTGTGAATGACCACACACACACTGATATACTGGGTGTTATGACCTGGCTCAAAAGGCCACAACAAAAGGGAGACACACCATGGTAGACGGTTAATAACATATGTTTATTTAACAAAAATAAGCCAAATTAAGTCATTTCGAATTAATATAATTAAAGTATGAGGCATGTAGTCTGTGGTTTCAGAAGTGTTGTGCAGGATGATGGTTGCATGAATGTATGTGTGAAGGTGTTGTAGTATGCAAAAACAAGATAAATACCACAAAGCAATAGTCCAACCAGAGAAAACCAGACTAAAGGGGAAACTGGGGAGCCGGCCCGCAGGGAGGTCTGATCTGGCCTCGACAGCAGCCTCCTGCAGAATTAGAAGAAAGAGTTACAAATACTCTACAGGATAATTAGCCCAGGTTCCCCTTAGTTACTGCAATCAGCTCTTCCTTCTTTAAAGGAAGAGAGAGAGATAGGCCACACCCACACATGACCCCACAGGGCGTACATCATATGTATGGAAAGCAATAATATGATGGTTCGACTGATTCAGTTTTGCCTTTTAAAAATTAAATGTATTGAACACTGCAATAAATTGTGCACATTTAAAAGATGAACAATAACACATAAAAGGTAACTCAGTGTTGTGTACCTATTACTTTTAAGTGTTGTGATCTAATGTCATAGCAATCTTTATTGTTTTCACCACGCTTAACCCTAATAACAACTCCCATGAACTCCACCATCAGGCCTGGGCACAGACTTGAGCACAACCACCCAGTCCGGAGACCTCACATCCAAAGACAAGGATCGTGACCGAGATCGCGGCCGGTCCAAAGACCGTAAGCACCACCACCATCATCACCACCACCACGGCTCTGTGGACAAGGAGCGCTACGTAGCAGAGCGAGGGGGCGAGTACGGGCACAGGCACTCCCGTGACAGAGAGCATGACCGGGAGAGGGAGCGGGAAAGGGACCGGCGCTGGTCACGATCGCCCAGCGAGGGTCGCGAGTGCATGACACACAGACAGGTGGGCTTCTGGGTACTTGTGTACACACGGCGCCTAGTTTGAGGCAACACACCTTGTGTTCTTCAAAATGCAGTGGCATGAACACGTTTTCAGTGTTATGCTGAAAGGTATAACATAAGGGCCTCTAGTTTGATGGTGGTTAACTGATGCAATCATCCATTTATGTTATTCATCTCGAGGTGTTTAACTTTGACAAGCACACCACCACCTGTCCCAACCAACAGATCTCCTCTGAGCTATCTGGAATACCTCTGGACAGGGCACTAAAAAAACATATGTTATTATTTGATAGGATAATAAATAGAGTGACAAAGAAACATCACAAATTATTATAGGACTATTCCAATATTCACTGCTGCCCTCAAAGTAGAGGCCAAGATGTGTTGTTGTCCTTAACAACACACAGTTGTGTTCAAAATAGCCTGGTATAGGCCCTTTCTGTACATCCATATATACTGTACATATATGTTTGACTACATGCACCCAAACATATGTACTGTGGTATAATCATGCAAGTACAAAGTACATGTTTGTTAAATGAAATCACTGTAATCAACTCACCGTTCCAACAACCCAACAAATATGCATAAAAATGTATATTTGAGTACCTGACTGCTGTCCCTATCTTGCCAGTGTTCCCTCACGCCCCCACCAACCCCAACCCCCACTACCTTTTCTTTTATGGCTTTCTTTTCCAAACACATAATCTACAACAATTGATTGATTGCCTATTAAAATAGGACAAAAAGTATGTTTGATCTAGCGTGACACATCGTTAAGCCTTACGTGTTGAATTTTTATGTTAGAACTTGAAAAGTCTTGCAAAGGAAGACTAATTGGGGAAGAATAGATTTCTCCCATTTTGCCTTTTTATTATAAAACCTTTTAGAACTCAACATGTAGATACAGTACACACAGCTAACTCACAATACTAAACCAAACCACATTAATGTAGGTTTAGTCACCATATTTACCCTGTACCACATATGTTGCTTCGGAAATCAACCCTTTACCCTTTTTTTCTCCTGTTGTCTTTTGTTTTCTTTCCTCTGCGTGACATGTCGCTTCTCTATGTATGGTGCTGTTTGGAATCTCATCTTTTATATCCACATCCTCTGCTCTGTTACTTTTTGATGCCTTTCATTTCTGCCTTCCTCTCCTCCACGCCACATACATTATGACTGGTGCTTTTCTTCTTATTGTTGCTGTGGTTCTTGTTCTTGTCTTTTCTTGCTTTTCTATCTGGACTCTCTATCTTACATTCTTTCTTTCCCTCTCTATTTGATTTATACTCTATCTTTCCCATCCTCTACTTTATTCTACATGTTCTGTGGTTGAATTTGTGGTTCGTTCTTTTTATTTGCTTTATTTCACTTTTTGTGTAGGGCAGTAGTTCGGTCAGCGGAAGTCCTGTCCCCTCAACATCGGGGACCAGTACGCCACGTCGAGGCCGTCGTCAGTTGCCTCAGACCCCCGCAACACCTCGACCCCATGTTACCTACTCCCCTGTGGTTCGTAAGGCTATGCCCACACCACCGGGGGGGCCACAGGGCCGACCACCAGCCCCAGCCCCCCGTCGCTTTTCTCCTGAGCCTCCCCAAGGCCAGGGCCCTCCCCCCCGTTGTACTCCCACCAGCCCATCATGGCACATCCCGCCAGGGTCATCATCCCCCACCTCGCTGGGGAGACACAGGTGGAGGAGGTGGCTCTGTGGAAGGGGATAGCTGTTTCTACAACCAGGACTACCAGGACTATGAGCCCCACCATGAACCACCTGCCTATGAGCAGAGCTCCATGCAGGGTGGAAACCCCCACCCCCACAATCTGGCCAACCACCCACTGCCGCCTCCTCCACAACCACAGCCACATAACCCCCATCCCCTCCCTCCACCCCAGCCCCACCCTGTAAACAACCCCCACCCTCATCCACCGTCACACCCACAACCCAGTCGCACCTCACCTAGGACTGTCCACCATGCGCCCCCTCCCACGACCGCCCTGACTGGGCCTGTACAGGGCCAGATGCAGCCTGCTGCCCAGCGCCGACTGCCCAATGGCTACCGTTCTTCATCACCTTCCACACATCTACATGGACCCCCACATACTGGGCCTCACAAGGTCCCCCCTCCAGCTGGGCATCCTAGGGGTCCCCGCAAGGGCCTGCATGAACCCTACAGCGAGACGGAGGATGACGACTGGTGCTAGCCTCTGGGGATGGGGGAGGGGCGTAAGGAAGAAAAAAGAATTGATAGATGGACCGAAAGATGAAAATAGAAAGCTCTGACCTAGAGCACAGACTGCCAAGGGAAACCGTGATTCTTTCTTTCTCATCTGTTCAATTTTTCCCTCTCCTCCAACTGCTTGCCATGTCCCAGGGACGGTGGGCTAGATGAAGGGGCAGGTGTCAGGACAAAGGGATGGAACAAAAATGCGGAGGCCACGTTACTCTCGCATTGTTGTTTCATTCATCTCTTGATGCCAAAAACCCGACCTCAAACTGCAGTTTTTAAGGATGCAAGTAGGAGGGGTGATGGACACTTGTCTTTGTGTGTCTTAAATTATGCCTCTGGCACCGAGCTACAGCCACTTACAAGATGTCAAGAGTTGCGACTCGACAAAAGACATTTTACAGTCAGAGACAAAAGAATGACCACTGTTTTTTTTGTTTTTTTGCTTCTCAAAGCTAACTTCAGTTAAGTTAGCCTCAAAAAGAATCAAATCCAACCCTCCCAACCACCAGTTGAATATTGATGAGTTTTATCATCTGTGTTTTTAAATAAAAACAAAACTGACAATGAGCCCTCCACCTATATGAGGTGAGAAGGCTAAGTGGGTGGGAGAGTTGGGGAGTGTTGCACGGGATTGACAAGTCCCTCTGTCAAAATCTAGAGCACAGGATGGGTGAGTTGGGGATGTTTACCCCGTCCCTGGAGAACACCCTCGTCCCAGAAACGAACAATTGAACCGACCTCAACCTATGGCCTATGAGAGAAGAAAAACAAAAAAGTGGAGATGGGTTTCAGAAACAAAAAAACAAACCAGTAACTGTTTTCTGCAGTATTTCTTCTTCTATTCCTGCTTCTTCTTCCTCCTTCTCTTCTACTTGTTCAAAACATTGAAGCTTGAATCTTCTGTTGCACCCCACACAGCTTCGTTTTTTAGACTTGCGGAGTTGTACACCCTGTGGAATCCTGCATGAATGATACAAAAAATAATAATAATAGCAACAATGAGAAACTACTGTATGCGGGGGGAAGTTTTACTTGATCATTTCTGTTGTGGTCTTTATGGTTTCTCTCTTTTTTAGTAAAAATGCCTTTCTGTCTCTCTTTCTCTCTCTCCTCTGTATGACATTCCTCTCTCTGCACCTTCATTTACACTAAAATCAAGTGACAGAAGGCTATAGGGATTTATATCTAGAAGGAACAACACGATTAGTTGCCTGCTTGTCTACATTTTCTGTGCCAGATGCCTGCCACCGATACAGCTGGAATTGCACATCGTTTTTGTGGAAGTAACTTTTTGTAACTAAGGTGATAATCCTTAAATGATATACTGGGAAGCAGGGTAAAGTGGATAGAAGACGTGGATGTCCGTATTGGTAAATAAATCCGACAAATCAGTAACGTCTCAAAGTCTTCCAGGGTTTGGGGTTAAAACAGACACCAGAGAGAAAGAGACCAATAAGAAAGTTGGAGAAAGGAGAGAAACTCTTCATCTTTGTTTTCTTCGTTCTTGAGTGTAATAACAGATAAACAGATGATATAATAACTTATAATGATCATGATGATCGTGATAATGAGACAGATTCTCCATGTTTGGTCTTCTATTCTGTTCTCTATGTTTTGCTGAGCTCAGCTAATCATTTTTCCAACCCTGAGGTGGAGCTCTAACACACAGTTGCATTATGGGAGAGTGATTCTGTAGGAGGGTAAACACAAGACAGATTAGCTAAAGCAGTCCTTAGAATTTAGACAGTTGGTGAATTTGATTGAAATTCGATTGACACAAAAATTGGTCAAATGCAGCAGTTCCTTACAGGTTCTTACATTGAATTGGATGAGTCTTCTCTCCTGCAGATGCTGAAACAGAGTTCCACCGCCACTTGTAACCTTCTGGTGGCGCTGTATGACAAACAATGTCCCTCTAGTTTTTGTACGGCTCCCTTTACTTCACTTCTGAATTCAGAGTTGTCATACAGTTTAGCTCGTTCTCTCGCTTAGACCACCTTGTCTGTGTTCACCACGCGTAAACACAGGTGACTGAATTGCACAGTCGCACAGTTCAGATGGGTTGGAGAAAAGATGTCTGGGCCCTGTCATGGTCCTGGAAAAACATCTGTGTTCTGTGTGTGCACTCGTAGATATATCTTTCAATTTCTTTCTGTGTGTTTCTCTGTGTGCCTCAAACTAAGACCTGTCACTAACGCACACCACTGTCAGCCCCAGCATTATGTTGTTTTTATTTATTTGACCTAAGTTTTAACCTGGAGGCCTATCACATGTTGACAAGAGAATGCACCGAAAAAATAGAAAAGAAAAAAAAACTGCCTATTAGTGTCTTTCCAACCTCAGTGGAATGTCACAGACAAGTTTTTCACATCAATACACTTAAAATCAGAAAGCACACTAGGTATGTAGCTCCTGGTTGTGGTGTGTGTAACTGGGTTTTTGCGTGTGTGTGTGTGTGTGTACATGGGTGAGTGTGTTTCTGATAAATGTTTGTTTCTATGCTTGCTTTGCTTTCTATTCTTTATCTCCAGAAATCATTTTCAAATCTTAAAATGTTTTTGGTCAAACCATTGTTAACAATCTTCAACTCTGCGCGTTTGTGTGTGTGTGTGATGCCAGTAACCCCCTGAATGAAACATGCAAAGCCCCGAACATTCACCATCCATCTTTGTGTCTATGCTGCAGTGAAGTCCACTAACACGCTGATTAACTACACAAAGTCTTCAAAAAGCAATGTAAAGCCGCTACTGAGGAGAAAAAAAACAACTTTTTTTTAAGTACAAAAGATTAAAAAAAGGAAAAAATATCTAGTTCCAGAAATGCATGTGCTATGTGCATGCCACACCGTGGGTTAACAGTCATCTTCAGGACATAAAAGAAAAAGCAGATTAATGAATTCAGAGGAATAAAAAAAAGATATATAGATAGATGTTTTTAAAAAGCAACGTTTCCTTTTTTTCCTTCTATTTTTGAGAACAAAAAAGGTAAAAAAAATACAACAAAAAAATGTCTAAAGAATAAAAACACAAAAGAGACTTTGGTGAGAGTCAGTCTCGTTTGTTTCTTCTGTTACATGAGGTTGAGGCACAACACAACCATGTTCAGGACACCACAAAAAAGAACTGTTTTTAACGAAGAAAAAATATATATACGTACAAAGAAAAGAAAGTACAGTTCAGAAGATGGTGTATTCTCCCTTCTACTTTTTTTGTGGGGGTCAGGGGGTGCAGAAGCTAGCCAAATCTGATGTTGTACTCATTACAACTGGCTGTGCAATCTTTGACCTCCCACTCACTCCCTCTTTTTTCCCTCTCTCTAACTCCGTCTCTCACTCTTATCTGTCGCACTCTCAACCTGTCTCACTGCTATTTCTACCAGTGCATTTTGTAATTCCAAACAAAACTCTTCCTAAAGAATAAAATCCAGAGAGAATGCACACTGCTTTGCCTCATTTCTTCTCCACGGTATTGCTTTAATCTTTTTAACTGTGAGGGTGTGTATGGCTCATATTTTGGGCTAAAGATGCCCTGTGGAGTTTTCTTGTAAACAAACAAACAAAAGCTATGTTTGCATTTATTGTTACTCCCCAAAACGCAATGTATGAATCCTTGAGCTCGTACAAACATGGTGAATATATTTCCTTCCTCATAAAATATTTGCAATGCCATTATCTTCAACATTATGAAACGTGCATTGTTTACGTTTAATAGCTTGCAGTCTTGCATGCACTGACTGATCAGAACTGAAAAGACAACGGATAGTGAAAATCCGGAGGGACATCTGGCCATATTTCAAGGTAAAACAACATACTTCATGACTCATTAGCTACCTTTAATTTGAGCATTTGGGCTTCCCACCATGTGACGTCAGAGGGAAATGGCTGTCAGTCACGTGAATATGATGAATTAACTGTCCACCGGTGGAATAGTGTGAAACAATTGACAAGAATGTGTAAGACAAACCAAACACACTCACTCACACATAATACTTACTGTTCCATTTCACTACCGGAGATCAAAAACTTTAAATCTGCATTGATTTGTTTTGGCCACTTTAAGGCAGTAGAACAAGCTGTAACAACAACAGTGACTTCATCACATTTGATAGTTAGTAGTGATGGTGTTAACAAAGAGTTGACTGTTTACACAGACACAGAGTATCATTCATTTAGAGTCGTGTTTCTAATCACCTGGCAAATGTATGTCCAATATTCACTCTCTTTTTAGCTCTGTTACGCCAGCTCCTGACGGACATATTGGCTGCTAAATGCTCCACTATGAAAACCAGCCAGTCGCTAACATTATCTCTCTGCTGTTTGGTGTAGGGCAGGTGGCATGTGGGACGTCAGAGCTTTTGGCCTGAAAACAGCTGCCTGTTGTGGCCGGTAACAGGGCTGATGAGAGTGGTGAGAAAAATAAATACATTTGAAAGCTGTAAAGAGGGACTGCAAAGTTGGGCGATAGTTAATTGTGGGTTGGTTACTATGAGAGACAACTTTCACACTATACATAGTCATTTGATCCGTTGTTAGAATAAAAATATTGATTAGTGCGGCTGTAAGCTCACAAACCTACAGTGCTGATGAGGGAACAGTGATCTAAAGTCTACATCCCACCAGTTGCTCTGAGTGAATTCAGCACACAACCTTTTTTTTTTTTGCTGTTTCTGTGACGCTTGAATTCTATCAGGTTTGAAATATTATAAATATCCACTAGATGTTAGATAACTGTGTCTTATGCATACGCTAGTCATGCAGAGGACATGGATGTGTCAACAGTAAGTGCCTGAGTGGTCGGAGTAGACTTTCATGAGAAGGCCAACGAGTGTGTGTTTGTATAATATGTATGACGTGTGTGTGTTTTCACAGGCATGTCCAGACAGTTCCGGCCACTCCTCCCAACCCTGTGCACATAGACAGGCTGCTCTGGTTTCAGCCAGAAGAATAAGCAGCACAGTTCGGGGCCCCATGGTGGGCTCACACGGACACTCCACCCCCCACCACATTCCTTCCTTCTGTTTTCCTGGATTAGCCCCTTCCCCCCCCAAAAAAACTGGTGAATCCCTGTTGAAACCCCCTCCACAGTCTGCAGGGAAACTGCATTCCTAAACTTACAACCTACTTTAATAGCATAGTAAATAAAAAACAGTTTTATTTGATTACGCACATTTCTAAAACTTCGCTATAATTGCAGTAATTTTATATGGTGTGAGTTTTGTAAAAACTCTCTTTAGTTACTGGTGGTTCAGTGCAGAATGACCGTGCCACTGAAATCTCTATTAAAGATTCAGCTTTACTGCAGTTATCTGTAACCCAACACCCTTATTTTCCCTAAACAAGTAATCATTTATCAACTCCACAAATAATTGTTTTTCTTTTAACCTAACCCTTTGCACTGTAGTTGTCGAACCCGAACCAATGAGCACTGTCATCACAGCACTCTCATTAAAGCAAAGAGCCAGTGGACCCTGATTGTTCTCAGTGTTGGGCCAGTCAATGGCTTTACTGCCTCCCCCTTACTCTTTGGACCACAGAATCCTGAATTGTCCTTGCTTTTGTACTGCAAATCAGTGCAGGGGGTGTGAAGTTGTGGAGGGAAGGAAGTTTTTTTTTTTAAACACCCAAACCAGTTTCCTGTCATACTCAAAACACACCCACATACCACTTTCACAATGACTTTCTTTTTTTCTTTTTTATGACTAACACACTCAGGCCTCACTACTACCATGCTTCTACTCTCCCCTTGCAGTCAGACATGGCATAATTTATTATAAACAACACACGACTCAGAATTAAGTAGTATAAAAATGTTTAATAAATACTGAGGTAGTTGTAGTCATTGAATGTTTTACACATTTCACATCTTCTGTCACTGTGATCTCCATAACACAGTCTTAGAATGCAGCCTGCTTCATATGAACGTCCATAAAAACCAGCTCAAGGCCCCATCCAGATCGACCACTTCCTTGAGTTCTGCCTGTCGCCAGCTGAAGTCAGTCCCGATAGTGAGCTGGCCAACAACTAGGCTAGAAGTCACAGGGACTAGGCTACTACGCACCCGTGAGTCCTGTGACATACCCAGGTTGAGTGCCTCGGGACTGCACTGTCCTGCCTGTTTGCATCCAAAAACCCTTACACGGACCCCGCATGCAGGGCGCGTTCAGGCTCTCAGGCCGTGTCGAAAAGTTTCCTGCCTTTAAATCTGCACAGGGTCTCAACACGCTGCAATGGCTCTCTGTAGAGGGATGGGGGATGGGGGCGCTCCCAGTTCACTGCTGCAGATGACATAGTCCATCAAAACGGAACTTACAATGAGCTGTTGAGGGCAGGTCACCTGCTCAAGTTTTGCTTTCTTGCAAGGCAGAAAGTCCGGCTCGACGGCCGCTTTCCCCCGTCTTTTCCTTGAGTGCTGTGCCGGGCCAGTCGGGCACAGGTTCTCCTTGTTTCCTGCACCGGTACGCTTGAGTGCGTCGCGGCGCAACTCTTTGGTGGAAACCAAAACCTCCTTTTGGGGTAAAGTCCGAGGCTTTCCGGTGGCAGGAGAAGCGGGACCCTGGGGCTCCTGATGAGCGCCAGTGGACTCTGTGGTCATCTCAGCCGTGGAGTGTTGTTCACATCCTGATGGGACACTGTCTGTCGTCGCCTGGGCCTCGTGGTAGATGTCCCGGGCGGATTTCATCACTAGTGTCAGGAGGAGACTCCGGTGGAGACGGAGACCCCCTCGCTGAGTGCGGGAGCTGTACAGTTTCCCCAAAGCCACGACCATGATCCTCTTGGCCTCAGCGCTGACCTCCATGTCACAGCTTGTTTTGAAACTAGTCCTGGAAAAACAACCGGCGGGAAAAGGTTTGCGGATTCAGACTCTTCCCTGTGAGTTCACACACAGACACAATACAGACCGGGGTGCAGGACAAATACTTATCACCTCGTTGACGTCACTCATCCAGCGTCATCTGATATAGCCCCGCCCACTGGCCTCATACCCGGTCTGTTATTTCCAACAGCCCCGCAACAACTGGTTAGGCAGCTGTGGCTATTTTAGTCTGCCCCTGTGCTCTATGAAGATATGACTGTCTCACTGTTGAAATACAAACTACAAGCATAAAGAAAGCGTAACTCTGCCAACAGAACACATAGGAATGCACAACAGGCACCTATGGTGAGGTAAACCAACTACAACAAGCAATAAATCATAACAGTTGGGAGTATTTTGACATTTTGGGGAAATCTGTTTCCCCAGTTTCATTTAGCAAATAAGTTCAACCTGCCTGTAAAACTCATTTCTAGCCTATAGTTTCTATGTAGGCCTACAACACACATTACATACACAGGTTACCTCATGCATTCAGCTTTGAAGTTTGGACTTTGGACTTGCAGCCCCCCGAACCTTACAGCATTTTTCCAGAGCTATAGGCCAAACATGCGCCTGACTTTGCATTAGATAAAGGCTACACATCTAATTTGCCCCGACTCTGGTTTTGGTGACAAATGTGTTAGGCTGTTTCTTCAATAGCCAACGCTAAATTAGGCATTGCAATTGCAGTAACTGGTAGTAAAATGATTAATAATTGATTTCAACGGATCTTGGCTATTACTACCCCCAGCCCACCTAAATGTTGTTCAGAGTGCGCTTTTACATTCAAACTCTTGGTGCAGCTTTAAAGGGGGGTCTGACTGAATCAGCCCTGTCACATGCAAGTCAGTTGTTTTGCTAAAATACAAACGACGCCTGTTGTGCTTGTCGGGACACCATCAAGCATTGAACTTCATCATGTCAGCTAAGGACCCGACTTTCAAATAATCCAAATAATGAAAAAACATGTCAGGCTATACTAAATGTTTAAGGACGTGTTTTGCAATCATTAACTGACTACACATTGACCATATTGGCTATTGATTTGATAAGCAAAACCCGGAACAGAAAAGGTCTAATCTGTGAAAAGATATAGGCTATCTTGGTCTATGTTTAGTCTTTCTCACGCCACAGATGCATGCCACGGTTCTACTTATCTGGAACAGTCAGTAAAGCACAACAGACTCTGAGCTCTCCTCCAGTCTCACCCATCCCCCAAGTGTATTGCTTCCTTTTGAAAGAAGAAAAAAGAAAAGAAAAGAGAGGGAAGGGGAGGGAGGTGTAGCAGACAGATGCCCATATTAAGCACATCCTGCTCCTGTGGCAAACACGGAGGAAAACCCATGACGTGAGTGGGAGCCCTTGTTTCCTGTAGCCATTTAAAGTAACAGCAGTGGGGATTGCGTCAGGATCTGCTACTTCCCTCAGCCCATATTTGGGCAATGGAATCCATTCCTCCAGTTTTTATCCTAATCAGAAACTGCATAGTACTTCTATACTTCATTTAGCGTTAGAACTGGTTATATTGAATGTTACAACAATATGACAACATAAAACTATAAATTCTACTCTTGAATAGGTTGAAATTGTCTTGTCCCAGAAGATTTTAATTCTTATAGATAAACAGGAAAACAGAGAGCTTTTTCTCCCCAAGCTGCCCTGTGCTTCCAGAGGAATTTGTGGTATGCTGGTGATTGTTTCTGGTGCGGCTGCAGTTCAACAAAGCCATCAGTTGCAGAGGATCACAGGCTGACGTTTGCATTTTTAAAACAAAAAAATGCTTTTACTGTCATAAAAAAATCTACTTTTGTCTATGTGGTAGGAATGCATGGAAATTAGTGAAACATGTGAAACCATGTGAAAGGGAAAAAAGAAGCTAAATGAAATTCCTCTGTTGCATCCATCGTCAACCGCTTATCCTGCGTACAGGGTCGCGGGGGCCTGGAGCCAATCCCAGCTGACATCGGGCGAAAGGCGGGGTACACCCTGGACAGGTCGCCAGTCCATCGCAGGGCATGGACAAACAAACACTCACACTCACATCCCAACACAGGATGGTGGGAGGAAGCCAGAGCACCCGGAGAGAACCCACGGAGAACATGCAAACTCCACACAGAAAGGCCCACGAGCTTCTTTGTGTGAGGCGACAGTGCTAACCACTGTACCACTGTAATTTTCAGTTGATCGGCATGCCTCTTATATTAATACAGTATGATCTTGTTCGTGACCCAAAAGACAAAACATTTCCTTCTAACCCCCTACTGATGTTTTAAAACTCAGCACAATTTATGTTTAAGTCATCAGTAGAGGTGTAGAGAACACTCTTTGGGTTCACTTCCATTACATTTCAGTAATACATTGAAGATTGCCCTCCTGTGGTCACATTATGGAATTGAAGCAACATTGTGGAGACTGGAGCCCATTTAAAAGCAACAACACTTGCCTTGTAGCCCTGATTCACAGCCTGAAGCATTGATAAACTCTTAATTTTCTCTCCATTCATAACCCCCCTTTTACATCTTTTGGGCTGGCATTAGTTAATCATTTAATCAAATCTGTATCCAGTATCGTGTGTATCCTGCTTTTTACACAACTCAGGCAGTATATTGCCTTTCTGTGAGTGGGGCCCCACTTAAATTATTAAATAAATACAGCATTCCTCAGATGGCATCAACATCATGATTGTGCTTTTGCAAAATGTTCCAGCTTTTAGGATTCCCGAGATGCCTGTAAGTTAATCCTCATCTGGGGAATTATGTGCACCACTGCATTGGACTGTAGTGAATTCCTTTCCAAGATATTTTGCCTTAAATATATTAATCAATGTTGTTTTTTTTCACCAGGGAGCAGTAAAACATCACAACATGCAGACAGAAACGCAGCCAGTACATCTTATTAGAGCCTTATTTCAAGCCACAGAGACATTTTGTTCTAAAATTAAATGTTTAAATTTATTGCTAAATTTTCTGTTATTTTTCACTGGGTATACTGTTGCGTTTATGAAGTTTTTATTGTACAGCTTCCTGATGCTGCTTCGTAACGGAAAACAGCTCAGATTTAACCGTCAATTAAATGTGCAAGCAGTAAAAACAAAATATGCAAAAAGAGGCTTATCCTTAGAGCAGAATGGCGGCACTATAAACAAGCATTTTAACATTACAGTACAGAGTCAGTTGATTAAATGTTGATATCAAAAATATAGATTGATGCGGATTTGAAGCTTCCATTAGCCTACTGTACAGTTTGTAATTGCAGCGACATAGTTAACAGCTGGCAAGCTGGCCAAAAGTGGACATTTCGGTGAGTTGTACAGTAGGCTATAGCTCTGTCTCATCGGGTGGAGAAATTCACCACTGCACTGCTTTGAGTAAAATGTATGCACATGTAAAAAAATTTTAGCCTTTGTCCTTCAGCATCAATTAAGCATTACAAGCAACAGACTTACGTTTGAACTGTCGAGCTGGTTAAGTTTAATGCTGCATGTGCAGTACGATCCACCCGATGTCCTGCAGTCAGTTGTCTCGTCAGCCATCAACCACTGGGTGGTGCACTAACAAGGGAAACTAAACATAGTTGATTCTGCTTAAGGAGCTCCTACATGCAAAGAAAAGGAGGAGAGTGTCAATGGTTTATCTCACTGGTTCACAAACTTTTTCAACTCAAGACCCGAAAGAGAAATCTGGTGTCTTCCTGGGACCCAAATTTACAAAAACACATCTACATTTACAAACTACGATTAAAGGGCAAAACAAACCATGTATATAAAATATATTCATTTTGTTATTCAAGTAAACAATAACAACAATGTCTATTCTCCTTTCTGTGTTGAAGTTTTCAACCAGCTGGGCTCATGCTGAGCATGTTTCTAAATTGGTTTTTCAGCTATGCTAGAGTCAGAAAGCCAGATTCACACAAGTATGTTGTGCCATATTGAATGAACACATCTTGAAGGATTCTTATTTACAAAGAAAAAAATGTTTGGACTTTCCCAGAGACAGTGAATGTTTTGTTTATAGATACCTGTCCAATTTATTAATTTTAAAACCCTCAGAGCACTTCCCCACATACTACACATTGAAGTATCTCCTCTCCATTCTGAATTGCTTTGGTGAAGCCAACATTAATAAACTCATCCTTGTACTTTAGTTAGATATCATAGGATCAAGAGTGACAGATGACAGACTACAGACATATAAATTCTGTATGAATGTGGACAAAAGATCAGGTTAGGAAGAAGAGAGGGAGAAAACCTCCCACAGCATCTGAGCTGAACAGACAAGTGTAGCAGAAAATAACATACATTCACATATTTACATATGGTAACTATGGTAATTTTAATTAGCGGCCCAATAAAAAGGAGTTTCCTACCCATTTTGGGTCCCAACCCTAAGTTTGGCAAATGTGTTTATCTCATTCGGGGTCGATATTCAAAAGACTGAAGCGCATCATTCTGAATTTGCCAATACTAAACCCCATTTCATTTATCTTAATTGAAAGTGGAGTTGTGTCATTTTGTTGCGTTTCCTCTATTATAGCGTAGAATATGAAACATACCAGTGAATATTGGCCTCATGACCCATTATGTAAAGCACTGTATACCAAGTGTGAAAGCAAAACTACAGCCAAATGAAGGCAGAAACAACTGTGTGGGATGATATGTTCGTGAAGCATGAAAGAAGCCGGTCATACATGGCATCCTCCAGGTGTACGGAAGTGTACGTGAAGAGGAACATTCGAGAATGAGCACGTATGTTCAAACTTTATCTGTTGATTTATGAAAATTGTTTACTTACAGTAAATAAAACCATTTCACAGTGAAAAGCACTTCCCAACAGAATTATACTTAAAACTGGCTTCTTAGTTATAAGTTATAGATATAGCTGTAAATTAAATAAGCATATAAATTATATTTGAAGGTGTTTTCCTGGCAATAGTCAAATTGATATTTCTTTATCATATTATGGTTTCAGCAAATGAAATATACATTGCAGTGTCACATATGAAAAGTACCACAATGAGCATGAGCCATGGAGCATGCAGTGTTAGGAGTTGGGGTGGCTGAGCTCATTGCTTATCGTCTACTCATTATGTCAGTTCTCATCTCAGCCACATGTTTGAGGTTTGTATTAAAAAACAACCAGCCAACCAACAAAGCAGCTCAACAGTAACGATACCAGTAAAAAAAATTAAGAGTCAGAGAGAAATTGTTACAAATCTTTTATTAAGATATTCATTATTTAATCCATTTTGACATTTTCTCTATGATTTGTATTTATTTATTTTACAGTCGTTAATGTGCAATTACCTTTGATAATGTTGGGTCACAGTTACAGGGCTTTCACAAAGTTATTGGCACTTGGAACACAGAAAGAATAGGATGAGCATTACAGGATGTCCACTGGCGCTACAGGGTTACAGAGGGCAAGGAGCAGGGGAAAGACATGGGCAGACCAATTACTGTACAGGTTGTGAAGAAGCGCCGTTTCTGGGTAAATATATACCTCATGCTGCGAGTGCACAACAAACAATCTGACCTCTATATGTGCGTCTATATATAATATACAGTATTTATCTATACATGTGTATAATCGTATTTATATATGTACTGTTTAGTGACAAAAGGTTCCCCATGCCATGCCACACCTTATCCATTCAAGTGTGTAGGTCTACATGTTTTATGAAGTGTAAACACGTGTTGAAAGTACAGAAATGACAGTTTGCTTAGAAAGTATTGAGAAAAAAAAAAGAAGAAGCATGAAATCTTTCTATTCTCAAATGCACACAAAGTAAAACACAACCACACTCACACACCTCTTGCACATAAAGCACAGTGGAAGTAGTGGTGAGTGAGGGACTTTTTGAACGTTTACTAGAGTTGGCGCTGAAAGCTAACGATGGGTAAAACCCCTGACACATACCATAACCTCAGTTATTTCTACTTAACTTGTGCAGCTGATCACAACACACGCCCTAAACCAGTGTTTTTAAGAAAGGCTCATGAGCGCAAACGTACGGTATTCTGACTGGGTCAATGGTGCAGTGTGGATATTTCCGTATCTGGGCTGAGCTGCGGTGTTGTGAAAACAGACTAACATGGATTCCTTAGAATCAGTGCTGATTCACTGGTGATATTTCAGCTCTAGTCAGTGACTCAGTACAATAAAGTACAAGTTATTCACAGCAGGTCACTGTGTGACATGGTAACTGTAAGAAACTTATTTGAGCCCTAGTTGTTTCTAGGTTTAAAATCTTTATTTTCCTGTTCTATTTTTGTTTTCTATGGGAGACTTGTGAGGGGCACAACCAAAAACAGTCCTGTAATCATGGAACTAAATTCAGACATTTGAACAATAATTTGGCTGTTGTCATACCTGGTTTTATTTCTTTAGGCAGGAACATTGACAGATTTAGCAGACATTATGCTAAATAAGATATTGTCCCCAGAACTGCCTACATAAAATTTAGAGGTTCTAGTGATGGGACTTGAATGCTTTTCTCTTGGTCCTTCAACTCTGTACATAACGCAATTATCTTTTGTTGACTTTGATATATTTCAAATGAGAAACGTACAACATCAAGTGATATCCCACCAAACTATTTAAAGGGATTATGGTAACTTAAATACACCTGGCAGAGGCTTCTCAAGTACTGTCAAAACTGAAAAAAAATGTTGGCGAAAAACATGACGATGTCATTTGAGTTGTGCTGAACTTCTGTAAACTTATCCCAGTGAAAACTAAGCAAATTAAACATACATCTTACGTTTCAGATTTATCTACCTCAAACCACTTTTTTATCTCTCGCTGAAACACATAAATAAACTTGTGGAAGTGAAACTTGACACCAGCTGCATGAAAGACAGGAAGCACAACAGTGTTTTCTGAGAATGGAGAATAAAGATACTCGAGAGGTAAGTGGGGGAGGGGCGGTCATGTGGCATCTACAGTCGAATGGTACTGAGGTTTTGTTGTTATTAACCTTAACCTGGAATACTTACGAGGTACTGCATTTTTGTTCTGTCCATATATACTCAAGTCAAACCATTTAAGTAAACTTGTCCTTGTATTTAAATCAATAATGAAAATAGGTTGAGCTATATATATCATGTCTCTAGGTATTTCTTTCAATAAGATTGACTCAACTGCCTTGAATAAGAAGCATTGATTCTTTCCCGGTTTTTACACTGTACCTGTCTTCAGGGAAAAAAATAGAACCTTTTTAGAAATGCCTTTCCAGAAGGAGAAAGTAATCAGTCGCATTTCAGGTTAGGAACACATTTCTAAGTCACACCAAGACCTCTTTCATTAATATCCATCTGCAATAGGAATAATCCCGTACTGACCTCTGATCTACAGACATTCGTTCAAAAAGCTTCAAGCAAACACAAACTTTCACATAAAAAAAAAAAAAAAAGGTCAGTTGTTGACATTTCATAATCAGATGCATCCAGCAACAGAAAGGAAGAACACTTGGGATTCAACTCAACAGTCTTCTTGATTATTTACAGTAGGAGTTTGTGCCACTTCTAAAACTAAAAACACAGGCAGTCATGGGGAAAAAAAGGACAAATTAAAGGAGTTCAGTTGCTACACAACATTTCTCAAAAGGGTGCATGAACCACTGGTTCTTTTCATTAAGGTGCAGAAACCTCCATTCTAGCTCTCATGGAAGGTGCAAAATTAAAGACGTGGTGCATTAGATACATGAATAAACCACATACCAAAAGATACAGCAGCGCAATACACAGTCTGTTCACACACACTGATAGTACCATAAAATTTGTTTCAAGCAATATTGCCTCTTCTTGGCATCACTGTACCCACCAGGATTCTGCTTAATGATTTCAATTTAAAAAGGCACGTTCCAATATTCCATAATTATTTCCTTTGACTTTTGCATTGGCACATAAATGTCAGTAGCTTTTTTTTCCTTTTCTTCTTTTCAATAATGTCCGTACAAAGAAACTAGCTGAGTTGTCAGATCAATATAACCTTTATATATTTGTACAAGTACTCTTCAAAATTGTGGGCCAATGCTTTATCGAGGGAGGGAAACGTTGCAGGTTCACAACCTAACAAGAAATGGTTATCATAGACAACAGTCAAGCCAGCTGAATCAGTCTTATTATTCCTTTTAAGCTAGTGAACAGAAGATGAAATGCTTCAAATTTAGCAGTTCGACTGCCCATTCCATCACTCCGCACTGTCAAATAAAGATAAAAATAAATGAATACGGGTCCTATGATAAGACTACTTTATTATACTCCTCTTTTTTTTCTGCAAAAATAGCACTTTTCCTTATTTGACAAGACCTCTTTCAATAAAACATGAAGATCGAGATTTTAAAACAATCCCTCTCACTCTCTTTGCTCACACCCTTCTAGGCATGGGCACAGGTATAAATATAGTTTGTCCTCTAAAAATATGACCATCTTTGATCACTTGTTGCCCTTAAATCTTCTTTATAATCATCTCAATATAAAGCTTCCCCCTTCTCTCGCTGGATCACTTTTCAGTTTGTAGACGGAGAAACATGCTTAAAACGCTGAAAACAGAAAGATTAGATAATTATTTCTATAGGACACTGCACAGTGAAACACTCAGGTGAGATTCTCTGGTCTCAAGGAAGGCGACGTGGGGTGAAGAATACTTGCAGGGTGATGAGTGGAAGGTGCAAGGGGAGGAAGAACAGGTAGTGTTAATTATTGTAGCTATTTTTGAAATTTCGTTCAGTTTCCAAGCCTGGAACACAAGTTGTCAGGGTTGCATAGAGAAAAATGCCACTGACACTTAACATTCAATATACCTGCCGCCTCTACTCCTAGCCTGTCCGTCCAGCCGTCCCTCACTCCCCAGGCTGCACTTGGGAACCCCCCCCCCCAACACCTGTATTTCAGGGAATGTATTTCATATGAAACAGTGGATGCGCTTACACACCATAAAAAGACAAGGGGAGGCAGAGGGCACTTCGGAGAAAACTAAATACCCTCTTCCTCTCTCCCTTTCCTCAACTAACTCCGTTGTACAGTCAGAAAAGCAAAAATTTAAGTTGTCCTGGTTACGTCAGGGTAACAACAACTGTTCACCCCTAGCAGTGTAGTATAGACAGTCAGAAGTGAGAGATCAGCGTGGGCCAAAGAGTGAGGAGGCAAGCAGAACTGGGGAATACTGGTATGTGTGTCACCAAATTTCAACCACCCCCCCCAACACAGTGTTCAAAATAACGGTCCTCCGTCCCCGCCTACACCTGATAACGATTCACCTGAAGAGCCACCCGACTCCATGCCAGCACTGCCGGTGGCCTCTAGAGAGGCGGGGTCGAACGGCGGATCCGCCCCCAGGGTCTCATCCTCCATCTTGACGCCGTCGGGAAGGAAAGCGGTGTAGGCGTCGCTCTCAGCCATCAGCAGCTTCAGCTTGGGGATCCAGCTCTTGCGGACCACACGCCGGGCGTTGGTGCACATGTCCGCTGCGATGGCATTCATCTCGCTCTCTTTGAAGCTGGTGGCGAAGTTCTGGCAATAAACTGACATGGGAAAAGAAAACATAGTTAGTGCAGCACACATAACTTAATGTGGAGAATGTTATTTGTGGTACTCACTAATTCTGTACTTTATAAAACTCGGGTTCTGGCATAAATTAACCTACTTTAAAAAAAAGAAAAAAGGTGCATGGAGACCAACCAGTCTGAGTTTCAAACCGCCTCCTCCTCACACTGCAAAACTTGCAGTATTGATACTGCATCTTGTTAATTTTTCCCATACATGTAAAGCCCTCTACCATCTAAATTACATCAAATGTTCTACATTCATACACACGCTTCAGTTGATGTTGGTAAATACTGTAAAAACATCTTAGTTTTACAAGGGCAAATTTCAAAAAGAGTAGAGTTAATATTTGTAGGACTCCTGCAGACTCATACAGGCCCTGACGCTGAATTGTAAATGGAAATATTAAATGGGGCAGCTCATTTCACTAATGAGACGTAGGGAAATTTATCTATCTTTATAATGCTAGCCCACACTTCACTGAGCCATCCAAGGAGGTAACCCCAACTGTCTTTATAAAATAAGCCTGGTTATATGTACACACTACAGTCATTTCTTTAGCACATGACATTCAGTTTCACAGTAAATGTTGCTATCTAGTGGTCACTGAGAGTTATTACCTAATGCTAATCATAAGGGTGCAGTAAGTAGGAAAAAAAATCACCCATTTGCACATTCATCCAAAAGTACCAAATCATTCAATTTAGGACAACTTAGCTTAACAATATGTACAGTCAATATGTTTCTGTACAGTATGAATGCATGTACATTCCCCTCCGTCTGTGCCCAACATCACAAGCAAATTGCTTGCATTCTTGTGGGCAAACACCCACAGACAGAAAAACATGTACGCTCACATTTGACCGCATGCAGAACTCTGTTGTCCAGGGGCTTGCGGCTCGGGTCATTGGTGGACGAGCGGATGCCTGTTCCACAGCTGTTGGCCAGAGTATTCCTGATGCATCAAAATGAGAATGAGTTTTGCAGAACGCAGAACAGAGGAAAACAAAAATAGTTGTTATACCCCTCCTACGCCAGCAGATTAAAAGAAAAAAATAAACCCGCATTCATTTCTATATTAAAACGAAGCTTTTGCTAACTTTACATGAAACACTTGCGCAAATAGACCCAGACACACAGGCAGAAGGAACAAACCTGTCAAAGAAGGCAGCCAGCAGCCTCCTCAGCAGCACCTTGTGTCTGGTCCCTGCGCTCACATGACAGTTCATTAGCTGGGCTCGTGATATATACACAGAAGTACCTGCAAAGAATTGCACATGCAAAGAATATCAACAAACAAATGAACCGCCAAGAGCCATCAGTACTTTTCAACATTTACGACTCATTTATTGTGACACATTTAACCTGTTCAAAGTTCAGATTTTGTGGGTCATATACAGGAATGATGAAGTCAGGATCTTCACTTTGATTCACTGGAATGTAGTATTTGTTTATCTAGTGACAACTCGGATTCATAGCAAACATTACAAAGAGAGAGGAGGCTGTGCTTTTAGTTACATGTCACGGCTTAGAGTTTGCTTTTGCCTCTTTGCCACCTTTTCATGTCTTCATAATAACAACAATAATAATAATAAGTACAGTTTATTACTTCTAATATTGCTATGGTATGCGTAATACCATTGTTTTTTGCATATTTTTTATTTTACTACTAATCTACCCTACAATACTAGCTTGGTGTATGTTTCCTCCCTCCTTTTCTTTCTTTCTGTTTCTCTCAGTCACACACACTATACTGGTATAAAAGGTATGTAACCTGGCCCGTAAGGTAACAGACATTGTCACAGGATGTCCTTGACATAAACACAGACAAGTCGAATGTGCAGGACTGCCACATAACCTAAATGCCAATGCCAAGCACAGTCATTTGAGGACAGCTTCCTCTAAATATGTGTATACATAAAGTATTAAGTGCCATTGTCCTTGTCCTGTGGAGATCCTTTGAATCAACTAACATTGGCATATTGCTGCATGATTATTTTAGTGTGTCCTTCTATAATATTGATATATGTGTATCTTCCAAATGTTTAAAGATTTTAACTCCTGTAAAACACAATTCCGTCTTTTGCAAACATACCTGAGACTAACTCTAGTTTCTCAGCAGGGTCTCCTTCCTCGTACAGTTTGGGATGACAGCGGTTGCCTATCTGAGCGACGAGTTCTGCGGGGAGACATGTAAGGTCTCTGCCTCGCATCCGACCCCGTGTCTCTGTGTGATCTGGTAGAGCCTCAACGCGCTCGCCAGAAGCTGGAGAAACACAATACTGCAAAATTAGAATAAAACCACATCACTTTAACACACAGAGAAAATAGAGTGCACAGTCCAATGTCTGCTAAAACCAGAAATACATCAGATTATTATTTAATCGATAAAAATAAAATAGGAAATCTCAGCAGATGGTCTTTTACTTAAGATATAAGCGGGCGTTCTAAATGACACATTTTCTCTGTCTTGCAGGTGCGTTTACAGATACTGTTCTGTCTCAATTTCATTACCTGCAGCTCCCATGTTGAGCATGCTGTACATGGTATACATGTTGCAGATTTGCCTATACTGCTCTTCAGCACATTCATCTGCCCCCTCTTCCTCTTCTTCATCATCATGGTAGCTGATGGGTGAGTCACTGGCGTAGGTACTTAGGGTGCCAGGGCTGGCGCCCTCTGACATGCCGAGACCTGCTGCAGAGCTGCCATTGGTGCCGACACTGGCCGCCATGCCCGCCAGGCCGGTTGCAGTGGCACCCATACCCATGGCCAGTCCGAGGGCTCCGGGGCTCTGAATGGCACTGCTCCGCACCGACTCCTGGGAATAACGGGCTGCCTTCCTGGACCCCCCTCCTCCCCCCGAGCCGCCTCCACCTCCGTCTCGGTTGCTGCCACCCTCCCACAGCCGCTTGGCTACAGGAGTGCAGACCACAGAGTAAGGAGTTGCGGCTTCCGGCTGGCTAGCTGGCTGCTCTGCCTTCACTCGTGATACAAGAGAGAGCGGCGTCAGGCAGGAGGCAGGCCGGGCTGTACTGTTACTGGTCTGCGTTACAGGGCTCTGGGGCTCAGAAGGTGGGGCTTCCTCAGCGTGAAGGCCCTGGGAGTCACAGCTGGGGGAGGAGACCTAGAAAGGAATGTATACATCAACTTTGTGCCAGCATACAGGAAAACTCTTATGTACCAACAGATGTGATTTTGCCATTTGTCGACCGAAGGATGGACGACTAGACATGTCAACAACCACTGGCCAGATTCTACTAACCCTATGTAGAACCATCACTATAATTATACTTCCACCTAGACTTTGGCCAGTGACAAGGTTTCAATAACTACAGTATAGATTGGCCTTAAACGCTCCCCTGCAGATGAACCCTTTCAATTTTTACCAAAGTGGTTGGCCAATTCTGAAATGGAGCAGACACTTGATTTTAAAACAGTCAATTCATCCAGATAATCATCCAAAATAATGTTAATTTTGTTATAGTTTTCTTTTGGTTTGACCCGTTTTGGGGTCTCTGTGACTGAGACTTTTGCTGCCACCTTAACACAACTGACATAAATGCCATTTGGTTTGTGTGTTTGTTGTGCTCAAAGAAAACTCTTTCCCCTTTTTCAGATTTATGTCCCAGCTACCTTGTTACTTGCTTTGATGAGTTTCTGCTAGGGCTGGGCAATAAAACATTTTTAAAATTGTTCAATAAATGTTGGATTTAATTCATCATAAACAAACTAGTACTTAATTCTATTTTATTTTAAGATATTAATTTTGTTGAGGAAAAGGGACTGAAAACAAGATTTTACTTCATTTTACTCATGAATATTTGTTGAAAAGTTGCTTTGAATGTTCTACCTCAGATTTTTTAAGTTGTCCACTGTTTGGCAAGTGTTTGTCATGTTCTGATAATAAAGCATAGTTTAAAACCACACTTAACCATCTGGTTTCTTCAACTTTCAAAATCAGCCTTTAAACTTGAAAGAAATAATGATTTGACATTTATCGTGATAATTATTGATATTGAATGATATGAAATGTTTTATCGCGATAACATTTTTGGCCATATTGCCTCGCCATAGTTTCTACTGAAAAGTATATCAGCTTTACCTTGAGGAAGAATTCGGTGCCTTTTTCCATGATCTGTTGGATCTGCAGGAAGCCGGCGGTATACATGAGGAGAAACTGGTCCCCCACCGTCATGCTGAGACGGCCTGTGTAGCAGAAAGCCAAAATCTGCTGGAAGCTCTGGGGTTGCACAGCCGAGGGAAGCTCAACTACCGTTGGGCTCGTTTCATTGCTGCTACCACCTCCACTATTGCTGCTGCTGCTGAAAAGGTCCCGGAAATAAGAACTGCTAGCAGCCAGCACAGCTCGATGGGCCTAAGACAAAAGCAGATAAGTAAAGAATTACAACCTTTGAGAGTAGTGCTGATTTCGAATTTTAAGTGTAAGATTTCAGATTTGAAAAATTTAATTGTCTTTCTCACTTAATGATATAAAATCAGAGAGACAATTTCTGAATTTAATTCTGAATTTTAAAACATCTTAGGTCAGACCTTCTAAGTAATGGGCTTGTCATGAATGAACCCAGTGCAGTGTTCTTTGAGACAGAGTTGCAAGATATTCTTATAAACTAATGTAAACAGACTTTTTAGATATAATTTAAATTTGCCTATAGTACAAACTGAGTTTGGATACCAAAACTAAAACCGGACTTTGTTGAATGCCTTATTTAGCTTACTTTTTAAATTTAACAAAGCCAAACCTTTCAAATAAAGCATGTTAAATGCTGTCTCCACATGAACAGCTGCACAAGAACTTTGTCAAAATAAACAGTCTTGTGAAAAATGTAATCAGGCAAAGACTAAGATTGTAACTATAAAGAAACATTTGGTGCCAACAATTGGTGAATTGAATTCAGCCAGTATTGAAGTATTCTGGGTTCTGTGCTCAGCGATGTATTTCTTTATGTATTCATTTATTTATTAGGTCTTATAATATGATACCTAAAATAGAGATGGAGTTCTCCCATTGTTCCTTTAAGGAAAAAAATGGGCCGCTCTCTTACTGTTGGGCATTGCAATTGGGGGCCCTCAAAAAAAAAGTTTACAAAAAGAAATCTTTAACCTGTGTCCTTTACAGAAGAAATGTTCAATTATATGCCATTAAGGTTGTCCAGTAAGACTACAACAGGGGATTTAAGTAATCTAAACCTTCACCTAGTGTAGTAAGTCACTGTAAGTGAAACAGCTTACTGTCAAAGTATATAATCATTTCATGTTGGACAATGCACTGTCCAATGCAACTTAAAAAAAAAAACTTACAAATTAAACCTCACCATCCTTGTTTACACCCAAACCTTAACTTCTCTAAATTTAGCCTCGGCTTTCAATATAAGTATAATTCCCATTATGAAAACAGTAATGACTTTTTGTCTCGTCAGTACCTTGAAGGCATGGCCCTTGACCACCACAGAGACATCGCAGTAGAGGCCCTGCAGCCGCTGCTCATTCAGACACTCTAAAACATTGTTGCCAAAGTTTGGGATCGCCATCTGGAGGGTCTGGGCCATGGTGCGCCGACGCACACCACCAAAGGGTCTTGGTGGGAAAGAAAGAGAGAAATTACACAATTAGAAGGACTTGCCCCATCCACACATAAACTCTGCACAAAAAACTGGTTATTATAGGTTCAACTGCACTTTGAAGTATCAAGCCGACTGTTTAGATCTTTCTGTCATAATTCAGTGTCATACACATTACTCCAAAACAGGGTTTTGATTGTCGTATTGGATTTACACTGGATATTTGTTTTACTTGGGCAACTATTTAGTAATCCCGCACAGCTTGTGCAGCCAGATCCCCATCTTGTAACTAAAAACTAAAAACGTGGGTCAGAAAAAAAAGCAGGACTGTCATTAGACTTTTAATTAATGCAACATTGACAAGAACTTGTTACCCCCAGCAACCCATGTTTACAGAGACAATTGGTTTCAACCTACCACTAACTATACAGTTAGGTCAGGATTTCCAAAAGACTCATCTGTTATCCTGTGTTTACCCTTTCAAACAGAGGTTTCACTGCTTTACCGAGCAGGGCTCTGATCCCAACTTGGGCAGACCATTTCACAACAATGACAAAACTGTTTTATCCTGTGCTGTTTCTTCGGCGTGAGGAGGCCATCAGCAGGCAATGTGATGAGGGGGTGTAATGTAACAAGCCTATGTTAAAAGACAGCTCTCAAAGAGAACAGCCCTAAAACAAAAACGGTGAGGAATGTCAAGACTCTGACATTACTGGACACAGTAAAATGGCTGACAGTCTTTCATTGGGACAAAGTAATACCAGACACTAAACCTAATGGAAGTCTATTTTTTATTACGACTAGGGCAAAGTAAACGTGAATGTCTCTATTCTAGAGAAAAGTAGTCCTGAATAAGATTTATATCCCTTGGCATATCCAGCTGACATAGGCCACAAATATTTCTTCACACAGTCCTACTGAAGGCTTTTGGCAGGCTCTCAGGACGTTGATTTTTTTAAACAAAGTTTCATTGAAGCTTCCGTGGCTAATCTACATTGCATTAATCCTATACGTCACTTCAGCCTTGCAGTACTTGTTATTGCCAGGAGCAGGCTAAGTGAAAGGCTTTTTATTTTCTGTCTTCTATGAGCTATAAAACTTGGTGTCCTTGGATAACTGGGTCATGTTCTGTTATTCTATGTGCAAAAGTGTGTGGCCTAAATAAACACCACATAGCATGTTTCCATTCACTTCTCTAAACAGTCAAAGGCAAACACACGCCCTTTGCCCTGCACCCTCTTGAAGATGCCTATATTATCCATGTCAATCTTAAATTAAAGTGAACCCAAGTTCCCCTAGCTGTGAAAATCTATGCTGTGTGCAGGCTACGTTACTGCTTGATTCTGTAAGACAGCTTTGTATTCAGGGGCAGGATATGTAATGACACATTACAGATATTGTACCAGATATGTCCTTATCTGTTTTAGAATGCATTGTTTAACAGAAGAGCATGGGAGAGAATCTACATTTCAGTACTTCACATGTATATAAGGATTATACCCTCTGTGCCCCCAACCATCATATAACCTCCACAGTAACAACTAACAATAAAACAGATCCACTGATAAACCCACGTGGCATTTCACTGAACATAAACCTTTACTTAAAGCAGAACACCAGTCATAGTATTTTCACCTATATACATAGAATCATAATAAGAAAATAAGATATACTTTATTTATTTAAGAAAGAGCTTTATTGCCAAGTAGTATTTTACACATAGCAGGAATTTGCTATGGCGATATACAGGCCTGCACTGCACAAACGTGTGCATGCATAGCCTAGACAAAGCTACTTTTCACACGGTTTACCACTTAAAAGTGTTGCATGAATGCATGCTGCACACACACAAACACACACACACACACACACACACACACACACACTGATTCATACCAAACAAAGACAATCTCTGATACTGTGAGAACAAACTGATGGAAGCCCACCCTGTGAGAGGCATACAACCAACTTTGGTGTGACTGACTGATGAGGGCTGGAGTGAGCCGCCCCATCATATCCAAAGCCTTTCATTTGGGACCTAGCCAAGCTCCAGGGTAAAGAGAAATGCTCTCTTTGTCTCTGTCTCACTCAAGCTCCCTCTCCCTCATACTAAAACACAGATGCGCACACACAAACTCAAACAAACCCACAAAAGGCACACTGAGTCACACACAGACATTAGACAATACTGCTTGTTTACAGTTTGGCGAGCCGCAGTAAGCACACATGCGTGCACATAAAGACACACAAACACGGGGCTGAGAGCAGGGAGTGTTTGCACAGTTTGCTCTGACAGTGAGGGAGAATGTGACTATGTGTATGTGTGTGTGCGTGCATGTGTGTGCATGTGTGCCTTTATGCACCAAGGAGGGGCAGTGAGGCCTGCAAAGATGAGAGGGATCATCTCAGGTCCTTATTCCATTAAATATATAGAGCGAAGCATTATGAACGCACAGAATTCACCCGAACTCACCCTGTGGCTTACATCTCATACCAAACCAGCCTGGTGAGGAAAGTAGGTCAAACATACTCACAACATACTTAAGACCTTAGACTTAAGCTTTAAGAATGTTTTTGCCTGAACTCAAATGGTTTATGTGATGTTATGATGGGACAGCTGTCAACATATTTTGAAATTTACACTGCCTGACTCCTACTTTGCAGTTTATCCAGTTCTACAACAGCATGGGCTTTTATATTCCTATGTGAGTGATTACTGTGGAGTCATTGGGGCAGCTGGCACACAATGAATTCCCTCTATAGGCATTTCCTGGTTCTCACGTGCATGGCTATGCTACTCCTATCAAGTCAAGACATCCATACAGGCCGGATTCATGATTATTCTTATACAACAGGGAGACCTTGAATATCAAGCAGCACACACACATCAAAAGCTTGTAAACTTCTTCACTCCTTATTACTTGTACCCGTGCGTACCCTAGAGGTGTCCCCGATTACACTCTGTCCCTGTTCAGAAGTGTGAAACAGGATCTAGGTTGCCGGATAATGGGGAACAGGTAAAGGAGCTCCTTAACACACCGGGGTGACCGCGCCGTGTGCCAGTCTACCCACCGGGAGCGCTCCACTGTCTGCTGGCACCGGCGACGGGAGGGGGACGACACGGGATGGCAGAAAGCCCCGGAGATACCCGGGTGAGGGCGACGGTGTGTTACTGTTTACGTGCCGCCAAATGGCATTCAAGTATATAAATCCAAATCATCTTCAGCACGCAAAAGCGGTTGTCATTTGTCCCCGTTTTCCCTTGTGGCTGACAGCGCTGAAATGTTTGACGTCCTCTCCCATCCGCAGCGGGCCTATAGAGGTGGCTAATGGCTAAGCTAACACCACTGTTAAATATTTTGGGTTCGCCCCGGCGCACCATCCACCTCACGCACACTCAGCCCAGCTGCACAATGTCAAGCATTTCCGCGATGGTCCACGCTCAAAAGATAAACAAGACACTTACTGCCTGTGCGGACGAGGTAGCCGTGCTGCTGCGACGCCGGTTGTCAAGCCCAAATGTTGCTTATTTAAATATTTTGGTGATGGGGGAAATCGCTCCCCCTGCCATTCTCCATTCTACCGACATCAACAGGTCATCCCAGGACACGCAGCAGCTGAGGGCGAGCCAGACGGAACCAGTGCGGCACGGAGCGGGGGGTGGGAGCACAACAAGGCACAATTCTTTACAACCGGAGCTGGAGTGCCAAAAAAAAAAAAAAACTGCCGTCGCATTTTCGCATATTAGAGAGAAGAGCTCCGTGAAATTAACCATTTAACTCCGCTGGCATGCTGATCATAGTATAAAGCTACATGTCACTGTTTTTCTAACACTGGATTAGGCAAAAAAAAGTTTAGGACTCTGCAAACCTGAACCCATCCCCTACGTCGCACACTTGTCCCAAACTTTAATGGTCCCGTATCTGCTGGACCGTTCATCATCAACCCAAATCCACGGCGTTTAGGACGCCAGCACGCCTCCCTTTCCCTCTCTGCCGTCGCCGGTGAATCCTGAGACGACCCCGGCGGGGCGCCTCACACAACGGCAGACAACACACTCACCCCCTAGCAGGGAAGCTGATGCAGAGCGTCGGTTCAAAGGAGGAGAAGCAGCGCTCTCTCTCTCTCGTACTCCCCGCTTTTCCTCGCTCCAGGCAGCCATTCAGTGGGAGCGAAGCGCCGATAGCAGAGCCATCGAGGGCGGCGCAGTATCCCAGGGGATTGCGGAACACAGAGCCACTGATCGCACAGAGCAGGCGAGGAGGGAGGCAAGCATGACGCGCTCGTCATTCAATCGCATGATCATTTCGAGCGCAGCCTCGCAAATTTGGGGAGAGCTGGCGTGCACTGTTTGCGCATTGGCACAGCAGCAGCCTGCAAGGAGAAACCGTATTTCACTCTCTCCTCCCTCTCTCTCTATCCGCATATGAGCGATAGAATTGGGAAAAGTAGGTCGTGTGTGTGCACTTGAGTGAACTCCGCGCGCGCATATAAAGTAGCGATAAAGCCGCGCCCTTGTGGGCTGTAAACAAGTGAAACCTTACGTGCAGAACGGTGTGATTATGACACCTATCTCACCTACACATTCACCTGTGTTCAACGGACACACAGTTGCCTGGAAGCCATGCAGTATAACGCATAGGTCATATCTGCTCCAATTCAAAAATATGTAGCATTATAGGCCTTTTATGTGCATTAATATCCATTCTGTGCATCCATTGCATGCAATTATTCACGTGGAGCGGGAAGCACAGCCGATATGGATTTGATAAACACAGAACCTTCGGAGTTGGATTTATGAATAAATGTCTTCAAAATGTGTAAAATATGTTAGCTATATAAAACGTTAAAAAGAAATAACAACCTATGACTTTCTTTCGAACCAAGGAAACCAAACTTTGCTACATTAAACAGTGTCATGGGGAAAAACTCTGCTCATGTGCATTTATGTCCTGCATATCACTGATCATTTTCTGTGCTCACGCTACAGAGACCAACATCTCAGAAAGCAGTTTGGAATTGGAGTAAATCTTTAGTCACTGGATTTTTATTGATTGTTTTGTCCTCTCCATAATATGGCATGTATTTTATAGGTATTTCATTGTCAGAGGCCCTGTCTGTATATTGAAGGCTCAGGGGTCAAAATACTGGCAATACAACTGCGATCACAAAATTCTTAAATAGGATTTTAAAGAGAAAATATACACAAAAATATGAGTTACATGTAATGTATACAACTGTGTACAGCTCAGTTGAATTCATGAAAGCAAACAAGTATACTGAACATGTCATCGGCGATGCCATTTTCTGATCCACAGCTGTGGACCCTCCATTCGTGTAATTTGAATTTAATATCTCAAAATAAAGTGTCACCTGATGACATCATCCATTCATTTTCTGATTTTGCAGGTATTGATTACATCTCATAAGAGAAAACTATGTGATTTATGGGTTTCATTCCAATTTATATGTGTAATTTATACAATTAGTGAGTGTCCCTATACTTTTTAATATTTTATAAATGTGGCTTAGTCTTCTGAATATCTGGCTTTCAGTGTAATCTACATTTGGCATTGAATGTGATGCTATGTTATGCAAATTCCAAAAAACTCAATCACTTAGTAGCACTGAAGTAAGCTGTTAAAACCATGATAGGAAAGATAAGAAGAAACATGAACTGATACTTTCTACCTTTTCTGTGGAACATTAACCAACTACACAGTCCATAAAACAAACATTTGCCTCCACTTTTCAGGACTTTGTCAGGTTTTATTTTTTACTACCACTGGTGGACTGGTGGATGTGATAAAGTGCCCTCTAGGGTACACTTTCACTGGAAAATGTAATGAAGTGCCCTCTAGGGTACCCTTCCAGTTGAGAAAATGTGATGCAGTGCACCAATGGGTAGCTTTAAAATGGAGAAGACATGATGCAGTGCCTTCTAGCATGCCCGTCCAGTGGAGAAAATACAATGCAGTACATATAGGCTGCCCTTCATGCTAGAAATTAAGTTGGCCTCTATGTGCCTCTAAATACTTGAATAGGTCCTTGTGTGTTTTTATTAAAGAGGTGTAATTATTTGAATCTGAATCACATCCTAAAACAATTTTAATCTTAAGGGTTTGGAATTGTTTTACCATAGATTCATTGTGACTTTCTGCACGCTGGTGCCCTTTTTGTTTTTTCTGCTCCTGCCCTTCATACCGCCTGAGTCTGACACTGTTTACAATATTAATTTACAGCTGATTTAGGACTTTTCCACACGGATAAATGGAAGAAATATTTTGAAAGCAACAACAAATCTCTACAAATTCAACATAAATAGTCCCAATCCCCTTTAATGTGTCATATTAAAGCAATCACTGATGGAGCCAGTTGTTTGTAGAAGTCAGAAGTAAAATGAAAATCACCTGTGTTATCAAGAGTTTTTAGGTTAAGGTCTGAAACTGGAGCATTTAAACGGAACTTAAACGGAATTTAAACAGAACTCAGTAATAACAAATGTTATTCTTTACAGCTGTTCTTGTCTCAGGGTTCAAACTGTCTTTAGTGAAAACGCATATTATGCTGGACTCTCAGTGATAATTATTTCAATTCCTATGCTTTCCCATCCTTAGTGAATGAAATGTGAAATACAAAAATGATGTAAAATTATCACAGAATGGCCAAGTTGTTCGGTTTGGCCCACGTGTTAATATTATCTAATTATGAATGCTTTCTCTTTTCATTGCCACTCAATGTCAATGCACAGAATAGCTTAGTGCAGCTTTAAATAAACATTGAAATTACATAAACTATGACACCATTGATTCCAATACCTCAGAAGGATGATAAATGTGTAATTTCAAAGAGACAAAAAAAAGAGTCAAACATCAAACAATCAGTTTGGTTTAATCCAGTTTATTACAACATCAGCGGAGCTTCCTCTAGGCCAGTGGTTTTCAAACTTTTTCTGTCACACCCCCCTTTAGAAAAAAGTCCAACCAGCTCCAGCAGAAGTGGATTTCATTTTTATCAATCATTAACAACACAAGCAATTAATATAAAAAAAAGATTCAGGTTAGCAAAATAGCCTTTCTTGCATCCATGCCCCCCTGCAGTGGCACTTTGCCCCACAATTTAAGAACCACATCTAAAGGCGACATAGACGGCTGCCTAAAGGCCACCTTTCAGAGGGGGATGCCAAATTTACTCACGGAGAAAATGTTTTAATTTTTTATTTTGACACAAAAAAACATACTAGAGCTGATATTTGTGTTGATTTGAAATCTACATGCAGTACTTTTACTGTAGAACTGTGAAGATGTTTTAATTGTAATGTCTGAAAGTGTTCATCTTGTGAGTAATGAGAATGTTGACACTGTATTCCATTTTGAGCTTTAAAGTAGTTTATGTGACCTAGGCCTTAAAAATCCCAGCTGCTGTAATAGTCATTAAATCACATTTGAACATTACACATGATGAACCTGCCAAATGTTGGTTGTGATTTTCTGTATTGTATTTTCAAGAAAAAGCAGAAATTCACAGCAAAATGATATCACAACTATGTTGTTTTTCTTCACAAGTCCAATCACACATTTGCTTGATACACCCACCCATAAATTATAGTGGCTATCCCAGAAATGTGTAATTATGTGGTTGTTGTAGAATTATAAATCTGTTTCACTTAATGAAGCTTGTTTGCTATTTTCTAAGCTGCATCTAAGGGAATGCAATTGTGGTGTCAAAACGTAATTATAGTTACTCACTGCTTTATATCACACATCATGTCCCAGTACGACATACACTACATTTCACATTACAATTTACAAAGATATTTTGTTTTGAAATATCCTGAGTGCGTCAGAGAATAAGCTTCAATTCCCCAATGTCCCATGACACTATTAACCACCAGGTTGGTGTCCATGGGTAAGTGCCATTATACCCTGACAATGTCCTTGTAAAAAAAAGAAAATTATGTGTCTGTTTGATGGGTAGAAATACAGTAGTAGAAGGTAAACCATATGAAGGAAAAAGAGGACATCCTTCTCTCCATGCAATGCTCTGAAGTGTCTTCCTAGAGATAGTCATTGTCGAAGCTTGTACTGTACTACCATCTAGAGGACAATAAAAAGGCAATCACATCTGCACTAGAAGAAAATACCAACTTCATGATGTGTAGGCCTATTCTGGACCAGTAGGCTTAATTTTATATGGTTACACTTTAGACATCTTAGAAAAATGCCATGTTCTAATGTTCTTATTCACACACGTGTACAAAATAAGCAAATCATTCTCAGTCCTGCCCATAGATAGTCTATGGTCCAACGCTTCCCCCAACACCTTTCTTCTACACAGGTGAATGACGTCCAACAGGTCATGACTTACCAAGGAGTTAACCGTTTTGGCTTTATGTCATTTCTGGTGAACAGAAAAGGTAAAATATGGAAGTATAAACATTTAGCTGGTATCAATCTGTCAGCTCTTTTGGGATTTAGCTGTGAAGATCTGGATTGACAGTTTTCTTTTCAAGCCAAAGAAAAGTGGTGGTGGGTAAGTTTTATTTTATTGCTACAGTTTTTTGTCAATAAGTGCAACAACACAAGACACAGCAATATTATTTACTAGTCCAACAGAAAAAGTGCCAGTTCTGCATCTGTCTTGCAGCCTTTATTTCCTCTTGCTTGGTCACTCTCTTTTTCTTTTGAAAGCTTCTGTCAACATCCTCATCGGCCTCATTGCCTTGCCATTATCTAAAGTTATATCCGTCCGGTATTGTTGTTCGCTCTCCCAGCTCCAGTTCAACACCAGTCTCCACCAACAAGAGCATAATGTTGCTTAAAACTTGGGTGTCAAGGGCCAACAAAGCTAGACAGCAACCAACGCAAAAGCACTCATTGTAACATTCCCAATGTCCGAATGTGTTATCTAGTAAGTTACTTAACATCAACTCGAGATATATTGCTAGCAGCTAAACCTCTGTGAAACCTCTGCCTGACTTTGCTCTAATCGACAACACTAACACATCCAAACATCAAGCAAGTGCAACAACACTAGACCCATGCAAGCCAGCTAATAAGTTATTATTTACGTCCAAGGCCATCTTGGCATCTGTCTTGCTGCATTTCCTTTGCCTTTCAGCTCTTTTAGCTCATGCCAACGAGTAAAGGCCAGTCTGATTTTTACTCTTGTCCAGTCTCTTGCTCAGTCACTCCCTCTTTATGCTCTTCCTCCTTTAATTTGACAATGTCTTCTTCGGTCTCTTCGCAGCCATGATATCCATACTGAGAATACCGAGTTAGCTTATTCCACATACCTTACATTGTAACGTTATACACTTTGCTTCTTCTTAGAGCTTGTTTGGTGCCATAAACCACCACTGGTGAAACATTGTTCGTGCACAGGATTCCAATGTTGCACAGTGCAAGTCACCAGCGCCCCGGCCTGGAGTGGTAATGAAAGAAGGCGCTTTCACACTGCCTTATTTTCCGGAATGAAATGTACAAAACCAGAAAGGGGGGTCAGATTTGATCTGCCTCTGAGCCGGGAATGTTGGTAGTAACAGAACCCGAACGATGTCTGTGTGAAAAGCCACAGCATGCCAGAACAGGTGCCACATTTCAACGATGTATTACAAGTCAGTCTTTTTTTTCTCACTAACCTGGGATTAGGCCGCAATATTTTGTTTGGTATTTTCAGTGAATACACCATATAGGTGGATATTCTTTCCTCGTTTATCTCTGTGTGAAACCAGCTATAGATGATATTCACCCTATTACAAGTCAGTGTACCATCAAAATGATTTTGAAAATAATTTTGCTTCAAATTGTTTAGTCAAAATGTTAGTTAATGTGAGGGTTAGCTTGAAGGCTAAAGATTTGTCATAGCTACAACACTGGGCTAAAAATGTCTTAATATTTGCAGTTGCTTCAGTTTTTGCTAGCTAAACACTAATTCATGATAGATCAAGCCATGCAAAACGCAGTTTTAGACTGTGTCTAGTATACAGTATCCTATCTTGTGAAAGAGAGAGCAAATGAGTAAGAGTTTTTAATTAGAAATCTCTGTCCTCCAGGGTTTGGGTGAGGCTGTTTACTGTTTTGTCTTTGTCAGCCATTGGGCCATGGGTTGAGCATGAAACATCTCCAATCAGGGTCCATGTGAAGTTCAGCAATGGCTGGCTCAAATGGTGGCAGCGTGAAGTTAGTTTTAAGTTTGATCAAGCTGCAGACTGGATAATCATTTTTTAAAATCAATTTATTGCTGGGTTTTTTTTCTATGTTATACCTAAAAATGCCTATTGGTGACGTTGCATTATAGTTCAACATAATAGAATGTTGCCACCTGCTGGTGTATTACAGCAAAGCACATGCAAATGCTATCTTCAAAACTACCAGTGCAATTTTTGGTTTGTGTTGTGGTGGGGTTTACTGATTGCATGTCTGGTGGAATAGCACAAATGTACAGTATGTCTTTATTTATGATAGTGATAATAATTTATGAAATGTATTTTATTGCCATTTGCACAGAATGGATTAACTAAAACAATATGTGTGTGAAATTCTTTCTTGTTGAGAATCACTTTGGCTTTTTGAGACAATGTAAGTGATGCTCATACTGTACAGTACATTTAACTACATACTGTAGATAGATAGAGACTTTACTGTCATTGCATATAAAAATACAACAAAATGCAGTTTAGAGCAAAGTGTTGAACTTAGCAGCTTTAAAATAGCATCCTTGAGCCTGTCTGAAGGAAATTTGGTTAACAGATCGTGACCAGGGCGACAGTGGATATTGTTCAAATGGGGAAGAGGGGAACCGACGCCACACTGAGCAGTCTTCACCACGCTCTGTAGATATATCTGATATAAACTGGTTTTAGACCTGCAACACTGTGGGCTGCCACCTTGAAGACTACACTTTCTTTACATTGTCTTTAGCATAATTTGGGTCATGTTGGTCTTACCACTCTGTAGAGTTGTCAAATGTTGCCCCAAAGGTTGTATTTTTATGTCTTTTGAAGTCAGGTGCTAAGGCAAGGCCTGTGTTTTTCCCATTGTATATTTTGTTGGTAGTAGGACTTTTAGACATGTGTTAGCATTCATTTGAAGGCAGCTCAGCATAATCAGAGCATCAGTGTATTTGTATAACTTGGTAATTATTCACATAGATGCATAATGTGGTTAGTATGGTTGGACTGTGGTGTTTTATGGTTTGCCATGCTTTGTTACTGTATTTTACTGTAGTTCATCCTGACTTTTTCTTTTAAAGCAATTATGAGGTGGAGTGATGAGATTTATGCTGCAGTATGCGTTTCCCATTTTTTTTAGAATATTAAAGACAGTTAATTCCTCTCTTGAAATGATTGCTTGTTTGTGAAAAATGGACATGAACATAGGAAGAATGACCTCAGTTTGCTCAATGGTGCCACCTGTAGACCATGTACGTAATACATGCAGAATGTGTGTGTGTGTGTAGAGAGCTTTGACTATGCCAGAAAAATGATGTTGATCATCATGACAGAAACAGTGACAGTGATTATATTGTAATGACCATCAGAATGACTCCATCTGTTTATTCATGAGAAAGATCTTGTTGCTTATCTTTTTCCCGTCCCACATTTTACTTTGTTTCCTTTTAAACTGATACGGTTTAAATGGAAATATTGCAGAAAGGTCTGAAAGTGTAGACTGCCTCTCTCTTGATAACTCTAAAGATAAGATACTTTTTTTAAAAGATAAGATATTAAATTTTTTTTATTTTGCAGGTGAAGCTGACTGAGCCTGTATGGTCTTTTTAGCATTGTACTACTTCATATTCAGTTGAACACATTTAACGCAGTACCACCACAGCCTTCTCCTGTTGGCCACTGGGCAGCTTGTGGTTGAGTACCTTGCACAGTAGTTGAAGAGAGAAAATAGTTCTCCTATATGTGTAAGGATGTTCAGTTGTTACTTCTCCTTGGTTTATATCTACACAGCAACGGGGTCAAGCTAGAACCCAGAAGAAGAGTGGGCTTGACATAAGAGGTTGGGAGGGTATGGAGGTGTTAGACACGGAGACACTCTCAGGCATCCTGCTGGGCATGGTGCCCTGTTTCCCTGTTGCCCGTCCCTTGGCACTCAGACTGGCAGCAGCATGCTGTGACTCCATCCCAGCAACAGCGTCACAGATTTGGGCTGGCTGCCACGGGTTCCCCAGCCAATCAGGGCACACACAGTGCCAGATCATTCCAGAGGTAGCCAGTAGTAATCCTGGATGTGCTTGGGGTCATCCTTGCCAGATGTGAATTCCTTTAAACCCACAAGGAACACAAATGCAGACACAAACACACAGCTCCAACTCCGAGACAGAGTGTGCACGCATTTACTGTGACTCTCTATGTGTATGTATGGAAAAGAGAAGAGATACAAAAACAGACTCTGTTTGTCTTTTCATGTGAATGTACTTCTGTATCATACCATTCACTAAGTCCAGTTCTGACCTGTCAGCATCTTCAAATTACTACACAAGGAGTGTTTCTTTAGAGGTGTCACCACTGCTGCACTTAGAGCTTTGTCTCACTCTTGTGGACTATCTGAGAAATACAGGAGTGTTGGTATTATGACTCTGTATACAGTAGTACTATATTCCTATAGAATACTGTTTTACACAAGTATGTGTCATTTGTTTTAATAATAATATAGATTATAGATATGACAAACTTTGTTTTCCATATTTGAATCTTAATTTTTCTTTATTCAAGAATGAGTCCAGTGACAGATTATTTGTTCATTGCATTGGTATTTGAATCTCATTTATTATTGTTGCTACATACATGCTAAACCAAATATATTACTGGAACATAAACAAATGAATACAGTACAAATCAATTCCATAAAATGTAGTAGAAATATAAAAAAGAAAGAATGCATTAATTACAATTCTATTCAAAACTTGTAAGGTTAAAAAAAGTAAAGATTTAATTTAAAAAAAGTCCACATTTGGATCATAAAATGGGATCTGTCCTGGGGTCATCATCATTTAGTCTAAAAGGAGCAAACATAGGAAATGTGTCAGTTCTGTTACAAAGTTACATTCAAACTACCCAAAAATATTAATGTTGTAGAATAATGACAATATTAAACAAAGCAGATAAGTTAAAATCATACAGTTGAAATATTGTACTGGAGGATTACTTACCTTAATCACAGTAGCCAAGACACCATAGATGACGGAGATGAGGAAAAAAAAGAGGAAAGTGAAAGTCATATACCAGCTTTCCACATCTGTGTCTTGGTTCACATCAGCATGCATAATCTCATCTAAGAAATGACAGCCCTCCAACGTGTCTGTGAAAGAATTTAAATGAGATTTGTCAGTTAACCAAACAGACTCACATATGAGTTTAAATGTGTGGTTAACCTAGTATGTGCAGTCTTTAACATGCAAGAAAGATGTGGAGGAACCGGCACCTGGTTTAGATATATTCAGGGATTGGGTGGTGTTCTCATGTGTCACCCTGCAGGTGAGGACTGCCCCAGGGAACCAGTTGCCATGGGACAGACGAAGGTGGCTTTGGATGCTGAACTTTCCATTTGGGCCTCTGATGGGTTCACTAGTGTTGTAGTCCAACAGTTCCTTGGTGTCACCAGAAAACCAAGTGATGCTAATAGATGCAGGGCTGAAGCCGAAGACCAGGCACACAAGTTCACCAGAGCCCTGGAGCAAGGTAGCTGAAGGTTGGCTGTAGGTCACTGTGGCTGGGGAAAAGAGTTATTAAAGTTCGTCATGAATTTGTACTGAGGAAGGTCATGTAGCAAGAAAAATCAGGAGACAAATGTTCTAAAGGTGATATGCCTATTTACTTCTTAACCTTAACCTTAAGTAACACTGAGACTTCAGAAGAATAACAGACTACAATGTGGAGATGTTCAGATGAAGTTTTTTTTTACCCTGATACTGATCAGAGTCCTTTAATACTGTGTATCTGAAGATAGCACGTCTGATCCAATACTTCTGTTTACTTTACAATGTTGATTAAATATTTATCTGATATATTGAAATAACAACTGTAGCCTTCTAAATTGACACAGTTTCTTTTTTCATGAACTACTTGATCCAAATACTAAAGTTACTGCTTCAAAGCTTAAATTATTAGTTTAAGTGAAAGAATGGAACTCCTGAGATTGACGTGAAGCGATCTCTTACAGAGAAGACAAATCTTCGACTGAGTACAGACAGCGACTAAACAGTGCCAGCTAAACATGAGAACCTGCTTCCTGTATGTTTTGCTGATGTTTGCTGATGAGAAAGAGAGATAATAGAGCCGTTACAGTTGGAGCTTAGCAAATTTAGCCAACTCTCATCAGTGCAACAAAATAATTTGTCCTTCACAGGATTGGCTCGGGACATCTTAACTATGATGCGATAAACACCAGTGAACCTCATTGTTACTAAGTGTTAATTCTCAGCTCACCAAAAACATCCTTTATAGTGCTTTCAAACGGCGTTTCAGAGGACTCATGCCTGACAACACAAGAATATGTAGACTCCTTGTCCTCAGTTTTGGATGTGTTTAGTCTGCTGCTCATTGAATAAGCACTGCTCTCTGTGTATTTCCACGCAGGACTGTTGGTGTAGCGAGCTGAAAGGAGTCTCTGGCCATTCTCCTCCCAGTACACCATGATGTTAGGCGGGAAAAATCCAGAAACCAGACAAATAAGTGTGAGGACGTCTGAGGTAGACAGCTCAGAGGCAGTTGGTTGTAATTTTTTCACTGTTGGTGGGTACAAAAGTAAATAAGGGTTTATATTAAGGCTCTTTTCATGATTTAGTCACAACCAGCACAAGCATTACGGAGATTTTTCTTTTTACTGCTGAGCTTCTGATGTTTCACACTACCTCTGCTTTTGCTTATATGGTCCTGGTAGCCCTGGTTGGAACATCGGTGCTTCCACTTGTTTGTATGCATGCCAATCCTCCGCTGACACTTTGAGGAAGCTCCGCAAAGACTCCGTCCCATTGCTGTGACTCACTGGTGGCTCCGTATGGACATTAAGAGAATATTTGTTCCCACCTACTTTCCAGGTGATGGAGAAATCATCAAGAGAAGGGCCAACCAGAAGACAGGTGACAGTCACCTGTCCCTTGCTCTGAAGCTCCTGGAGGGGTGGTCCCTGAACATATACGGCAACTATCTGAGATGATGCTGGAGTTACTGAAAACATTGAAGGGGGAGAAAATGCAGCACCTATCAAATCATGATTATGAGATAAAAGCTTGGCAGATTCACACTTAAAGCATTAACACGATTGCTGTTTCCTTTTTACCTGAACAGATGCTGATGTTCTTTTCAACGGTTTTATTCAGAGATTTTTCAGACACTAAACAAGTGAAGACCTTCCCTGTTTTCCACTCTGTCTGAGGGATGTGAAGTTGACTGGTTACTGCCACACGTCCATCTGCACTCATGCTGATGTCATTCGTTGACGGAGATCTTTGCTGGGACTCAGCAAATCATTTAAGGGTTGAAGCCCCATCCAGAGCACAAGATCCTCTGTGGTCCTGACTCTTTACTGGGGACCTGAAGGAGCTCCACTGATGGGTCCACTAAACATTATGTGAGCAAATGAATAAATCGCTCACATTATGAGTTAATATACATAGAAGAAACTGACTCAGAGTAATTAATCAACAATATATAAAGGAAAAAGAGAAACTCCTCTCACCAAAAATATTGCCAGTGGAATTTGACTTGAAGCTGCTGGAGAAACCTTGATTCACCTTGCAGGTGAAACTTGTGTCTCTCTTCCAGTAGTTTGGAAGGACAGTGAAGCGTCTACTGACTGAATGGAGGCCTGGGGCTTCAGGAAGATCAACATACAGTTTTTCAGAGATGTCAACACTGTTGGCCTGAAAGGTGATGTAGAGGTCAATGGAGGAGAGTTGTGTGACGTCACACTCCAGCACAGAACTGTTTCCATTCAGCAAATCTGGGAGAGATCTCCTGATCTCCACTGATGGAGCTGTAACTGCAGGCGCTGGATGATACAGAAAGAAAACAAGGAAGAATTATTTTAGGTACTTTGCTGTCACAACACACCTGATTTTTATTTTGTCTTCTCCTCTGACCTGCAACATTTATTGTCTCCTCAGTGGATGAGAAGCAGCGATGTTCAACTTTACATTTCAGAAGCTTCAGTTGTTTCCACTGACTCGAGGAAACCGTCAGAGTGCTTATTAAATGAGTTGTATGTGTGACCTGGTTCACTTGGTGTCTGGATGGGGGTTGCCCATCCATCAGACGTTGACACCATTACTGTCTGGGAATCTCCACATGAACGGAAGGAGGGGCGCTTGTCTGTGCTGCAGAAAAAAACATGTTTGTCCATACATGTTAATCTAATACAACTACAACTACTTTTTAATCACAACATGCATTTTTGTATCAAAAAGATTTATGGTGTATCAAAAATTTTCATATTGTGTGTTGAGACATTAGTCATATATACTTACTTTGACAAATACTTATTGTTTTTCGAAATTCACTGTCGATATGAGTGGACCTGCTTGTAAAATTTGAGCCACCTGCCCACTGTTTCATATTTGGCTCAATCTCACTGCTTAGACTGAAGGTTTTCTCCACTCCCTTCACACTCTGCAGCTTCCTTTGGGTTTGCACAATGTTTAGAGATTGGTTGTCCCGTTGCCACATCACACTCAGTTGGTCTGGAAAGAAGCCACTTAGGGTGCAGAGGAGTCTGACAGGTGAGGCCCCGATTACACCTTCCCACACAGGGTGTAATGTGATGTTTGGAGAGACAACCCGCAGTCCTGAGACGGAGAAGAGATTATTTTTACTTTACTTGCCTCATTCTAAATGTTGAACATTTGAGCTGATTTTATCTCTTCACCTATACATACCTTCAGATTTTGTAAACAATTCTAAGTGTAATGTCTCTGTATTTAGGCTAGATGGCAGAGTTGTACTTTTACAGTGTCTGGTGTTATAAAGTCAGGTGGAGATGGAGGCGATGGGGCTGGAAGTCTGTTGCACAGATGCCGCAGAATGACAGGGCAGAGTGATCACAGCTAGCAGCAAGCGGAAGCATTGAGTAACACCCAGATCCCAAGAAAGTACCAAAATACTGAAGTGAAACAGAGCCAAGAGCAACGGTGCATTGCAGACACCAGGTGTGAGGTGCGCTTATGCCAGTAAGAGAAACAGATTTGTGCACATTTAAATATCTCAGATCAGTTTACATGTGTTATCACAACTATTTTACATGGCTTCTCATGACTTTGCTAAAGGTTTTAGTTCTGAGTCTATTAATAATAGACTCAGAACTAACCGATTGTAAAATCTCCACATTTACATATTGAGTAGAACACGGGCTGTTGATTCCAGGTGCTGGGGAGGTGATGAACACAACAACATATTACATAGTTAAAATAAAAATAAGAAATGGTATTGTTATGAGCATTATGTATCAAACATTTATAGGTGAAACTATAGACAGTATGAACAGTTTCAGAATAATGGATGAGAGAACAAAGATGGAGGAGCAACATTAATGGTTATGTTCATTTAAACATTTATTTTCAAAATTACATAAAGCTCTTGTAATAAGAATGGAAAAAAGGACAGCTGTGATTACTTACATCAAACTATGAGTTTATAAGAAAAATGTGTGAAAAACAGTTTTGTACAGAAAGTTCTCCTTGTTTCATTTAACCTGAAAAAACAGAAGAAAACAAATACAGATTAGTAATGTTGCTCCAACATGATCAAATTCCTGCTATTTGTCACCACTTACATGTGTGGTGAAATTACAGATGCACTATAAGACCATTGTATGCACAATATAGTTAAAACATTGACGCATTATAAAACATCATAATACACACATGAATGTTTGTAAGGAAGTTATTCACAGTTTAAGAAAAAGATTTACCACTGGAACCTAAATATTTCTTTTGGATTTCTAAGGTGTTGTGAGTTTTCTCTTTTAAAGACATCAACTTTACTGTTATTACATCTTTGTCGAGTGAGGCATTGAACCGTGCGACATATGACATATCAACATATGGCACAACGAGAATGTCACACCTGGCTTCTGCTGTAGTTTACTGTACTACTTAAATAAATTCATTCAATTTAATTATCCGACCACTGTTTGATAACTTTTGAGTTTGTATTGCTGAACTACACGCCATTGGGCAAAAATTTCTATACAAGATGTCTGTCTGATAGTGCTATAGCTAAATTTAAGGATGCGATTCCATCAGCTCTAAATACATTATCTAGTCACAAAGTAACGGAGGACTCCTATGCTAATTTCAGTCCCTCCCAAATCGATCATCTTGTTGATAGTGCTGCAGGCTCGCTGCGAATGACACTCGACTCTGTTGCCCCTCTAAAAAAGAAAATACTAAAACAAAGACGGTTAGCTCCATGGTATAATACTGAAACTCGCAAATTAAAGCAAATATCACGGAAACTTGAGAGGAATTGGCGTTCCACCAAAGTGGAAAATTCTCGTTTAATTTGGCAAGATAGTCTTAAAACTTATAGGAAGGCCCTCCGTAATGCCAGAGCAGCGTACTACTCGTCATTAATAGAGGAAAATAGGAACAACCCCAGGTTTCTTTTCAGCACTGTAGCCAGGCTGACAGAGAGTCACAGCTCTATTGAGCCAAGTATTCCCATAGCTCTCAGTAGTTACGATTTCATGAGCTTCTTTAATGATAAAATTCTAGCTATTAGAGACAAAATTCACCAAGACCTGCCCTCAATTGGCACCGACTTATCTCTTAACTCAGGAACCTTTGAAACAGCTGTAGAACCAGATACATGTTTAGACTGTTTTGCTTCCCTCAATCTTTACCAACTAACTTCAATAATTTCTTCATCTAAACCATCAACCTGCCTCTTAGACCCCATCCCGACTAGGCTGCTTAAAGATGTTTTACCCTTAGTCAGCACCTCTATACTAGATATGATCAATCTATCTTTATCAACAGGCTATGTACCACAGTACTTTAAAGTAGCTGTAATTAAACCTCTTCTGAAAAAGTCCAAACTTGATCCGGATGTTTTATCAAACTATAGACCTATATCTAACCTTCCATTTCTCTCTAAGGTTCTGGAGAAAGCAGTTGCTAAACAGCTGTGTGACTTTCTACAGAGCAATAGTTTATTTGAGGATTTTCAGTCAGGATTTAGAGCTCATCATAGCACAGAGACAGCACTGGTGAAAATTACTAATGACCTTCTTATTGCATCAGACAAAGGACTTGTCTCTGTACTGGTTTTATTAGATCTTAGTGCTGCATTTGATACCATTGACCATCAGATCCTATTGCAGAGACTGGAATATTTCATTGGCATTAAAGGAACCGCTCTAAGCTGGTTTAAGTCCTATTTATCAGATCGATTTCAGTTTGTACATGTTAACGATGAGTCCTCCATGCACGCCAAAGTTAGTCATGGAGTTCCTCAAGGATCTGTCCTTGGACCAATCCTCTTCACTTTATATATGCTTCCTTTAGGCAATATTATCAGGAAACATTCCATAAGCTTTCATTGTTATGCAGATGATACTCAGTTATATCTATCGATCAAGCCAGATGAAACTCATCAGTTAGCTAAACTTCAAATGTGCCTTCAGGATGTTAAAACCTGGATGAGCTGTAATTTTCTTATGTTAAACTCAGATAAAACTGAAGTTATTGCTCTGGGGCCTAAGCACCTCCGTGACGCATTATCTAAAGATATAGTTTCCCTGGATGGCATCGCCCTGGCCTCCAGCACCACTGTGAGGAATCTTGGAGTTATCTTTGATCAGGACATGTCGTTTAAGTCCCACATTAAGCAAATTTCAAGGACCGCCTTTTTTCACCTACGTAATATTGCGAAAATCAGGAACATCCTGTCTAAAAATGATGCAGAAAAACTAGTCCATGCATTTGTTACTTCTAGGCTGGATTACTGCAATTCCTTATTATCAGGCTGCTTGAAAAAGTCCATTAAGACTCTTCAGCTGATCCAGAATGCTGCAGCACGTGTTCTGACAGGAACCAGGAAAAGAGATCACATTTCTCCTGTTTTAGCTTCTTTGCATTGGCTTCCAGTAAAATCCAGAATAGAATTTAAAATCATTCTTCTTACCTACAAAGCTCTTAATGGTCAGGCACCATCTTATCTTAAAGAGCTCATAGTACCTTACTACCCCACCAGAGCACTGCGCTCCCAGAATGCAGGGTTACTTGTGGTTCCTAGAGTCTCCAAAAGTAGACTAGGAGCCAGAGCGTTCAGCTATCAAGCTCCTCTCCTGTGGAACCAGGTTCCAGTTTGGGTTCAGGAGGCAGACACCATCTCCACATTTAAGAGTAGGCTTAAGACTTTCCTCTTTGATAAAGCTTATAGTTAGGGCTGGCCCAGGTAGTCCTGAACCATCCCTTAGTTATGCTGCTATAGGCCTAGACTGCCGGGGGATTTCCCATGATGCACTGAGCTCCTCTCTCCTCTACTTTCTCTCCCTCTGTATGCAACCTTATCCCATTATTGCATGTTACTAACACAACTTCTCCCCTTTCTGGTAGTCTTGTGCTTTCTCGTCCCTCTCCTCTCTCCTCCTATCACTTCCTGCAGGTTTTCTGGCTCTGGAGCTGTGGAGTCTGGATCTGTGGCTGCGGGTCGCCTGCTGCCCCCGTGTTCCTGCTCGACACCCTCTACTGCAACGACTATTGTTGCTAGTCTTATTGTTATTATTGTTATTATAATCATTAACATTATGATGGTTACCATTAACACTATTATAAATATCTGTACCATTTTTCATTTAGTTTATAGCAACATTACCTTCGCTGTCTGTACCTCTGTGTGTATATTGTGTAGGCTGCCTCCCTCCCCTCTCTCTCCTTACATCCCTCTCTCTCTCTCTCTCTCTCTTTCTCTCTCTCTCTCTCTCTCTCTCTCTTCACTCTCTTTCTCTCTCTCTTCTCTCTCTCTCTCTCTCTCTCACCCCAACCGGTCGAGGCAGATGGCCGCCCACCCTGAGCCATGGTTCTGCTCGAGGTTTCTGCCTCTTAAAAGGAAGTTTTTCCTTGCCTCTGTCGCCTAGTGCTTGCTCTTGGTGGGAACTGTTGGGCTTCTGTAAATATCATCACAGAGTACGGTCTAGACCTGCTCTTTTATGAAAAGCGCTGTGAGATAACTGTTGTTGTGATTTGGCGCTATATAAATAAAATTGAATTGAATTGAATTGAATTGAATTAACTTTGTTTTGGACTTGTATTGAACACACGATAACAGAAACAACTGCAGAATAAAATTTGATTAACTATAATAGCTCTGAAATAATCACTAAAGGGAAAATGTGAAAAGATAGAACTCAAAAGAGTTTAATGTTTAAAAGCATTGAATTGCACAATTTACTCACAAGTTGTATCTTTGTAAGTCACAGATGAATTCACAAATGTTATTTGACCTTTACATTTCCCCTCAAACACACATGTGAATTTACTGTCCTCAGTCCACTCACTGGATGGTACTGCAAGAAAACTTGCTGCACTGTACACCCTAGTTTCGGTCACTTCCTTTCCATCACATGTTTTGATCTCGTATATTTTGTTGGGGATATCCTCTTCATTTTTCAGCCATTTGAACTCATAATCTTTTGGTGAAAAATCTTTGGCCAAGCAGGAGAAGGTAACCTCGTTTTCCTTCTCAGAGGAGGCCAACACTAGAGTTGGCAATTTACAAATCACCGCTGAAAAACAAAGATATACACAAATATATGTATGCAGAAGCAGGGAATAATATATATATGCAGAAGAAGAGTTGACCAAAGTGCTCCAATGTTCATGTAATCTAGATTTACTATTAACTTAACTGACTTTTCTGTTCTACTGTATGTTATGCAACTTGCACACACATATGCACACATGATTACGCTCTTTAAATTAACACTTACTGTTTGTTACTAAAGTGTGCATAAAGAGTCAAAAGGAAAATAAAAATGTCAAAGTAAAACAAGTGAACAGCAGAGGTTTTATCACTTCTGCATATACATTGACTGGTCGGGCAAGCAAACACAGGCTTAACGTGAATGTTAATGATCAACACACAGTTTCCATCTATCTGCATAATTATGCAGACAGAGGGAAAAAAGCAGAACACATTGCAATAATCTGTTCTTGGACAG